CTAGAAATTTAGAATTTTAAATTAGTATCACGATGAAATAAAACTTGGTTTTCCTTTAAATTTGAATTCAATCATTCATAATAAATAATGCAGCAAAATTTAATATCCTACTCTCCAGAAGTAATCCACTAAATCACATATCTTGTGTAAATTTTACAAAACACTTCAACTTCAGTATATAAATAATAATTCTTAATATTTCTATTAATTTTATGAATCTAAATTGTAGAAAATTCTATTAGAAGAATTTTGAATAATTCATATATTAAAATTCATAAGTTGTGAAGTTTCAGGATCGTTTAACATAACTTTGAATCAAAATGTTTCTTTTAAATAATACATTTCATGAAGTATTCATAAATTAAATTTTAATAATAATTATGGGGAATTGTAAATATCAATTGAATTAAATTTGATCAATGTTTGTAAATTAGAGATATTTTCCAATTCAGATATTAAGATTTACTTATATTTTCAATCCTTATTATCTTTAATCATACAAATCATTTTAAGTTATTTTATTGTTTTGGTATGATTTGAAACATTCCCATAACATCGTATTCAAGCGCAAGATATTTTTGTTAACCATTATAAACTATAATGAAGAAATGAATAGGTTTTAAAATGGAAAAGAATAATATTTTACATTAAATTTGAGAGATAATAAAGACTAATGGTGAACATCCAAAATGAATAAAAATGGAGAAACGTATTTTAGAAGATGGAATCAATGATAGCACTCATTGATAATATTAAAACAGAGTCTATAAATTTATTTATTTCCGTAATGATATTTAGTCAATATCAACTAACAAAAAATCACATAAAAACTCACTAATTAATATTACTATAATTAATAAGTAAATTAATTTTAATACTTTTCATCTGTTAATAATTGATAAATAAGTGTATTAGTTTGAGGAATAAATAATTCAATTATAAATAAAGAATTTATATTAATCAGTTGTACATATATGATTTACAACCAATGAAATGCACATTCTTGATTGAGTAATCTTCGATCTAAAAAATGATGGAAAAATTGGTTTTATTCAAATAGTCTTAACGATATCTATTTATTTTTTGGATAAATAATTCATTAATTGCATAGTTAAAAATTATTGCAAATTTGGCTTTGATTTTTTATATCGATGAACTTATATTTTAATTTTTTAGTTATGATTTATGTAAATAATATTTAATTAATAAAATAAAATCCGGTAATTCATAATATATTCACATTGCTCGTACTCAAATATTCAAAATCCATATTAGAATAAAATGATTAATCAAAATTAGAATAGTTTTCTTCATTTATGTATCTTGATATGTCTTGATCCTTTGTTTACATATCATTCTAATCTTCAATTAATTTTTCCTTCTCATGCGATCCGTTAATTCTAAGATGCTCTTCTCTTGCATGTTCTAGTTATTCCTTCGGTTGAAATTATGTCTATTTTGAATAATATGGATTCTAAATCTGTAGGTACTAACTTCTAATATTATTATAGAACCTATTCTTGATTTAGTTATCCTAAAAAATAAATTTTTATATTACCGATCTACCCATTAGAAATTTAGAAATTTATGACCACTTCGAACCATACTCTATATACTTTTGGTATATCAATTAGTCTTCTTCCTGAGTAAAGCTATTTTATTTTAAATTTGGATCAAGTGCATTAATGAAGCGGTTTCTACATTATTTACTATTTCTATTTTTGAAAATCTATGCTATTTTTGACCACTTCATTCCGTATTATGAAATGAGCTATAATAACAATTAATCTTCTTCCGGTTTCCAAAATTAATTAGTTCTACTCTAATATCTAATTTAAATATAATACCCTCTGCCCTTAAAGTCTTTTCCATCTTTGTGCACATTAGTTAGGATTTCTATTGGGTACATAATCAGCTATTGCTATCCAATTCATTCCACAATTTCTGATTCCTTTTTTGAGTAAATTATCCTCTTTAGTACTCCACGCTTTTTTGATAATTTTCATCTTTATGCAAGATTCATCTTAGTATTCAACACTGTTTCTCATCTTTAGGTAGAAAAAATAATCTTAATTATTAGGATTTGTAAAAATTTAAACTAGCGTTTATCATCAAAACCAATCTTGTGGTATATGAACTTAATGTTTTAATTAAAGATACAATTATAATTAATAGGTATAATATCTATTATAAATATAATTTATTAAAAATGCAAATATCTAAATATGTTCAGAGCCTAGAAGTTATGTTACCTTATGAATTCTCAATCTAATTTTCAAAGGGTATATTCAACATTGTCAACTCCTTAAATTAAATTTTTAAGTCTGGAAATTTAGTAATAATGAAGTAATTTATACTTCTCTTATTCATGTATAATTTGATTTCCCAGTTAATGTTGTTTTCAAGATTTATTATTCTTATTTACAGCTCCAAGTCTAGAGGTAATCCAAGACGTCTTGTCAGGTATAAAACGCTTGAATTCCCAAAAAAAAAGGCAATTTAATTAAAAAAAATTAATAATGGTTTTCTTTCAACGACATCATATAAAATAAGCATGAATATGCTTTCATTTTCATTAACTAAATGTAATTTTCTAAAATTCCTTGATAATACTATTTAACAAGAATTTAGTCAGATTCTGCATGTAGTGAAATAATTTAATAAAAAAACTTTCCAAACGTTACCGCTTTGAATAATACTTTAAATAATTTTTACACAAAAAATTGATATTTTTAGATTATAACTAATCTGATTTCTGTAGAGATTTCTATCTGATAATTGAATTCTTTTAATATCTTTCTTCATGATTTAACAAATTACAAGTAAATTCTATTCTAATCAACAATGTATTTGTTGTTTTTAGGTGCGAAAATATTAGTAAATTTTAAAATAATTTATGCTTAAAGATGCTTTCGAAATTTAGAAACCCAATAACAGTTTATTAGTTTATTTATTGATTCTATATAATTAATATCAACGAATATTTTTAGTATGTAATAATATAGAGTATATAAATTTAAATTTAAATTGTTCCTTCATTATATTATTTTTGCTGTTGCTGTTGCTGTTGCTGTTGCTGTTGCTGTTGCTGTTGCTGTTGCTGTTGCTGTTGCTGTTGCTGTTGCTGTTGCTGTTGCTGTTGATGTTGCTATTGCTCTTCGCATCTTATTCATCCTTCTATAAAATTTTAATTTGATTTCATCATACTCATGAAATCCAAGGTGTCTTAAACCAACTCCTATGTTACACATTCCTTTTTTAGTTTGCTGCTATTCTGATTTCATTTAAATTAGTATTGGTTTGATACTTTTTTTAGAGTATTCTTCTAATCTGATATTTATTTGTATAAGAATTTGATGAGTACAAATTTTTAATGCTAAAATAGAATATTTAATTTATAAAGAAATATATAATTAAAGACCAATTAAAGCATAAGATGATGATGTAAACCTTGTAAAATAGAGCATTTTCTTTTATTTATAAGTTCTCTATTTTATTTTAATCAAAGCTCATTCATAATCTATGTCCTTCAAATATATTTAAAGACTTTTGGAAGCTAATTAAAAATTGTATATGAGGTCTCTTCTTCACCTTGTTAAAATTAAGCCCTCTTTGTTAATAACATTATCTAATAAGTAAGCTTCGATTTATATACTACTCTGCCGTTTTCCATTTACTTTATTCTTTTAAACTAAAATTCTTGTATAAAAGATAGTAGAGTTCATCAAAATTCGATGCGATTATTTTAAAGCCTCAGGATCTGAGTAATAATTCCCTACTCGGCAATCAGATTGTAAAATACTATAAATCGAATATAAAATTAGATATATTTTTAAATTAAATAATCATATCTTATCATAAATTATAAATTCATTTTATAATGTTCTCAAGACTGGAGTTAGTTGATAATTCAATTATTTTCAAAAATTAAAGCCTAAATATATATTTGAATTTATACTTAGCTGCAACTGGATCTTTTAAATTGTATTTAGACCTAATTTAATTTTCTCCATATTTTATATAAATCTCTAATTCTTACAAAAGTGAAAGTTCATCCTCCTTTAAATTAAAGCGATTTCTTTTCACATCAAAAGCTAATTGGTAATAGTATAAATCTAATAGATCTTAGTCATCTTCTTCAAATTGAATATACTTTTTAATTCTTAGATAAATATCAAACCTCTTGTTAAGCTTATAAACATTATTATTTATTTCCTCATGAAATTCTAATTTATTTAAAATATCAAAAAAGTTTATAAATTAATCTACATATGAAGTATTGTAAATAACTTCAGTTTTAGATTAAGCAACCATTAATCCAAAGTACATCCAATTATCCTACTAATTGATAAGACTACAAGCCTGCTTAATTACTTATTAAACACTGAAATTATGTTCCAATTCCACCCATAATGGAGTATCACTATGAATCATCAATTTAACAATTGGTTATTTGCATTCGAACATTAATTATAACTCATCTTTTGAAGGCAAATAAACTCTAGCACAAAGCTGGGTTTTTATTTCATCTTTAAACACTTTCACATCAGTATTAATTGATAAATTTTTGATAATTTATTTAGTATATTTCTACATATCTGGCTCTTTGAAAAATTTATTTTCAGGTTTCTATAGTTATTCAATTAAATACTAAATAAATGGTAATGGATGTAAAAGAGGGATACAATGAGTGATTACTATGCATAATCTTAATAAATAATATAGATGTTCCTTTGTGTTTCCCTCAATTTATTTGAAGATCTATAAAAATATTTCTTCACGAATTTCCTAATTGTTTTCTAATTTGACTCCATCATTAAATTTTCTACTAGTTGTTTCAAGTTCTATCGATCTTTTTAAAGTATCGATATCAAGAGCAAGCGAGCGTTATAAACTCTTGGGAGCTGTTGGTAGTTCAATTTATGCTGTTGTACCTATTAGACTACATAATATTCTCTCCAAATGTTCTTTTGTAGTTAGACTCGATCGTTTCATGTGAGCAAATTTGGTTATGCTTTTAAACACATTTAAAGCAACCCCTTCATTTGATATCTTAGTTAAAGGTTTCTTAATATTGTCAGTTTGACATTTCATAATTTTTTCAATTTAATTTCCTTATTAATGAAGTACTTATTAGCAATAATCTTTAAATAGATTACTTTGCAATATTTAAAGTAATCCATTGTCAAATTCCGTGTTTAAATTTTTATCAATAGTTGACCTAATATCTAATAGCTTTTTATTTTATTAAGCTTTTTCATAAATCACAAAATTTTATGGGTGAGGATTTTCAATTAAACTTTGAATCACAAACTTTCTATCGCACTTTTTATGCTTTCTCTTTTCTTCTTCTATTTATTATTTTAAATATTAATCTTCTTCTTATTCTATTTGTTTCTAGATCTGTTATTAATAATTTATGAATTTTTCATATTCTTCAATAGTTAATACTTTTGGTATTTATCCAAAGTAAATTTTAAACCCATTCTATTTAATTTGATTTAAATTTATCTTTCTGTTCTGCTTTTCGATTTCATATTATTATTTATTTTCTAATGCCTCATATGCACATTAATCTGAAACATCTTCAACCTTCATTTAGGTATATTTCAATTTAGAATCATCACTTAATTATGCATATGACTCCAGATCAGAATGCTTAGAGTCTGATTTTAATTTCGATTTCATAATTCTTCTATGAATTTACTTTTATTCATTGTCTAATAAACAATATGCATTGTTTTTGTATTCCTTTAATTGATCTTCATCTAAAAGGAGAAATGCTTCATAATCAGAAAATTCAACTTTGCTAAAATCCTGTTTATCCTTTTCATATCGATTTATTTTTTGCTATAACAGTTCTTATTTTTCTTTGTAACTCCTAACTTCTTCCCACGAATACACTATCAATTCTTTTAAGTGCTAATCTATTACATTTTTATCCTTTAATAAAGAATAAGCTAATGAAATATTTTTGTAGACAATATCTTTATTTTCTAATAGTCGATATGCAACACTGGCCTTTGGATGTAAATGGTTCTCAAATAAAATAGGGTTTAATATATCTTTCATCTTGATTTTCACCTATTCTTTAATTTTCCTTTTGTTTTTTTTCTCAATTGATAAATTTTGGAATGCAATTGATTCAATATTGATAATTCCTTCATTAACATTTTATTCCAATAAGAACTGTTTTCTAACTTTCCACTATTCATCATTTAGTAAGCGAAATGCAGTTGAATCCAAGAGATCATGTCTTATCAAATTCAATTCATCTAATCTTTATTATGCCCTAAATCTTTATTATTTTAACATTTCATATTGTTCTGTATTTGCAAGTTCTTTTGAAATGCTGTGTAATCCTTCTCTTTTTCTATTAATGTATTCATTTACATTAGTTATTGACAAATAAGCTTCAATGTCAGAAATATCATTGAATAAAGAAAGCTTTTCTTTATATTTTAAATATTCTTCCTTATTTTCAAGTAATTTAAAAGACTCAGGATCAGAGATATCTATATCATATCCAAATTTAACTTTATTAGATAATAATCTTAAAGGAAGACTTTCTTATTTTTATTGTGTATATACTTTTCTTTATTCTTGTTCTAATAATGTAAAAGATTCAGGATCTGATAGGTAATCATCTATTAAAAATTGTTTTTTCTACATTTATCTAGTTCTCTAATTTATTATAATTTCTATTCTTCTCGTCTTTTATTATTCATTTAATAAGGATTTTGCTACATTTTTTTTATTTTCTAATTTTTATTTTTTGTATTCGTTTTGCTATCCTGTGGTCAATTATTTATAGGCCTCTATATCACTCAAAAATGGATCCAATTAAGTATAGATTTTATCTTATAATTCTTTCATTTTCTATATTCTTCTCGATTACTTTATTTAATGTTGTTAATTTTAATCCAATAACTTAAATGCAACTTAGGTTTGATCTTACTTTTTCAGATTTAAATATTGTAATTTTTACTCAAATGTCAATAAAGAGAAAGATTCTTAATCTGAAACTTCTTTTTCAATAGCTTCAAGTTCTTTCAATTGTTATTCAATTTTATTCTTTTATATGTTGCTTTTCCTTTAGATTAGTTATTCTTCATTTAATAATTAGAATGCTGTATTTTAGATCTCTTCATAGAGTGTTCCATCTAACATACTTCGCTGCTTTAATTACAAGTGATTTATTTTGGTCTTTTTGTATTATTCTAATTATTCTTCATTCAGTAATTAATAGGAATCCAGATCAGAAATTTCAATCATATTCTCCCATTAAATTTCTTGGCTAATAGTCTAATTTTAAGTTTCTGTTTGTGGTTACTTTAATTCTGATTTTTAAGCTATTTCCTATTCATTAGATTTAATTCTTTTAACACAAGATAAAATTGCCATTTTGAATTATCTAACTCTAAAGGCTTTTTAAATTATTTTTGCAAACGTGTTTAATTTCTTGTTATGCGAACATAATAGTTTGTTGATATTTTCAAAAGCTTCCTTTTTGAAGTAGACCTAATTTTATCCAAATAATAGCCCTTTGGCTTAAGTTATCCTTTTAGATATTTCCCTTACTAATGCCTTCATATCTTGATTGCTACTAAGATGTTTTTATAATGTTATTTTTCTGTTGAATACATCTAAATGGTGAAATCTTTAATAAAATTCATTATAATTCATTCTATGAGGATAACTAGATTGAAAAAATTTGATAGAATCAAGAATTCTGTATTATTTTAAGTCCTGTCTCTCCTTTAGGCATCTAATATATAATAGTTAAATGTCTTTTGAAACTAAGATACTATTCAATTTAACTAGACTCTAAGGTATTTCATTCTATTATTCTAAATTTTCCAAAGAAGTTTTATTATCTTCAAATTAAATTTAATTATATAGTTCTGATAGTTAGTCTTAGATCAATAATTGTTAACAATTCTTAAAAGTGTGTTAAAGGTATATCTACTCAATTTACTCTGATATATAATTAGAAATCAGATTGGTCTATCCAGGATAATCTAAAATACTTATCATCAAGATATTATCATTTAAACAGGTTAAACCATTCATAACATCAATAATTTGTTACACAAACTTTTAGTATTGTTATCCATTTTCAATCTTCTCTTCTGTTTGCACAGCCTTTTAAACTTCAACACTAGGCAAATTCTGCCAGTTTTATTAAAAATATTCCATGTTCTCATAGTCAGAAGTGTCAATATAATGTAATTATACTACAAAGCCAACCAATTGTTTTTATTTATAGATGAATCTATAATTTACAACCCCTTGCGTATGTCCATATTTGTTGGTGATTAAGGACTTGATTAAATTATAATAGACAACATAATCCTTACTTAAGAAGCTTACAAGATCAGTTATAATTTATGTTTTTCCATATCCTTAATTTCCAGTAATAAATAGTTGAGAACTTTTTCCCAAATCCAAATTTATGTATGCAAAAAACAAAGAGGAGAAAATATGTGGAGGTACTTGATTAATAATTAATCTTTCATCAATGTATTTTTTGTATTGAATAAAGTCGACAAGAGTTGAATTGACACTCTAGATCAGAACTTATCTATCAAGATAAACGTTATTTTTGATTTTAGATAGAATTTCAGGTTCATTAAGATAAGGCAATTCAGTTAAATCAATTGTTTTGTGATTACTGGCGCGGTAAACTTGATTTACGGGAACATCACAAGTTTTATCATCTTACATTAAAATTCTCGCTTCACTTCTTTGGTTTAACAATTTTTATAAATTCCCTCTTTAATACTTACCTTCAATGAATACCCAACAAGGAGTGCCATTAATCATCCATGCTGTGTTTATATTCATTTCTAAATATGAATAATTAATAAAATGAAATGATACTAATGTTTTATATTAATTTAATCATAATACATCAATTGAGTTTAAGTGTCATATTGATTCGAAATAGAGTTAGAAAATTATATTGTAAATTGAGCGATTTGATTAGGCAAAAATTTATATTACAAATTATACAAAAAATGATAGTAATGTACCAATAATTTAATTATGATTTAAAATTTATTAAATGAAACAATTGGTGGTTTATAAGTGCTATTGAGACATAAAGAAATATATACAGCATTAGTTCACACAAATTAGCCAATTGATACACCTTTAGAAGAATTAGATACCTAAATAATCAAAATGGTCGAAGAAACTCCTAAATTTCCGATAGATTTCGAGATGTTCAGCTTTACTAAAACTTTTTGTGATGCGGAATTCATAACCGGAAATTAGATCATGTAATTTGACGATGTAATGTGGCCTAAATTTTATAGAAGCAGGAAAGACTTTTAGGAAATTAAGAAATAAGAATATTTAGTTAGAAAAAACTTTGTAATCTCAAAAAAACTCACTCCACTTTAAATACAAACTCATCCATTTTTCAAACAGCCTCATTACACTAATTATATCACGGTTAACCCAAATATACAAGACTCAAAGAGTTAAGATTTTGGAAATTATAATACAATAGTACCTGCATTTTCAAACTTCTTTGATGCGGCATAATACTTTAGAACTTTGATAAAATAAGAAGATAGAATTTTCTATGATGTTGGTCCTTAATGCCTTCATTAAGTTCTGGATTTGCTTGATCTTTACATTGTTACTATATATTCAGGTTAATTAGATGAAAAATTTAGAGTAGGAAAAATGCCAAATCTTGACATAGTTTAAAAAAAGCTTAGGCTAACTTATAAGTCTTAAGTCTATCCTCAGCATAAAGGACACATCTAATTTCTGGTTTTTGAAAAATGATTGTTGAGTATGTGTATCAATTGATAAAAGTAAACAATTATAGAAATTAACTTTGGTTTATATCACTTATTATCATTAAGGAATTGATCTCTGACTCTTTTTGTTTTTTGATTTTAGAAATCAGATTATTATTAGGTTTACTGAAATTAAGAAGGCAATTTAAATTTAGATTAGAATTAATTCTCAAAGGATGAAGTTTGAAATTTAAAAAATTCGACTTCTTACAAATTTCAGAATTTTTATTGGCTATGATTTAATTTAATAATTTATATAATTATCTGACAATAATACAAAGATAATATAGCAATGTCTATACAAACTAAAAACACAAAGAGAAGTATAAATGTGCATAAAATTAGATGAATTAAACTCATCCTATCAAGGCCCTCCTGGACCTGCTAGTTACAATCCACAATTAGATTCTTCATATACGAAACCCCCAAAATGGACTATCAGAGGAGGGAATTAGAGAGAAATTTTAGTTTAACAAAGCCTTCCAGGACCTGGATAGTACCACCCTAAATTGCCAGAATCATAGAAGAAAACCCTCATTCATGGAAAGTCATATCAGTTCGACAAAGAAGAAAGTTATAAACCAGGACCAGGAGCTTACAAAATAGAAGTGTCTTAGTTATCAAAAATTGGTTTTAGAATAGGAAGCTAGAAACGATATAAAGAGGATTAAAAAAGATCCCCTGGACCCGGAGACTATGAAATAATTTCTAAATCTAATGTGCCATCTTTTAAAGTTGGCAAGTAATCTCGATCAGAGAAGAAAGTGAATAATACTGTAGGACCAGGGTAATATAATATGCCTTAGTTAATGAAAACTGATGCTGGCTTTAAAATACTTCCAAGAAGGGAAAAAACTATCTAAAACATTACTCCTGCCCCTAATGCATATGAAATTTAATCATAAGAAAGAGTGAAATCGTTTAAGATTGGAACAAGTAAAAGAGATGGGATATTTAACAAATCAATATCACCTGGTCCTGGTGACTATTCAGTTGAGATCGTAAAGGAATAAGCAGGATACTCGATAGGCAGGAGTTAACGATCAGATAAAAAGATTGATTCAATTCCTGGTCCAGGCTATTATAAATTAGTTAAGCCTAGTAATGCACCAAAATACTCAATATACGAGAGACATAGGGAAAAATCAGAAATGAGTGGACCAGGACCATAATCATACACAATTGGAGATTTTAAGGATACTAAGAGAGTGATATTTGGCCATGCAAAACGTGATAGTTATAGTAGATTAATAGTTCCAGTATGTTAAATGTATTAAGGCTTAGGGACCAGGCGAATATGAGACTGATGTAAAATAAAGAAAGCCACATGTGAGTATCGTATTTGGTAGGGAGAAGAGATCATAAAGTTGTTCAGATCATACCTAGATACCAGGCCCAGGATAATATGAAATATCAACTACTTTTTATGTGAAAAAAAAATGAAATGATTTGGTTTATTGAGAACTAGATATAATATTAATTTTAACGAGTTATTGAATTTTTTATTGTTTACTATGGTTATCAGGAGTATTATTAAACCTTATATTGTGTATCTAATTGAAATACAATAAAAAACTTTGTAAAGGATTTCATCTTTTAAAATATCAGTTCCAATAGTATTTTTTCTAAATGAGAAGCTACAATTAGTAACTATTTTTTACATCAAATAGGATGGTCTAATTTAGGTTATTCATCAATTTAATAATTCTTACATTTCCAATTCATAAGCTACTTAACTCATTGTGTCAAGTCTATTGTTATATTTTAGAGTTCGACTTTCAAAGCAAATGTAAATGAGTTAGCATAGTATATTGTTTTTAAACGATAATTTGTTTTGATCCAAAATAAAGTATTGTATATTTTTAATAAATATAAAGATGATGATAAATAGATAATCTCATCTATTTCTAAGATTAACTTCTTCTCCTAAGTTCTATCATGGTGGATTGAAAGATTAGGATCGTATATTCACAAATGTTTATCGTGATGGAGATCCTTATATTCAAGGTGCATTGAAGAGAGTATGATGATGAATATTTTTAGGGAGATTGGCATAGAACAAAAGACATACTGACTATGGGTTAAGATTGGATTATAGATGAAATTAAGAAGAGTGGTTTAAGAGGAAGAGGAGGAGCAGGGTTTCCAAGTGGTTTGAAGTATTCATTCATGCCCAAAGTTAATCCAGATGGAAGGTAGATATAATATTATATTCCAGACCATCGTATTTGGTGATCAATGCAGATGAGTCTGAACCAGGAACATGCAAAGACAGGGAAATTCTAAGACATGATCCTCATAAATTGGTTGAGGGTGCATTATGTGTGGGATTTGCAATGAGAGCTAGAGCTGCATATATATATTGCAGAGGAGAGTTTTGGGTTGAAGCTAACGCTTTGCAACAAGCAGTTGACGAGGCTTATAAAAAGGGATTCTTGGGAAAGAATGCATGTGGTAGTGGATATGATTTTGATGTCTATGTTCACAGTGGAGCAGGTGCATATATTTGTGGTGAAGAAACAGTACTATTTAAAATAAACTTAAGGGTTTAATCGAATCCTTGGAAGGAAAACCAGGTAAGCCTAGACTTAAGCCACCTTTCCCAGCTAATGCAGGTTTATGGGGTTGTCCTACTACTGTTACTAATGTTGAAACTGTTTCTGTCTGTCCAACTATTCTCAGAAGAGGAGCTAATTGGTTTGCTTCATTTGGCAGACCTAACAACAGAGGCACCAAATTATTTTGCATTTCTGGTCACGTTAACAATCCCTGTACAGTTGAAGAAGAAATGTCAATTCCACTTAAAGAGTTGATTGAAAGACATTGTGGAGGTGTTAGAGGGGGATGGGATAATCTCAAATGCATAATTCCAGGAGGTTCCTCTGTGCCTATGTTGCCTAAAGAAGTATGTGAAACTGTCTTAATGGATTTTGATGCTTTGAGAGATGTCAGATCAGGATTGGGAACTGCTGCTGTGATTGTTATTGACAAATCCACTGATATTATTGATGCAATCTTGAGATTAAGTAAATTCTATAAGCATGAGTCATGTGGACAATGTACTCCTTGCAGAGAAGGTACTTCATGGTTGGTTGATTTATTGGAAAGAATGAAGGTTGGAAATGCTGATTTTGCTGAAATTGATTAATTAGAAGTACTTTAATCTTATTAATTATGTTAAGGAATTAACTTATTAAATTGAAGGTCACACTATATGTGCACTTGGAGATGCTGCTGCTTGGCCAGTTTAAGGGTTGATTAGATCTTACAGGGAAGAAATTGAAGAAAGGATTGAGGATTACCATTCGAAACACCCAGTCAAATCTAGACAATTGCGTAGTCATCCATAATAATCAGGTCATTGATCTATTCATAAAATTGAATATAAAATTTTTTAGTTTCCTTAGTTTTTTACATATAATAATAATAATAATAAATACTATGAAAAAGCAATCAACTAATAGTCAAAATAGTTCAGTTGGGTTCAATAGGACTTAGGTGTTTGAGTAAAAGGCTGAACAATCCAACCCTTTTGAAAAAACACTTAAATCAATTACCACAGACAGAAAGGCTTTGATTTAAAGTTTATTAGGTATTGAATTTAACTAATCAAGATGCAAATGCAAATTCAAATTTGGAGCAACATCCACACAATCAAAGGGTCTTCACAAAAACTATGACTGTAGAAGCCAAGGTAGATGAAATAAAATTTGATAACATTCCAGGAGTGTTATAACAGAAAAAATTTAATTATGGTAATGTGTATAAAGAAAGATCTAAAAAAAATCCCTATGTCATCATTTAATCTTTGGTTAGACGATTCTTAGCCAAGAAGTTAGTCAATGAAAGAAAGAAATATTTTTAGAAATTGCTCAAAGAAGATTAAAAGATTACTATTGTGGACAAATGGGTGAATGATGAAAAAAATTGGGCTAAATCTGTTATCTCGAAGCTCAAGGTTTAACCAAAATAGCAAAATCAGGAAAGAAAAACCATTTCTGGTTTGGATAAAAACAACCCATTTTATCACACATAGATTGAGATAATGGGTGAAATGGGTGTGTTAGAAAGAGATGATTTTATAGAAATCAATCCCGCTACTGCATTTGCTAATCCAGCCATTCCAATCACAGAAGATATTAAAATGAAAAAACCTCCTCTTACCAGACTCAGACCTAAATCTGCCTATTAGAGTTAGGTTAAACCTAAAATTATGCCAATCCAATTACCAAATGATAATTGTCAAATTTGGAAAGCATTTTACAAGAAAAAATACGGAAGAGAGAGTTTGCATGATCTTTCAATGAAGGAAATAAAAATCACAGATGACTATATCAAAATAGAGAATCAGGAAGCTGTTAAAGACAAGGCCAGAATTAATAAAGTAAATAAAATATTGGAGAAAGAAGTGCCAAAAGAACTTAAAGTTTAGAAATAAAAATAAACTTCATCCAAAAAGAAATAATTGGAAGACAGCATAGAAGATGAAGTTCAAAGTGAATAAGTCTAATCAGAAATAGCTGATGAAGTGGAGGAAGAGATCCCAGAAGAAGAAGATATAGAAGAGGCAGTTGAAGAAGATGGAGTTGTGGAAGAGATTGAAGACATCTAATCATCTCAAATCAAGGAAGAATCTATAGTTTAAGAATCCTCTGTAATTAGAGAATCTATTCCATCAGCTTAGAAGAGTTCAAAAATCATTAAGGAATCCATTCAAGAGGATTATGGAGATGATTTCGAGGTTGAAGAATCACAAAAAATTAAGACTCAATAATCTTAATATGAAGATGATCAATTTGATTCCTATCATAGTCAAATGGAAGGTGATGCTCAAAGAAGGAAGGCTACTCCAAAATCTATTAGTGACAAAGCCATAATCTCACCTTAAACATTTGTACCTGAAATCAAATCAGTCCCTATTGAAATTGAACCAGGGTGGACTACCAAAAGAGCTAATTTAGAGGCAGAAATATTACTGAAAAATTACAAGGAAAAGTACTCTTAATTAAGAGAAGTGGAAATTAAGGATGAAGATTTTGAACCACTCAAATAGGAACATAGAGATCTAAAATTCATTCAATAATAAGTTAACAATCTAATTTCCCACACTGGAGAATTCTATAAAGGTTGGAAAGATGCTGTCAATCCCTAACCTAGTTAATCAGCTGACAAACTATATGCTTAATTCCAATATGAATTTTAAAGACTCTTATCTATGAATAGTTTAGGAACAAGATTCAGCAAAATATTATAATAAACAATCGTTAAGGATGTTCCTGTTGGCAATGTTAAGAATATTATGAGTGGAATAGATTAATAAATGTAAATTGTTTAGCAAGTCTTAGAGAATCTATTATTCTAAGTGCAATAAATCTTTGATTTCAAATCAACCATGGAAGAAATGAGATTGTACAGAAAAGAAATGGATTAAAAATTATAGTGGTTACTATTCAAATAGGATAAACTTATTAATAATCAATTAGGAAAATAATTAGAAGAAAGAGATAGAGATTTGAAAAAATTCATTGCAGCTTTATTTGAAAAATAAAGATTGGAATTCGGATCAAGAAAACTAGCAGCTACTGTTGATCCTCATTCACTATCTGAAGCACTTTTAAAGAACTAAGGTATATTGTCATATAAATTTGAATAATCTGCATAGTCCAAGAAGGATTCAAGTGTTGGTAAGCAAAGAGATAAAAGAAGTGCGAGGGAGGAATCCTATTACTAGGCAGACTTTGAAGGTGAAGAATCTGAAAGGATTAAGACTGAAAAGTCAGATTAAAATATTTATGAATAATCATATAAAAACAGTATTTCAGAAGATAGAGAGGTAGATGACGGATCATAATAATCAGATATAGATTGGTAGACAGATATTAATGTGTTTGAAAATACTCAGAATTCTTTTGTTGATAAGAAAGATTTAGATGTTTAATAGATTGTTGAGTACCTTTAAGAACAATTGCTAAAGGAAATTTTGGAGGATCCATTTCCAGTTAGAGGTCAATTACAAAATTCTCAAGTTAAAAATGAGTCCAATATATCTTCATAATATAGTCAATCTTTTGAGGAGGAATCATTATCAGCTTCTAAAGAAGTAGTCCCAGAACCAAAATAGCCTCCTCCTCTTACAGTAAAGCCTATTCAAACTAAAGAAAAAGTAGATGATTTTGGCATGGGCAAGTCTGCTATAAATAGAGATGAGTTATCAAGAGAATTTGATTTGACTGATAATTCTTAGTTTCCTGAATAATCCGAAAATAAAGAGGAAGGTAAGGAAATTAAGTTGGTTGCAGATTTTAGATATTAAAATTTTGTAAAATAAATTCTTGATAAGTATGGTAAGATGCTTGAAGGAAAAGAAAAGCAAGTATTGACTAAATTCCAATCAATTATGAAAAAATACAAAAATGATAAAACCTAACCATTAGGATATTTGTTATCTACAGAGTTTAAGTTCATAGATAAAAAATAGGTGAATGAAGAGTAGGGATTCTAAATTGTGCAATCTTTGGAGGAACAATTATGTGAATAATTTTTAAAAGAATACAATGATGTACTTATATTTGATAAAAATGTTAGGGCTCAAAGTTGGATATCAAAAGTGCACTAGAATAAGCCAAGGTTGTAGTTCTGAAGATAACAGAAAAAAGAATCCCAGTAGATGCTTTTAGCTCTTCCTACAATCTAAATCAAATTTATAATCATGCTTAGAGAAAACCCCCTGCAAAAGAATGTCCTCTCAATTAGGAATTGGCTGATGTCTACATCAATGAGGAGATGGATAAATTTGGCAATGAAGTACATATAGGAATAATTATTCATAGGCTACTGAATTCATTCTAAAACAAATAGCTAGGACTACGATGGCCGACTTTGATAAAATTCTACTAAAGAAAAAGAAGTGAGGCCTATTTTAAAATTAGAATTTTCATAATAATTTGTAATTACTTATTATTAATAATATTGTAATTTTTGTAATTAATTTACTATTAAATATGAGAGACAAATAAATTTGATATATTCCAGAAGTCCTTGGAGATTAAAGAAAATAATATAAAGATTCAGTTTATTTCATTTAGAATATGAATACCGTTTTTAAATTATTAATGTTATAATTTATATTAAATGAAAAAAGAGTAGCATCAATAAAGGAGAGACACAACACTGATACAATTGTTAGTATTGTTGGGCGCATGCTTTACAATGGGCATAGTTTTATTCAAAGTTGTGGGATTACACGGAGCTTAGAATGATTTATCATTTGAGTAGGCCTCGTTGATTTAGGAATAAACATACTTAGAGCAATAAATAAAAGCATTACAAAATTCATTGGCTTAACCCAGCTTTTTAGAAGTCAGAATGAGTGTGAATAAAAAATAGCATAAATCAAAAATACATTCATCCGAACATAAACCTCTTGAGATATAGAAGCCAACAGTAGACAAAAAGGAATATGAATACTTGGAATTACCTAATAAATTGAAAGTCTTGTTAATACGAGATCCAGAAACCAAGTTAACATAAGCAGCATTGAATGTTAATGTAGGGTCATGGTATGAACCAGATGAATTTCCTGGTTTAGCTCATTTTTTAGAGCACATGCTATTTTAAGGTTCACATACCTATCCTGAAACAAGTTATTTTGAATAATTGGTGGCTAAAGGAGGAGGTTACACTAATGCATACACTGAAGGAACCAGAACCAATTACTATTTTACAATAGATACAAGCAGAACAAGTGAGGCTTTGAATGTATTTGCACACTTTTTTATAGACCCTCTCTTATCATAAGAGATGGTCTAAAAGGAAGCTAATGCAGTGAATTCTGAATATGAGATAAATGTAGCAGGAGATGGATGGAAAATATTGCATTTAATGAGTTTGATGTCAGATCCTAAGCATCCTATGAGTAGATTCACTATTGGAAATTTATAGTCATTACTTAAGCCGCATGTTGTTGAAGCCTTAAAAAAGTTTCATGAATAATATTATTCATCTAATCAAATGGCTTTGGTGATCAAGAGTTCATAACCAATTGAAATGATGAAAGAGTTCATTGAATCAAGTGAGTTCTTAAAAATTCCAAATTTGGAAATAGAGAAGCCATCGTTAGCTCATTTCGGATTGCCAATAAAGGATGTTTCTAAATTAGTAAAATATCACATCAACACAAGAGCAACAACCCTCATTTACTTTTATTAATTAGAGGATAGTACAAAATATTTTGAAACTAAGCCTCTTCAATTTATAAATTCGATAGTCAGATCAAGACATGATGGAGGATTGTACAATTACTTAGTAAGCAAGAATCTAATTGTTGATATGGATTCTCAACCATTTTTAGGTAATAATGGTTGTTTCTAATTCTATTTGATTGAAGTTGAACTAAGTGAAACATTGATTGGTCAATAAAAAGACTATGCTCTATAAATTGGACAAGCTATAATCTCATATTTTGAAGAATAAATACACAAGTTTTATGATGAAGAGTAGAATCCAACAGACTTCTTAGAAGAAACCTATAAGACTAAGAAGGCTATGTCAGATGTTCAATTTAAATTCTTGGAGAAAGACATAGACATATTCAAATTATCTCACAATCTGAATACATTCCCACCTAAATATGTATTAAATGCAGAAACTAGCTATTTTAAATATGATCCTCAATGTATATATAATTATTTAGCTGATCTAATGAATCCTAATAATATGTTGATTTTGATTGGAGATGATGGATATAAATTGGTGTAAGAGGAAATAGAAAATGAAGAATTAAAGGCCTCATTCTTATCATTCTAATAGCCATCAACTTTGTTATTGCAGTAGAGTGTTGCTGTTAGTGATTTAGATTTCATCAACTAAAGAGAACTCCAATTTTCAAATGATCTTTATCACATATAATATGATGTTAAACCATTAGAGAGAGACAGTTTGGATTTCATGATGCTTGACAACATTCCATTGAGTTTACCATAAATTAATCATTACGTCCCAGTTAATTTAGCTTTTAAATCACTATGTGAATCACAGCAGATCTCATATATCTAATCGGTTGATTCTGACACTCTGTATGATAGAAAAAACAGATAGAATATATTCATAGAAAATACTCACAAAATGCCTTTCTATTTCACATCAAAGAAGGAGTGTTAGGAGCATGAATTTGAATATGAGCAATACAATCATTTCCCATAATTGATTAAGAAGGACATTGAGGGTAAAACCTGGTGGAGATTGGATAGATCATATAGTCCAACTGTGTATGCAGGTATGAACTTTGAAACTGCTTTGGACATGAAATCTCTTAAGAAAGTAGCATTGTTAACAGTATTTAATAGTTATGTGTCTGATAATTTATATAAATCTCTTTAATAATCATTTGAAGCTGGTTATGAATTATCATTTGATTCATCAATGAAAGGTCTATCACTCGAAATGTATGGATGGAGTGATAAATTTGAATACTTTTATAAGAATGTGTTAAGAGAGATTAAGAATGAAATCAGCGATGATGATCTTTTGAATAGAGTGAAACTAAGTCAAATCACTGAGTTGAGTAACACTTTTGAATAAAAATTGTTTGTCTAAGCCACTTCTGTGATATTGCCAACCATAATTCAAGGTTAACCAACCCCTTCTTAGATGATAGATGAAATCAATTCAGTAACTAAGGAAGAATTGTCTCAATTTTAGAAAGAAATGTTAGAGAATTTCAGATTCACTACCTATTTCACAGGAAATATATTGAGAGATGAAGTGTAATCATTGCAAAATCAAATTCCCAAGATATTTGATGAATCTACTTCACATATCAGAATTCAAAACCATATTACTTAAGTATCAGATCTGACTCGCAAATCCATAGTATACTCATTAGTCTCTAAATCTACTAATTAATTGGACACAAATGGAGTTACTCTGAATTACTATTAAATTGGGTACAGAGATTAGAAGTAATTAGCCATGATGAATTTATTATATAAGATTCTCCACAATGCAGCATATGCCTATTTGCGTACACAATTGTAATTGGGTTATGTTGTAAGTGTCAAATTCAAGCCAGTTGGTTGTTTGGACAGTGCTCAAATTTTGGTGTAGGGAACAGCAAAACCTCCCTATGTTGTGAATTAACATATAGAAGAGTTCTTAATTAATTATGGACGAGAATTGAAAGAGATGACTGATCAATAATTTGAAGAGCTTAAAACTACTACTGTAAGATAGTCAATATTAATTTTAGATATCTGGATTGAAAGAGGTCGAGAAGAATCTAAAGGACAAAGCAAGAAGCACTTGGTCGCATATTAAGAATAACGATTTGGCATTTGAGGAGAAGGAAATCGCTGCCCAATACATTAACATGGTCACTAAGTCCGATCTCTTTTCATTCTATGACAAGGTTTTCACTTCAGGAAAGCTATCCCTTTAAGTGTATGGACAAGGCATGATCACTTAAACCATGGGAATCAGTGTCAATGATTTAGCCAATAAGGTGAAAAGCAATTCTCTATCGAAAGAACAAACGTATGCTGTCAGGGATGAAGTCACAGTTTCTACCTCTGATGATTTCAAGCAAAGAATCACTTCAAATTATAATTGCAATTACAAGATAAGTAATATTTGAAAATTATGGATAATCAAAATAATTCAATATAAAATTTGAACTTTTATATATATGTTAAATTAATTCGCAGTTGAATTGCTTAGAGATTTGAATTGTGTAAGAGGAAACCCTCTTTATTTTGATACCAGTCTCACTCCCTTATTTGAATCCATCTCATAAAACAGTGAAATGCAAGTACTCATTTTCTGAATTATTCAAGCTATCCCCATGCATCAATCCAAATGACATCCTAGCAGTAATCAATAGTTTTGGAACGGATGTTCATTTCTTATCAGATCACATCATGAAGTAGAAGACCAACGACTATTCCAAGCTCATTAGTGGGTATCGCAAGTAAATCTGTATATTACAATATTTATAGTCGTCTCTCAGATTCTACTAAATAAAAATTTAAATTGATGTTCAATAAACAAATAAACAATCCAATCATCTATTAGTAGCATTTAACACATTGTTATATTCATCTTTACGAAAACACAAATTTCTATTTATTATTGATTGTATTACAATCTAAATATGTGATTGTTGATTCAATCACTCAAAAAAACACTGGCATACAAATACAAGGATGGTTGAATTACCCTACCTAATTGTCTGGAATTCAATTTGTCGACGGAGATTAATATTATGAATTATAGGACTCTGATACTAAATAAAAGTAAGTCACTATAGAAAATCAGAATATTTGGGTATTCGACTTATTTGTTGAGAATTCAAGCACACAAATACTTCCCTTGATTTCCCATAAATTTGGAGACATACCTATAGTCCAATTCTTTTGTGAACAACAAGTAGGGGAAGTCTAACTCAAAGAATAGAAATCGTCATAATCACCGTCCCATCCTATTCTCAAACAATTGCATTTACTCTCTACTCGAGACCCACTCCAACCGATTAAATCAAATCTTCAAAATAAAATAGAATAACTTAAAGGCTAAAAGTTCAATGGGTTTGAATAAGAACATCATCCAAAAGTGCCTCATACTACCTCCAAAAATTTATAATTGTTCCGCATTGAAGAAAACCAATACGAATAATCCAGTGCTAAGCCTGACGACTTGGATTTATATACCAAAAATTTAGAGTCCAAATATCTTAATGCTCCCAAATTTCCATGCCTGATTGATGGATTGATTAGTTCAGAATCATAAATGTTAGAAAAAAGTCAAAATCCATATGTGCCTCTCACTCATAAGGAGTAATCTACACTCTCAGATATAAGATTATAGACCCTAAATACATAAGATTCTGCTATAAATGAGCATCTAAGTAATATGCTTGATCAGAAATAATTACAAAATATATATTAGGATTTATGTCGGGAAGTTGAGAAGCCTTAGTGCAATTTGTAGTAGAGTTAACAAATATTTCAACCTTATAATGTTGAATCTCTCTACTTTGGAAATTCTTAATAGCATTCTAATCGTAATTATGAATCATAAGACTTATTTTAACAACAATAATAATAATAATAAAATTAATTTTAATTCAATTAGCAATAACAATAATAATAACAATAGCAACCATTTAATTAACATTAAGATTATTAATAATAATAATCTTATTAATACTAATAATAATAATATTTATAATAATAATAATAATAGTAATAATAGTAATAATAATAATAATATTATTATGAATAATAATAGTAATAGTTATTATAATAATAATATTAATAGCAATTATATTAATAATAATAACTCCAATACTAAATGATGCTATATCATTAGTAACTGCAATAATATCCAAACAATCTTTAAATATAATAGCCTGAAGAGTAATACTATTTTGAAGAACCCTAATGGGAGTCACCACCAAAAAAGTGGTCCTTTAGTCCCCAAAAGCAAGATGAATCCATAGCAATCAAGAAGAGAACCTCTAATCCTGAACCTTAAAATAAAACATCCTATCGATATTCCATAAGATAATCTATAAAATAGCAAAAGAAATCAGAGTTCTAATTGTCTAATACTCAAAAGATCCTATAGAAAGAAGGTGCATAAATAAAGGACAATGAAATTCCATTCAAATGCAAACTCAAAATTAACTCTATACACCCCTATGATTTTGTTGATTTGAGATCAAATAGAGCATAGAAAAAAATGAAAGAAATAGAATAGGGTTTATTAAGCTAATCTATAAGATGTAAATAATTTTATTATCATTAGATCACAAAGATCATAACTTTAATGCTTTGTACCGTAATGAGAAGTTCTCCGATATTGTTCTAATAGTTAACGAGCATCATTATAAATCTCACAAATCAGTGTTGATTTAGGTTTCTAATTACTTTAAGGAATTGCTAGAAACTAAATAGTTTGAATTGAATTTGTAAGTTGATAACTTATAATTATTTGATTTAGTTTACAAATACATATACCTGGGTAAGCTGACAGATTCAGAATGGAATGAAGTAGGAATCAGTTAGTCAATTAAATTTTATAGATTGGCTGAGAAATTAGAGTTGTACTAATTGATAGAATAATTGATAAGCAGAGTTGTAATCCCTATGATGATCAACGAATTTGTCCTGGATTGGTATGTGATAGGTTTCAGGAATTAAAATTCTCATCTTTCTTACATTTTTAAATTCGTCTATGTTTATACAGTAACCTACTTTTCATTAAATTGCAAAACTATAATCGATCAAATTAGAGGTAGACAAGATGATTCAATGCTTAGAGATTAATAGATGCAAAATAAATATAAAAAAATATTCGATTTGATGACACCAGAAGAAATATACTTTCTAGTTTAACAACCTTTAATGTAGACCGATTTTGAAGGTGTTGACAATTTGCTATGGTTAATAACTGAGAAAAAGCAATGTCAACAAATAGATTTACTTAAACAATTGTCAATGGATCATTTATCTAATTGTGGATTTAAATATAAAGATTTCACTAATTATTAATTCGAATAGAACTTGCCTCTATTAAATAATCAAATTATTGTATATCCTTAAAGATTGTAGGAGACTAAAAAAAGGAGAAGTTCAATATATACTGATTAAGAATTTCATTATTCTGAGTCATTGTTTGATGAATATTCATTTTATCAATAAAACTCAAATACTTGTAAGATCAATAAGCTGGTTTATGAAATGAAAATTAGTAATGTAGTTGGCAATTCCATAGTGATTTCAGAATGTTTTGCCTCATAAAGTCTTGCATGGAGATTGATCATAGATGTTAATGATAAGAATATCGTTTCAATTTATTTGCAAGAAAGGGGATCAATAAAAAACAATCTAAAATACATGAATCTTGAGGATAATTTGATGGATGAATCATTGCCTTCATACACCAAATTAAATTTTATAAGTGTCTTAGTGAAAATAGCAATTCTTAATAAATAAGAGCAGAGTAACGAGAGAGTTATGTATCATACATATCCCACAAATTAATTTCACACAGTAGGGTTTGAGGAGATTCAAGCTGTAAGTTCCTAGTTATGGCTAAAGGTTTACATACAGGAGGATCCACTCCATTCTGCTCTTATGCATTGGTGTGGATATAATTACAATGAAAAGTTCTGTTAATTACCCTATTTTACACTATATTCATTACTAAAATCAGATATGTTGAGAGTGAGTGATGAAAAACAAATCTTAGGATTGTTGTACAATTTATAAAAATCTGATTAGGAATAAAATCTTGATCTTGTCATTCATCCCATCAGATATTTTTATGTGCCAATAGGAGAGATTTTCACATTATCTAAAGATTGTTAGTCAGTTCGCAAGAATAAACTATTTCAAAGCATCTTGAACTTATTATTATCCCATTATTTGGATGGGAAATAACATAATTAAAAACCAAGAAAGACCTATGCCAAGATAGATACTTTAATGAATTAATCAGATTTTAAGAAAGAATGGCTAAAATGGTTGATTTACAGTGATAATAAAACATTGAAAATTAATACTAGTGATATAAAAAAAGAGGTAATAGAGAAGCAAAAGAAAATAGAGAGATAACAGTATTAGTAGTACTTTTAGGTTTGTAATTAAACACCAAAAAAGTAATTAGAGGCATAATCACAATAATCACCTAAATGTAATATATTTTGAAAAGTTTCTTTGTTTTTAAAATTAATATAACTAAATTTAATTACTATATTTATTATTATTATTATATATAAAATAAAAATTAACAATCAACAAGCATGAATTCTAGCTAAATATTATAAGAAATGGCGACCTAATTTAGTAATAGAAATTAAATACCAAATTAAGTGAATTGATGTTCTTCATATTTAGAGAGTTGAATTTAAATTTATTCTTTTTATTTATCATTACATTTCAAATAGAAATTTTACATTACATAATTTCCAAAAGAGTTATTAATTAAAATTAGTAACATAGGAGGGACTGTTTGATTCAAAAGGATTTTGCATATGCTGGCAATGTCATCATCTTAAGCCAATTTAATATACCTTTCTGCTACATTACTACATTTGAGTTAATTATTACCTTCCATATTTATCTTAACTGACTTCTATTATTCTTGATTTGATGAACTTTCCAATAACTTCGAATCCTTTTGGGGGTCCCGAGTTCATCATATGTTGAACGATGTAATTCCCGTACTAACAAAACGATAGCCTTTCACAAAGTGGAATTAAGGAAATGTAAAGTTCCTATAATTTATCGTTGGGAAATATTTCCAAACATTTTTAAGCTATCCTACAGCCGTAAGGATGAGAAACAACCTTATCCACATTATTTGTGACCAGATCTATAATAAATTCAGCATCAGTAACTAAATCTATGATTTTTTAGATAACATGATTTCCACACTAATCGAATATGAGCTTTAAAGCATATGGTTTGATTTGGGAAATAAGTTACACTTTTTGTTGATTGAGGATAAATTCTAGTAATTTTTGGACAACTCTACAGCCAAATTTGTCTTAGGACATTTCCAACACATGAGAGTTCAATTGTTCAAAAATCAGTGTTCTGGTATTTTAATTACAGTTTTCAATTATTTTTTAGATGACATAATTTCCAAATTTGTGTTTTGATAGTAAGAGTAAATCATCAACTAAGCCTTTAAATATTTTTTCCCTTTGGTACTCGTTTCCCTAGATGAACGATTGTTGAATACTCAAAGAAGCGTATTGGTCTTGGCATTGTTGGGACTAAAGGTTGATTACATATTTGTACAATTGATGAATCAATCTCTGTTTATAATTGTAATTTTTTTGTTCTTTTTTAGGAGAAATAGCCATCTTGACAAGGATAGTACATTGGTTGTTGGGGTAACATGTATGAATGGAATTCATGACTTGAGGAATGTTATCGTGATTGAATGAATGTAGGTTAGACTGTAATGTAAAAGTTGCTGGGATCGGCAGAGGGGAATTCTTAATACCTAATTGAATATTTGTAATAATACGTTGGATCCTCATTTAAAACTGGACTCTCTCTCAGATCTTTGAAACTTTTGATGGGCTAAGGGTATTTATAAAGAACATTATTTTTACAGATTGTGAATGCTGCTGGGATTTGGTAATGGAAGATCGAAATTCTGAGCATTCTGATTCATCATCTACAGAATTAAGTAAATTGATTACCATCAAGAAGGGAACCTATCATATCTTTTTCTGATTGCTCAGTCTCTTGCATCGAATAATGTTTAATAAACACAAAAAAATTATAATCATATTCGTCAGTATTATTTGGCTTTAGATGAGTTAAAGAATTATCTAATCATACAGTCAAATTTAGTTTAAAGTAATTTCTATTTAGGAAGAGGCTTAAGTTATTTAATCAAGCTTCTTTTATTTTTTTAAGGAGATTTCGTGATTAGTAGTCTATCCGAAGTGGAAGCCTGAAATGATTAAATCGCCTTTCTATCAGTGAGCAATCGATTGATAGTTTTGTTAGAACGCATAACTTGTTGTTTCATATTTTATAGAAAACAATTTGAAGTTGGAACGTATTTATACGATTTATATGGAGCAATCTAAGGTTGCTCAGTCTTTAAACGTTGTTTTTCTGGAGTTTGAGCCTTCGTTGGTGATTCTGGAATATGCATACTTTCTTCCAGATCTGGTTGAGAACGTAGTATAAAAAGTGGATTTTTGGCATAAATTCGAAAGTTCCTTTTTTTATGATCGTTTCTCATGTATCTTCTTGCACCTTCCAATTTACTTAGGAATACATCAGCCAATCGTTCTTATTTGTGGTAGGCTATTTCACATAATTAATTTGGTAGACGATCCTCTTTAAGAGCAGTGGTCCCACACTACTCACAAACACAGCTCTTGCGACGAACTTGTGTTGAATCCAATTTAGGTCCATCCAGGTACTTTATTGATAGATGTTACCTACTATGCATATTTTTATTTTAAATTTATGGATTAAAACTAAGTGCAATCATATGTATTGGAATGTCTTTTTGTATTGTCCTAAACTATAAGGAGGATCTAGAGTTAGTGGAAAATATAGGTTAAATAAAAAGTATCTCATTAGAAGTTAGTGATTATACTAATAATAAATACTATATTATGAAATCAAGTAGGACAAATTGAGAACTTACATTTATCCTACTCTTAAAATTGGCAGATTTTGATTGAAAATGGTATTGAAATTGAAGTAAGTTGATGTTTAGTATAAAATTGGATGGATTTGGAGTATAAAATTATGTGTTGAGAATTATTAATTATTATAATCATAAATTAGGTAGTTAATCTTGGAAGGGAATAAGAGGTATCAGATGGAGTTGATTTAAAGGGTTGTCATAAATAATGAAATGATATATCAAACATTATTTTATATATTAAAAATGAGTTAATTGGTTTCTTGTGGGAAAAGCATTCTCATTCATGATTAATCTATGGATCCTGTTTTAAGAATTAACCCACATAAATCTAGCATTAATTGTTGCATTTGGAATCACAATAGTATTTGAACTTGTAAATTTAATAGATTGTGTTATTGCAAGTTGTGGCAATGATGGAGTTATAATTTTAAGTCGAGCTACGGATGGTGAATCACTTTTGCCTTTGGAGCATAACGGAAAAGCAATTAATGCAATTTCATTCACATCTTCTAGCCAATATTTAGCAAGTGGAGGTCATGATTCAATTGTGCGGGTATGGGATTTGAAAAAGAAAACTATTCAAAGTCATCTCAAAGGACATTATTCTTAAATTAATTCATTGCATTGGAATTCTGCAGACACTCTCATTGCAAGTGCCTCTAATGTAGGTGACATTCTAGTACATGATGTAAGTACACAAATAGCAGTATCCACATTCAATTTAAAAGGCTCAAAAACCCCTGGATTCAAGGCAGTTAAATTTATGAGCAAAAATCTCTTGTGCTCTGGCAGCAATGATGGGTCTGTGACAATCTTTGATCTAAATAAGAATGAATATCAATGCAATTTCTCATCTTAACACACGAGTAAAGTGACAGGACTAAGTTTTACATAATCCTTAGTCTGTAGTGTTGGAACCGATCAAAAATGTTATCTATATAGTATTGTTGATAAAAAGGTTACACATACAATTGCCTGTGAAAATCCATTGAATTCTGTAGCCATGCAAAATGACGATTATTCTGTTACTGTGGGCACTCTGTATGGATAAATCTATGTGTATGACATAAGAATGACCCAAAAACCGAAATCTTAATTTAGAGGACACGACAACTCTAGTGTTAATTATATGGAATATTAAAACATTGAATAACAATCTCAATAACCTCCTGTGTCATAAAGACTATTAAATGAAAGCAATTTGAGTGTCCAATCATAACTAAAACCTAATCCAGGAAAATCCCCTTTGATTTTGGAAATCAAGAAAGACAGTACGAAAGACTTGAGTACTTTAAGTAATAAAGAATCAATGATTAAGATTGAGTAATAAAAGCAAATGCAATATGATCAATGTAAACTAAATCCAATTTATTTAGGTAATAGTCCAATCTCGTGTCCAATCAAGTTAGTAATCTAAATTTGACTAAAGCACTAGTAAAATTGAGGATATCTCTAGGAAATATGAGGTTAGCAGAGTAATTGGTGGATAAAATGAGTAATTGTTTTATGTTTACTGCTAGCTTTACTGATGAGCAAAAGAAATACATTCAACAGTAGATTAATGAATAAACCTATCAATTAAAGAAGATCGTTTAGGATAGTGTTAGTTCGATGCATGTTGATATGATTAGATAATTTTAAATTTAACAAAATGAAATGCAATAACTGTTGGATCAATATATGAAGGAACAAAGTAATCTAGTTTAGAGAATCTCTTAATTAGAATAAGAGAATCAGTAATTAAAAAGATAATCGTATTGAAATAAATTAATAATTTATGTTATAAGTTTATCTTGTTAGATATGATTGTTTTAAAATACAATAACTCATTCCGAATAGAATCTTTTGCATTCTATTTTATGCCATATGCGTTATTGATTTAATACTACTTCTATTCTCGTGTTCCTTTTTTATTCTCCCTTACTAATAAGAAGATGTCGAATAGCAATTTATAATTGAAAAAGTAATTGTTAACTATTTATATAGGAAACTACTGATTGGAACCTGAATTTAAATTAACAGCAATTCACTCGTTACCCCATCATAGGAAAATTGAATGGTCAAGAATTTAGACTTGAAAAACATCATTATGTTAATCTTCTCGACAATAACACTTCAACCTACTTCCAGAAAACTAATTTCCATGAATTCTTGGGCTATCTTGATTATCAGTTGGCCAATTTAATGTTGCCAAAAGTGCATTGTCTCTTACTTTAGTTTTCAAAACGATAAACTTAAAAAATTATAAAAAATTTGCCGCAATGTAATAAATCGATTGGCATACCCATCACTCCCTGGTTTTGGAAGGGAGATTAAATATACTACCTGGCTGAAATATGTTTCAAGATCTCATCCAAGGATAATAAATTATATTTTGAGGGTGGGTGCATGAAAGACGGCTTCATATATAAAAAACTATCAACTGATGAAACAATAAATTTTGACAACTTATCATTGTACCTTACACATGTAGATGATCAATAGATGAATAGATTTAAATTTTCCGAGAAAAACTAAAAACCATTTATAACATCACTCCATTTAACTTTAATATATTATTGCTTCTTATTTGGCATTTCAGGTACCATATACATGATATTAATTTATTGTATTTTATCAATAAGAAAAAGGAGTGAAAATTAATATGTATGATAATCACTAATATATATATTAAATAATTATTGTCCATTTAGCATATATTTTAAATTAGGTGTTGGTTTCAACACTGAATGCTTAGGATGATTGGGCAGGAGAGTGCTGAATTAGATCTGACTTAAAGAAGTTTATTGAGTAAATGGGGGAAGGAAGGAAGAAATGCATATGAGTTTAGATGGAAATAGCGTATTTATGAGAGGGGGAGAGTGATTCAATGGGAATAAGTGAGAGAGACTTTAGAATGTGTGGAAAAATGATAAAATGAGAATGGTTTAAATTTGAATATTATTGTATATAACTATATAATCAGTTATTAATTAATTGCCTAGTTAAATAAGATATTTTGGGAAAGGGGGTGGATTTTATGATTCAAAGCTGTGAAGAAATTCAAATTTCAAACATTAAAAAAAACAAAATCCTTTTTCGTAACCGTCACAATGAGAGAAATCGTTCATATTCAAGGAGGACAATGTGGTAATCAAATTGGTGCCAAATTCTGGGAAGTCATTTCAGACGAACATGGTATTGACCCAACAGGAACATATCACGGAGATTCTGATCTTCAATTGGAAAGAATCAACGTTTACTATAACGAAGCAACAGGAGGAAGATATGTCCCAAGAGCTATTCTTATGGATTTGGAACCAGGTATGATCTAAAATTAATGAATTATAGGAACTATGGACTCTGTCAGAGCTGGACCATTCGGACAATTATTCAGACCAGATAACTTTGTTTTCGGACAAACAGGAGCTGGTAACAACTGGGCCAAGGGTCACTATACCGAAGGTGCAGAATTGATCGACTCAGTCTTGGATGTAGTTAGAAAAGAAGCTGAAGGATGCGATTGCTTATAAGGATTCTAAATCACTCACTCATTGGGAGGAGGTACCGGATCAGGAATGGGAACCTTGTTGATCTCAAAGGTCAGAGAGGAATATCCAGACAGAATCATGGAAACATTCTCAGTCGTCCCATCACCAAAAGTGTCTGACACAGTCGTTGAACCATACAACGCCACCCTTTCAGTCCACTAATTGGTCGAGAATGCCGATGAATGCATGGTCATTGATAATGAAGCCTTGTATGATATCTGTTTCAGAACATTGAAATTGACAACCCCAACCTATGGTGACTTGAATCACTTGGTCTCAGCTGCTATGTCAGGAGTTACATGCTGTCTCAGATTCCCAGGTCAATTGAACTCTGACTTGAGAAAATTGGCAGTCAACTTGATTCCATTCCCAAGACTCCATTTCTTCATGATTGGTTTCGCCCCACTCACATCAAGAGGATCATAACAATACAGAGCTCTTACAGTCCCTGAATTGACCTAATAAATGTTTGATGCCAAGAACATGATGTGTGCTGCTGATCCAAGACACGGAAGATATTTGACAGCATCAGCTCTCTTCAGAGGAAGAATGTCAACCAAGGAAGTCGACGAATAAATGCTTAACGTTTAAAACAAGAACTCATCTTACTTCGTTGAATGGATTCCCAACAACATCAAATCATCCATCTGTGATATCCCACCAAAGGGTTTGAAGATGGCTGTTACTTTTGTTGGTAACTCAACTGCCATCTAAGAAATGTTCAAGAGAGTCGCTGAACAATTCACTGCCATGTTTAGAAGAAAGGCCTTCTTACATTGGTACACTGGTGAAGGTATCTACTTTATATTAATCTATTCTAGGTATGGACGAAATGGAATTCACTGAAGCTGAATCCAACATGAACGACTTAGTCTCTGAATATCAATAATATCAAGATGCCACTGCTGAAGAAGAAGGAGAATTTGAAGAAGAAGGAGAATAATGATAATCTAAGTGATTTTTATCACAACATATATAAAATCAACAACAATCATCATTTAATTCTTAACTCTCTCTCTCCATTTCAAATTAAGTAATAACTACTTTAATTTATCTCTATTTCAGATAAATCATAATTCTATATTATCGAGCACTTAATCATATTAGTATGTTTCGTGCTCGACTAAATTATTTCTTGAACTTAGTTTCTAAATCCTTTTATATAACTCACCATTGTTTACTGTAAGTAACAATTGTTCAATTACTATTCTACTTGTTTCATAATTTTCATTCTAATATCAATTTAAAATTTGGTGTGATTTTTTCTATTGAAATGAACTTATTTAGCTTGTTCACTTTCAATTATTCTAGATTGTTGATCTACTTAATTCACTATTCTCTTTCATAGATAATAATTCGCAATTTTCTACCAAATTTGGGGATATCAAAAATGATAAAAATTAATAAATGCTCCATTTGGTCTATTATAGGTGCTATTACACAGTTATAATCATAGAATCTAGAACAAGAAACTCAAAATTTCTAATTTAACACTTTAACATTCTAGATAGTTAAATAACTTCAATGTGAAAATACTAAATTGTATATTAGTATAAGACCTAAGATTTATGAAATAATGAAGGGAATCTATGGGAAACAAACTCACACGATTAGAATTGTTGAGAAACACCAATTATTCACATATTTAATAAATTATACTTCTTATAATTTAAGATGTCATATATTAGTTTTAAGGTGATATCAGAGACGAGATATTCACAAATAGTTCGTATATGCGGTAATCATCCACTTCTTGGTTAATGGAATCCTCATGACTCATATCAATTGCACACTTCTAGTGAAACTTATCCTGAATGGGGCCACGAAAGCAAAATTCAAATTGATCCAAGTTAATAATCGTTTTGAGCTTTTAGGTTTTCGATTAGAATTCAAGTGCCTAATTCAAGATGGAGATGATTACATTTGGGAGAGCATCCCAAATCGAATCCATAAGTGCGACTTTAGGCGCAATTTCCTCTATATAACATTCGATAAACCCTCAATGAATATTAGAACATTTTAAAAATATGAAATCTCGAATGAATTTGTTTAAGAGGAGCTAAGTATATATTTGTATAAAATGCAATTTAGTGAAAGTTTAAAAACTTAATCGATCAAGAGATTATGATCCCTTTGATAATGCTTTAGATTCAGTATGATAATCATTAAATATTAAGTCTGATAACGAAAGCAATGCAGAATTAACGATAGAAGAAAGAGGACCTGCCACTGTCTCAATTCGTTAATTGGAAGCAGATTGGAGAGAAATAATAAAGGTATAATAATAACTTAATCCATTTTAGAGTCATTTTGAATGTAAACAAAAATTAAAGTCAATATCTAAATTTAAAAAAATTTCAGAATAATACGGATCTTCCGATTTGATTTTTGATTATAAAAGAAAGCGCTCTTCTTCTACTCAAATATTTACAGACTCTTATGTGATTTGTTTGTCTTTGAAGATACCTTTAAAAATAACTTTAATTGATTAATTCTGTAAAGTGACAAATAAAAAGGGTATGTTTACCGTAATTACATCTAGATTTAACAAACAAATATAAGTTTGAATCTACTTCAGATCCATATTATATCAATATGTACAATCTTTTTAGTAACAGATTAAGTTTGAAGGCAATTTGGATTGGATGGATCGGAATTCAAATTGCAGATGAAAATGAATATGCTCTAATCTAGTAATATATTTATGAATAGTACAAATGCTTTGGAATCTAATTAGATGAAGACATCCTAGGCTGTTTTCCTTAGTTGATAAGTCCAGTCTTCAATAATTTAACTCCACATTTGCGATTGCACTCGGAGGATGATTACATGGAAATCAATAAGATCTTTGCAAAATATGTTTAAGAAGCATTACAATGCACACTATTTGCAAACTAATTTAGTCATTTGCACTCGATATTCATTTTTGACTATCATCTCTTTCTGATTCCAATCTATATAAAGGAAGGATTAATTCGAAAAAATGAGAATAGACCAAGGATATGTACAATAATGAGGAGGTCATTCCCAAATCCTAAATAGTTTCGAATTCTATCATGCAGTGAAACTATATTATCATCTATATTAATGAGTGATCTGATCTCATTGATATAATTAAAAGATTTGTATTAATTTGTGCATTGTCTACCCTAAAAATATCAAAAACTAACACAAGTCTCTGGTATGAGTGCATTTACAATTGAAGTCTTAGGCAGAAAAATCATTTTGGATTATGGGAGTGTTGGCTTGAACATTAAACAAATATCAAACCTAATAACGGTAGACGATATTAATTAAGATTAATAATTTACCCTACTTGGAGTTGATAGTTTATCGCTCTTAAGTGGTCTGCTATAGAAATTCAAAATAATTGAGTAGATGCATCTACTAAAGTAATATAAGATCTAATTAATTCAAATCTTATACACCAATAATGATGAAGATTATTAGAGTAATTCTTAGATAGCTAGATACTTAGAAGAAGTAATGGCACTAGCAGAAAAAATTAATCAAAATTGTTAATAGGAATTAATTACTATTAAACTTGATCTAACATAAAGTGAATTAGTCAGTCTCTATGGAAAGGCGGATGTTTTCATAAAGACCTCGTTGAGGGAAAGCATTTGCTCAAACTATTTAGAATACATCTATGTTAGATAGTTTAAAAAGAGAGCTGCAAAATTAGTCCTAAGTTAATGGTGTTCATTGAAAGTTGATCATAGAAAAATCAATCCTAACAATGCGTCTGAATCAGCTAAGACAATCTTGAATTATTTGATTGATCAAAAACCTACATTTATTAATGTTCCAAATAGCGATGATTGGTTACATAGACTAAATGATCATTTGAGTTATTGCGAGGATTTTTGGTTCGATAAATAATTGTATGACTCAGCAAAAGAATTAACGATTGGTTTAAAAGATAAGCATTTTTGCTCAATTGAGACAACCAATATTGTTTCGAAATTTGCTAATACTAGCTATCTTGATAATCAGAGAATCATAATTCTTGCATACACTCAAAAATTTTTATAGAAGATCTAAAAACTAGATTAATTAGTTCAAGCATTTGAAAAATTAGCATAAGATGAGAACAATACTCTTATTATTGTTTCTGATTAAGAATGCGAACTCATGGAATTGAACTTTGGTTCCATCAATAATTTGTATATGATTGCTTAAGATGGGCTCTTTATAAAATAAAATAATCAAACTGGTTTCTAATAAATTGTAGATAGAGATGATTAAATATAAGCAAAATTAAAGTAATTGTCCCTTTTGGAACATTTGAATTTAACAGAAAAGAATTAAATTTATACTTTATCCTTTAAAGAGCAGATCAAAGATACAAATGCTGCTGCTAATGTTTTCCTTTCTAATTTAATTAAAGAACTAAAATTAGAATTTGATGATTATTTGGTGTTTTAAGAGAACTATACAATTAAGATCAAACATCAATATTAACAAATAGAAGAATTACTCAAAATGATAATAATTAATGAAACAAATCAGAAAGGTTTGGTTTCATTTGCTAATATCATTTCATTTGATAGAGGATGGTTAGAAAAGATTATGCAAATATTTTAATATGCAAATATGCCTTTAAACAAAGTATTATTCCATTTAAACTTAGAAATTTCATTGTGTCTCAATATCAGATCAAATCGAAAAGAATAGCAACTTAGTTATAGAATCTACTTAAGATATAATCAAATTGCTAAACAGATATGTTATGGAAAGTTAAGATCAAAAAATGAAAACTAATTTATTTAACTACAATCATCCTACTAATTGAACAAAATTATGTGGAAAGTACCCCTTGACCTAATTTTTATCCTCACCATACCACCATCCATTGGTTGTCTTTTTTAATAGTTTTATTTAATCTCCCTTCTTAAAACTCAAATCAATCTCCTATTAATTTATTAAATATGTATTTACTTTTTATGCTTTATAATCGTACTTAGCAATCACATACTGGCAATTAACTTATTAGTTTTCTTTGTTCCTTTTGGTTGATTTGTCTTACTCCTTTTGAATTTGCTAATCTAAATATCTTAAACTATGAACTGATGAACATCTATCTTTGTTTATGGGAGCCTCTTTCATTAGAGAATCAAAGACTGTTGGTTCATTTTCGTTTTATTTGAATGATTAAAAATAATGAGGAGTCTAATTGATTTCTTGCTTAATTTTTTTTGATGCGTTTATTTGCAAAGGCATTTGATTCCTCTACTTTTCCTTTGTGAAAGGTCTTTGTTTATCTAGTGTATCAAAATCTGTGAAATAAGGACTTCCTAATTAAGAATCTGTAAATGGTTCACTTGATTCAAGAAATGCATTAAATTATTCTTACAAAGTTGTAATTTTATTTTATTTTCCAACATCTGAAATTTATAGATTATTATTATTATTACAATGATTATTATTATTATTATTATTATTATTATTATTATTATTATTATTATTATTATTATTATGATTATTATTATTATTTATATGAACGCTCTATTTCACAACATTATTATTTTTATTACGAAATGACAATTCTGGGGAATCATGCATTTTCAGTTATTCTAAAGTCTCGAAAAATCCATTGACATCAAATTCTTCTGGTAAAAGGCAATTTCTTAATGTAGGAAGGTTCAAAGTCTGAGTTTTAGAGATAAATTCTAAAATAAAGGATGTTGAATGCTTTGATAATGCAATTAATGTGTCATAAGCATTACTTAGATTTGGTTAAAATGTTTACACTGACTTTTAGAGAAATGTTAAGAATTCTATACTTAACAAACAGTTTTCACAGATAAAAGATTTTAAGCCATTATTAATAGTAATTTGATCTTACAATTATTTTGTGAGCAATTCATTTTTCTTTTATTCCATCTATAGGTTTTACTGCATAGTCTTCATGGATTGAATCTTCTCATTGATTTTAATCAGCTCACTTTAATATGTTTAACGTTCATTACTGAGATTAGTATTGATTTCTTTATTCTAGCGTTCTAATGTAGTTATTTTCTTTTTAAGATCTCCTATTGTGACTTAATATTTTGTGGATTGATCTTTAAGTTCTTGATTCTCTAATTTAATTTTCTCATAGTATTCATCCTTATTTAATATGTTTTCAATAATCATATTGGCCATGGCATTGCTGGAATTCAAAAATAGATTGTCCTGATCTGTGAGTTAATTAAAATTCAATTTTCTGTTACTCTTCTACTTCTATGGTGTTCTTTTTGGTGACATAGATTTAGTTTGTTTTTAGTTTGCTTGAGCGTTCTCTAATATCTATAGTAATTCTTATTTCTTATTTTATTGGCGCAGAGGTTCTTTTTTTGTTAATATTTGTATCTATGTTTGTAGTTGCTGCAAAGATTATTAATTAACAGGTAATACACCATCAACACTTTAATTTAATTTTTGATGTTGAGAGAATGCTCCAGGCTTAATTTGTAATTTACTATTTGGCACTAATTTCTGTAGCGAATACATTTTAAAATTAAATTAATCGTTATATGTATGTCTTTTTAAAACAAAAAATCACTCAATTGATTTAAAAACGATAGCGCATCTATTAGGTAAATAGATTTAGATGTAATTAGGTCTACCTTGCCATTCTTCCTTAATGATTGGGAAATTTTGACCATAAGAGGGTGAAACTCTTGAATGACCTCCAAATCTGACATCATCGGTATCTAAAACTATTCTATGATCTGTTTCAAATTTAGTGCCAACTCTAAAATGTTCATATGACTATTAATTAATAATGATTAAAACAAAATACCTAAGTAGGATGGAAATTAAATACAAATAGAAGAGATCCTCTCTCAAAAACAATTACTTTTGTTTCATTGTGCTTTTCAGTAACCCACTAATCCCCATTAGGTAACCAGGGGTATTAGTCTTCAAGATTAATCATTTCAGCATCAAATTATAAGAGCCTGGAGTATCTTAGGGATTAATCATCAGCTAGATCCCATCTTCTTCTGGCATGATGATAACTCCATCCATTACCCTCTCTTGGAAAATCAATCCATTCAGGGTGTCCGAATTCATTACCCATGAAATTTAAGTATCCTTCTCCTCCTAAAGCAAATGTAATCAATCTTAACATTTTATGTAATGCCATGCCTCTAAAAGTGACTAAGGTTTCTGGCTGAAGAGTGCTCATTTCGCTATAGATTTCCTTATCAAAGAGCCACATGGAAAGAGTCTTATCTCCTACCAATGCTTAGTCATGAGATTCAGCATAACATATGCATTTTTCTAGATATCTTCTATTTGTAAGTGTATGAGCGATATCTCCCATATCCCAATCATCATCCTTAAATTCCTTAAGTAATTTAATCCATTTATCTGGAACAGCCATAGCCATTCTGTAATCAAATCCAATTCCACCTTCTTTAATGTTACGACACAATGTTGGATAACCAGACACATCTTCAGCAACAGTAATGGCATTAGGATGAATTTCATGTATGAGATCATTAGCCAGCATCAAATAAACTAATGAATCGATGTCAGCTAATTCATTAAAGTATTCGTGATAACCTCCTGTGAAACCATAACCATTTCCATGATGAACATACAACATAGATGTGACACCATCAAATCTAAATCCATCAAATTAATATTCGTTTATCCACCATGATAAATTGGACAATAGAAATCTTATCACTTCCCATTTAGAATAATCAAATAATTTAGAATCCCATAAATCGTGTTTGCCCTTACCACCAGCATGGAAATAATGATAATCGGTGCCATCCCATTAATTAATGCCATCTAATACATTACTGGATGCATGACTATGAACTAAATCCATTAAAACACTAATTCCATGAGAATGTGCTGTGTCAATCAACTCTTTCAAGTCATCTGGACTACCAAACCTACTGCTGACAGCAAAGAAGTTAGTAACATGGTATCCAAAGCTTCCATAATAGGCATGTTCTTATATTGCCATTATTTAAATAACATTGTACCCCAGTTTAACTACTCTTGGGAGAACTGTTTAAGTAAATTCTTTGAAGGTGTGGACTCTTGGGTCAATACCAGCCATGCCTATATGTACTTCATAAATTTTGAGACATCTAGGCTTTGGTGGTCTGTTGTGCTTAAATTCGTATTTATTTTCTGGGTTGTAAAATACTCCGTCATATAACTTACATATTTTATTATCTAATAAATACTTTATTCTCTTGATTCTGCCATGTAGTTCGTATCCAGGCTGGGATTCTGAATTAGTATTGACCATTAGCATCCTTTATGTAAGCCTTGACTCTCGAACCATGAGGGATCAGATAGGAACCATCTTCATTTCTTGGTAAAAATATTTCCCAATTTCCAAATGAATCTGAAGTTAGAGAATATTGCATTTTATCCCAATTGTTAAAATCCCCTGTCAAATAAACTTCTTTAGCTCCTGGTGCCCATTCCTTATATGTAATTCCGGTGTCAGAAATCAAAAACCCATATTTCTCATATCTAATATTTTACAGATCTAGATACCCCTTGGCAAAATCTTTGAGTGAAGATTCGACTTTGACTATCTATTCAAGTAATTCGAAGAATTTTGCATTCCTTACTTAGAAGTGCTGTTTGTGTGGTTCAAGATAGGGATCATCCTTAAAAACTTGCAATTCATCGGCATTCTTTTGATAGCGTTGTGTGAATTCTTCATTTTCCAAAACGGATTACTAAGCTACTTATAATGGTCTTACTTGATAAAAGAGAGAGTTCTTCTTTTGTAATCTTCTCCCTGGGACATTTTTGTTAGAAAGAGCACTTCCTTAATCAATATATTGCATTATTAAATAATAATTATTGTTGTGTTTTTTGGGAATCAGATTGTTTTCAATATGTATATAATGAAATTTAAATGTTTTCTTGTTGTTCCTACAGAGTGTTCCAACCTGTATAAGAAAAACAAAATAATTGAATATCTAATATATATAATTAATTTAAATGGCTGGAGAAAAATTATAAAGTTCAGGCAAACGCAAGTGTCAGCCTAAATGCCCTGAACATCAATTCAATCTCCAACCGAAAAGTACAAAATGTTGGCTCAAACATGTTACCAACATTGATTTTTGCCCTTTGTATAATGATGCTGTATGAGACCCAAATTAATATCTTTAGTTATCTTGTTATGAAAATATAGTTCCTGTTTTCAATTAAGATGAATAGCAATGTTTACCAGGGTTCATTTTAGAAGTGGATCGAGTATAATTTAAATGAATACATTAATTAGAATGACTATATAAAGAGCATGTAGAAATATAAAGAGGATCATTAAAAAAAAGTTTAGGAATACACAACCAAAAAAACTAAATTAGTAATACATTATTATATTAGTAGTAAATTCCTAAACCAGGCAGAAAGCACAGATATTGTGGAGTTTGTCGCAAACCTTACGCAGATTATTTGGATGTAAATTTAGGAATCTAATAATTTATTTAGCATATCAAATCTGCAGATCACATAAACAGTTTTAATAGACATGAGTTTGTTCACGTGATATTAAAAATAGTAAATGAAGATTATAAAAGTAAGGATGAAAATAAATTTCAAAATGACATCTGTTTTGATGTAGCTACATCTACAATCCCAAAAAAAAGAGGACCAAAACCAAAAAACCCAGCCCCTTAGGCAGAACCAAAAAAAAGAGGTAGAAAACCAGCTGAACCATCTTTAACTAAACGAATAAAAACACAACCAGTTCAAGAATAGTACAATACCTACAGACCTCCATAACCTCAATACTACCATATCTTCCCTTTTCCAGCTCCTTTGAATCAGATGTTCGCTCAATTGCCATATCAATAACTTGTCAACATTCCTTTCCCAATACAGCTCGGATAAGAACTCAATTTAGAAAGAAAGATTGAGGATATGAGTAAGATATTGTGTTACAATAGTTATGGATGGATAAATTGAAGAAGGCCCTCGATTTGATTGAAAATATAATCTAATAATAAACATAATTGAATTTTTAATGTTCAGGCTAATGTTATAGATCAAAATGATATCTTAACAATTTGGTTTTGTCCGTAATACTTATTTCTATTATTTTATGAGTAAGTAGTAAATTATTGATTTACATTCTAGGATTCTAGGATTGAAATATTTAATTTATAAAATAAACATATATGGCAGAAGAATAAAACTTGAAGGAGGACTCCAAAAGGAACGTAGGTTAAACGGGAGCAAAAATAGTTCCACGAGGTTCTAAGGAAATTTCAAACATTCTTGGAGAACGTAGGTCTTCTTATAATGTTGATGGGTTTGATCGTGTAGTTGCTGATGAGTAATTATCCATAATTATCACAGAATTGCTGATTAGAAACAGGTAGGAATTCCTCTGATTGATAAAATTGTCATTGTTTTAGTGGTCTTCTTTACATTATTGGTATTCATTAACTTCTCATTTACATGTAACTTACTTGGTGATAATATGTATAGCCAACGACGCTAAGGAAGATGCAGACATAGATAAAACACTTTTTATTACCAAAATAATTGAATTGGTCATCCTCATTCTCTTTGTCTTAGAAATTTCAATACGATGTATCACAGTTGGATTTATAGTAAATGTTATATACATTAGACATACTTTTCGGATTTGTGGTCTGTTTTTGATGCTCTCATTATTATTGCTTCAATTGTTTTAATCATTCTCGATCTCAATTTAGAAGGTGATGCATTTACAACAATAAGCAAAGTGTTAAGGGGAATCTTCAGATTCTTAAGATTGTTTTTAGTCTTTCGAAAAGTAAATTTCATACTATTTTCCTAAAGTTTAATCAAGTCAAAAAGATTAATAATGCTGGGGCAAGATATGTTGTACGATCCCCAGTTGAGAAGGTAATTGAAATTATGAGAGATCTTGTAGATTAATTCGAAGATCCAGAAATTATAAAATAATTAAATTGGGGCATAACACATATATCTAATAACACTGTTTACGAACCCATAATTGAGGGAAGAAAGAGTGAAGCTCTAGGTTGGCTCAATCAGCCATAATAACATTAATAGATTTCCCAAGATTTAAAACGCTCAATGTCATCAGACATCCAATTTTATGACGAATCTCATTTGCCAGAACAATTAAATTAGGATTTTGAATAACACATCTTAAATCTAGATTATGATTACTTTTCTCTATTTGAAAAATATGATCTCTCCATACTGACTCATTTAATGTGTTACTACTTCCAAAAAGAATAATTGTTTAGTTCTTTGAGAATATCTCCAGAATCATTTAAAAAATGTGTGGATAGGCTAGCTTCAAGTTATCACAAAGAAAATTTGTACCATAACGTTATTCATGCCTTTGATGTTACTCATACTGTTTATTTTTTTATTCAAAAATGCAACTTTAAGGAAATAGGAAAACTATCAAAAATAGATTACTCGATTCTCTTATTGTCTGCTGCAGCACATGACGTCGATCATCCAGGCTTGAATAATATTTTCCTATCAAATACTCGACATGAGTTGGCTATGACTTATAATGATAAATCTCCTCTTGAATAACATCATGCATCCACTTTATTCAGATTCATTAGAGAAGCAGATTTGTTAACAAATTTTACCTTATCTGATTTCAAATATTTCAGAGAAAAATCTATCAACATGATTCTTAGTACTGACAATGCCATGCATGGAAAAGGTATTGAAATTCTTTTCATTAGATTACAATAAATTAAAGGCAAGATTAGCCTCAAATGATTTTGATCCAGGAGCTAAGGATAAAGGAATTTGTTTTGATACATTGTTACATGCAGCTGATATTAGCAATCCTTTCAAACCTATGAAAAACTATGAAAAATGGACCTTCAGAGTTCTTGGAGAATTTTGGGTTCAAGGAGACAAAGAGAAGGAATTAGGTCTTCCAATAACGATGCTCTGTGATAGGAGAACTACAAATGTAGCTAAAAGCCAAATTGGATTCATTGACTTTATGGTAATAACAACAACTAATGATAGGTTCTTCCATACTACAATACTCTAGCATAAATACTCCCCTTATTATCAGATTATATTGATCAAATTACAGAAAATAAAAAAGCATGGGCTGAAAAAATAGAACATTATTAAACTCTTCTAAATACATAATGAATTGTTAATATTTCTAATTAATAATTTTAAGTAGTTATTCTCAATAAAGATCATAATTCAATTTTTATTTATTATATTATAATATATTTGAGAAAGAAAGCAAATAATGTTGATATTAAAAATTTTAACAATTTTCAGTCTTTAAAATATAAAATTTCGTTTTTAAAACTAATTTTCTCTAATTGTCTTGCATATTTTATAATAGGTTCGACATCTTTTAATTTCTTAGAAGATAGTAAATCATTAAAAAAATTAAAACTCAGAATATAGCTTATTGCTATTTATCTATACAATTCCTCATCTAAAATCTTCCCCAATTAAGTACAATTATATTTTCCATCTAATAGTTACATTAGGTTGGCTTCAGTTTCTTCATTTTACAGTATAGTTCTGATTTCCTTAACAATATGCCTTATGTAATAATTATTTAAATTTTTGGTTTTCTATTGTTCATCTACACCTTCTTCAATGACTTAATAATCCCTATTGCTTTTATTTTTATTTTTATGTTTCATTTTATCTATTTTTGAAGACATACGTTTTGTAGATTTTAAATCTGGTTACTCACAATCAATATCATCCTGACTCTATTTACTTGATTATATAATTTCTTAATTTTTATTTTCAAACTATTAGAATTCGTTTTACTCATCTTCAATATCAAATATACAAGGCCCATTTTCAATTTATTTATCCTCAAGAGGATGTTATTTTTGTTATTTAAAATTGTGTATTTGGCCAAGAAAATTTGGTGAACAATCATCCTCTTGGATCATTAATCAATTAAATTATAATGAAATGAATATTGTAATTTTGCATTAAATATAATAAAAAGATACATTATTTAGTATCCAAATATTAATTCTCATAATTCCCCGAAGAATTGATAATCTTCTATTCTTCAGAGCAAATGTAATATAAATCTCACAAATTTTGATAAATAACCTCTATTCAAAGATCATCCGTAAATATTACTTATCACATATCCTTAATTGATGCATTAAAAAATAAATAAATATTGAAAAAACACTATTTAGATTAAGGGGGAATATATATCTTGATAATTTAAATCAAGTCATGAAAGAGAATCATATTAACGAAATCCATATTTTAACTCTATATATTCAATTAAATAGCTTAAAATTGATAAAATTAATACTATTTATCAGTGAAAATTAATGAATTGAAATTATCCAAATCCAAGAGATACAATCAAAACGTGAGTTATCCAATAATTGAATTATGATGCTACTGAGAATTGTGATTCTAATAGTTTCTTACTTATTTTGTTTCATTTGAGTATTGAGTATTGAGTATTAACATTATATTTTATTTTAATGGATAAATTATTATAAAGAGAAATTAGGAATCATTTCTAAAATGAAAATTATGCAGCTGATGTAATTGATATGATTGAGAAAGATGAAGAATTAATCAAGAAATGTTATGATAAAATGGATGATGTAATTCATGTCATATATTTAGTGGTAATTTTAAACAGAAGAAGATTTTCTAAAAAAGAAACTGCAAATGCTTGGCTTATGTGAGAAGAAAGGACTGGATGGTTAAGTGATGCTTTACCCAACAATAAAGAAATAAAGAGTATTAAACAGAGATGAATTCAAAGGGATGGTTGATCGATTATATAAAGTGAAAAAGATGTCAGATAATGATTTTGTTCATCTTAATTAAACAGCCAGAAAATAAATATAATAAATGAAGGTCAAATAACAAATGCTTCAAAAATAAAAGAATAAAAATACAAAACAAGAGTCTTTCTTTGATATGATATCAGATTCATCAGATGAGTAAATTGAATGAATAAATTATCTCTTATTCAATATATTCTGATTCCTATTTATTAATAACTTAATAGTAATTCATTTTAATTTCTAAGCAATTTAATAATGAAAATATTTATTTATATAAAATTAAAGAATAACTTATAAATTCTGGCAAATTTTGATAATATAAGCAAAAAAATAGAAACAATAATTATATTATTATTTAATACTCTAATGTAAAAAGATTCAAGCAGAGACACTTTTGAAAAGAAATTCTAATATGTCACAAAGAAAAGAGTGTTAGCATATAAAAAACTGATAAAATCATAAAACATTCTCAACATAAAAGGAGGAACTGAATTTCTAGAGGGCATAAATAACAAACCTTATATGTCTGAAGATGACTAAAAAGAGTTCAATTAGAAATTTTCACAATAATACAATCATATACAAACTCTCTACAAAAAATGCTTAAAAAGTAGAATGACCAGTAAATACAATAAACAAAAAAGGGAAAAAGTCTCTTTCATTATGAATAAAGATCTTGTATATGATTTTTGAATTAAACTATTTTTTTTATATATTGATAACAATATTTTAAATCAAAATTATCATCTAAAATATAGAATTAATTTTAGAGAATTTATTTTGTTAATCAAACTAATTAGCATATTGGAAGATAATATAAATAGTCAAAATGAAAATTTGATCAAAGGAATTTGATAATATTATATATAGAGGAATTCTTCTATTCTCATATATAAAATTGAAGAAAATTATCAAATGGGAGAATTCTGATTTAAAATGAGAAAAATAATTAATATAAGTATCTCTGAAATATTATTTATATCTACAGATATATATTCTGAAATCTTCTAAAGTTCAAAATACTTATGGCAAGGCACTTTTGCATAATGGGCATGAGAGATTGATTTACATCCACTAGCTTAAACAAGAAGGGTGAAATTAATGGTTCTAAATTATTTATATAATTTACGCAAGGTGTTTTCATTAATAAATTATTTCGAGATGCTTAACTAATAGTTTGTAGTGCAAAGGATTCTCCTTTATTTAGTGTATAATCAGGAATTTATGATAGATTTAACAAACATATCGCACAATCTGATTGTGTGTGTTCGTCTGTTTGCTTGATGAAGTAGTTGTATTTATTCCTTTTCAATATGAACCATCCAAATTGGTTTTAGCAATAATAAATTAAAAATTAAATCAAAACGATGAGCACTATAACGAAAACTACATGTAGTTTTTGTAATAGTTATAAAATATTGTCTTGAAATCCCCTTGCATATATTGAAAGTAAAGCTCTTGGAAATATAGCTCCAATATAATATATATTAAATCTCTGTCTTTCTCCTGTGTAAAAGGTAATGGCAATTTAAGGAACCAGGAAAATATTCAGTAATGTTAATTCGATCGAACGTCTAATTCTCAAAAATAAAAAAGTGACTGATAAAATTTCAACAATTTATAGTAATAAATATCTCTTCTTTTATCTTTCCATATTCTAATTGATATTATGTTAATAATTACAGTCAGTTTTGCTTTCAATTTGAGATCAGAAAATATAGCAACCAGCTAACAAAGCAAACAAGGGAAGAAATAATAATATCTTGGAATGTCAAAAAGCAATGAACTGAAAATACAAATGAATATATCTTGAGTCAAAACGATAGATATAGTCATCGATGCTCCCTTATTTGCAGCTGGATCTGATTTTAAGTAAAAATAAGTGCTAATTATTTAGACTATAGATATGAATATTAAAAGCATCGAGTATGTGAAAGCTTGCATTTGGTAAGTCGAATTGCTGAATATGAATAAACGTATTCTCTCTTCATTTACATAACATTACTCAGCAAATTAACTATGTAGAATAACAGTTTTAGTTTAAACTTCTATTTAGAGATTGGCTTTGCAAATAGTAAGAGGATGTTTCTCATTGTTTTGTAATTCAATTATAACATCTATATTCTCCCAAGTCATAAGACTACAAATATTCAACTCGGTTACTTTTAATTTGAGTCAAAATGATATGAATTATTTAGAAGGGAATAACTGAGTCTAAAATAATGCTTTTCATGTAATAAGTTGTGTTTCTTGGGATAAACTTACATTATCAGATTTTAATTATCATAGACTACATTTATGTAAACTAAATAATCTGAGCTTGCTGTCCATTACCCAAGCATTAATTGATCCTAATTTTGTACCAAATATTTATAAGCTTAATCTAAATCACTCTAAAAATAACTTACTTTAAATATTACCTCGCTGATTACGTAACCAATTATGCAAGCATATAAAATGATATTCATTAAACTTATTTATATTAATATTTAACTTCGATATCTATTTAATTCATACACATGATGTAATAATTTAGATAATTAAAATGGTTACAGACCATCAAATATTTAATATCATATTTTTTAAAAAGAAAATTTCATTTCCTGCTAACTCATCCATTTACTCGAACTGATTTTTTTTACATAGCTTAATTGATATGTAAGTGTTTTGAGTTGCTATTAAATGAACTTCATTCAACTTCAGAGGAGTTTAAAAATAAATATTTAAAATTATCAATGAACAAACTAATCGAAAATACAATAAATTATTGTATTCTTCAAATTGGATTTACGTCCTAATTTTTAGAATATAAATTAATGATTAATTTCAATATACTGTCACGCATAGAATCAGATTAATAATCAAGTAAAGAAACATTATAAGAAATAAATAAAAAAAACTCTTAGTTCTTCATTAGAATTCGTATATCTTAAATTTAATCAAAAAATATCATACCTTAATTAAAGATAAAGTTATAAAAATAATTAAATTGTTTATAAAAATCTAAGGAATAAATTCTTAAGATATTCTTGAGATTATTCAGCCATTATTTAAACAAATATTATAACATTAGTTTGAATTATAAATGTATTTAATATTTTTCAATCAATTTTCACTACCAATTATGAAACTTTCGATAGAACCTATTAAACCTTGATTCTGACATCATCCTATTAATGTCCAATTAGTTATACAAGGTATGGCATCAAGTAAAATAAATGGCCTATGTTTGATTATAATAATGAAGTTTCTCCATAGGAAATTTCTTATCCATCCAAAGATATGAAGCTTATAAAAGAATTTTCTGGTATTTTAGTTTACATAAGATAGTTTAACAAATCAATTAATTTCTTATCATTGTTGAGTTATTCAGAGTTAGAAGTCTATAAAATCTTTTGGCTTGCATCTAGGAAATATTAAAGAACCTTGGAGTTCTCAGATAATATGCATAATTTATGGATAGCAATTTTGGAAAATTAAGATAATTCATACAATTTTTGAATAAATTCCATAAATTCTGATGAATCGGATAACTGAGGATTATTAACATAAATTTGTGAAATTTCATCTATATATTAATTTTGGAGCAATTGATTTTCTGAATTCAAGATTTTACTCTATTGTTAGATATTTTCGCAAACTGATTTATCAGGCAATACAAGTTATAATGTTTTTAATATCTTAAGCTAACCTTCAGCATTACTGGTTAGATAGGTTTTAGCTCTTTAAAGATAATTTTCAGCCATTATCATATAGATTGATTTGTCTTCATTTAAGGTTTCAGTGAAATGCAAATACTAATCGTTGTTTCTCATGGCTATAATAATTGTTTCATAGAGTTATTAAAATTAACAGAAAAAGTCAATATTGCTATCTAAAACAGTATTGAGTTGTAAGAGATGTCTCTTTATTAAGATATGCTTAAATTTGTTATTAGGGGGTTCTTTGATCAATTCATGAATATTAGCTATCATTCTTTCAACGAATTTTTGGGGTTATTTAGATAAATTTTACTAAAGAGTTGCCATCATTTATTTTGGTGCAAGGTTGTCTTCAAAAAAGATTTTGTTTTGAATTAAATCAAGTTTAGAATGAACTATGATGGGGTATTCTAATATTTTATAATAAATATCCACAACTTATTCAATGAGTATGTTAGAAGCCAATTTTACAATATCATTCAAGAATTCCAGTAATTCTGGAGCAATATGTAAAATGAGTGTCTTAATGTATTTAATGTCTTAGTATTGTTGATTAAAAAGAATTGATATTTGATCAATCACATTAGAGAAATTTTTAAGACAAACTATAGGTTTGTAGAGGAATAGCTCTCGCATTTATTTAGCTGCTTCTAAGCTTAAGAATGGTTTATTCTATTAAAATATAACAACCAAGTCTGGTGTGGTTTCTTTGATCAATAATTCGATATCTTAATCTCTAAAATAAATAGATGATTTACTTCTCTTAAGAGGATTCATCAATAATAAGAAAGTACTTTTTTATTAATTTTATAAAAGCTTAGATAACACTTTTTACAGTTTCTTCCCATTAAGTAACATCTAAATCTTTATTTTAATTCTTTTCTTAAAATGTGTTATTAATGTTGTGCATCAACTTCATGAAGATATTTTCTAAGATCTTTTTCCATTGCGAATAGAGATTTTGACAATTTAAATGAATCAACAGATTGCTAAATATATGGATAGCTGAATGTCTGATTTCAGGAATAGGGTCTAAAGCTATAAGTGATAGCTTTTGAAATATCTCAGGCAAATACAATTCAAGTTCTTCGTTGGTTAATATATTATTCTATTCAGAGTTATGGGAATTATTTTTGGTGATGAAATCTCCCAGATGCCAAAGCATATTACAAATTTGGAAATTTATGTTTTATTCGTCTATTTAATTATAAACTGTAATTACTTGAATTGGATTTATATTTCTCGATAATTTCAAATAACTTTTTAATTTATTCCCCATTTAAATTTGATAAAAATTGATTTATGATATATTCTGTGCATGCTAATCCTTACTTAACAAAAATGGTTGTTTATTCTGATCCAATTTCTAATAATAAGACTAATACGGAATCCCAACCTTTTTGTTAGATTTCATGACCATTATTCTGTAGCATCTTTAATACATTGTTCAAAATTATCTCTTTTAAATCATTTTAGTTCAATGCACACATATCAATCCAAGGCTAAAAGAGAGTTTATTAGTATATAGAATCAGTCTTATACCATTTCTCTTTGATAAATTCTGAATGATGCTATTGATTTTTCTTATAAAATTAAGTCCAGTGTTCAAAACCATAAAATATAATCTAAGACAATGTATCTGCTGCATTTAAAACTAAATTGGTGTTACGTGAAGAAATAACTGAGATGAAATGTGCAATAATGAGTTCCCAAAATATATCTAATCTAAATACGTTAAATTTAATTAATTCAACTAATTTTGAGAGAGAAAAATATTTCTTTTGATCTCCAAATTATGAATTAGATCTCTTCAACTCTAAAGTTGTTTACTATTCTAAACATTCAATGGTTATTTAATTAATAGCATCCATTACAGTTATCAAATGTTCATTACCATAGGTAGGACTTTATGAAAACAATTAATCTAAACTTTAAAATAAGATTGTTATATCTAGCGTCTTAATTTATTCCTCTTGACTTGAATTTTTTGCAAGACGATTTCTTAAATAATAATTCTCACATTCTTCAAATGTCTTGAAAATACAAATCCAACTACTGCATTCTAGTAAATCTAAAATAATTAATTATCTAATATAATACTTCCAAGACAATTAGCAATATTTAATACCATTTTATTTATCTAAATGTGTTTTTTTGAAAATTCTTATCCAGTTTAAGGTTTACAAAATTCGCAAATGGTCTTTATAAAAGCATTCTATGCTGCTTTCATCTAAATTGACCCAACTATATTAATATAGGATGAGAATGCAGATAACAAATTTTATAAAGTTTACTCATCTAGTTCTTTGGTTAATAGGTATTTGATTCCCCTTAAATTCAATTTCCAAGTAAATTCAATAATTTGATAAAATTTGTCTGTTGATTGTAATTTAAATAAACTTCCTAATTATATTTTTTATTAATCAGCATACACACATAGTGAATTTACAAAGCGTGATTAAAATTCACTTAACATTCTGCATACTAAACCATTATCACTAGGATATACTTCAGAATTTTATTATAAATTAATTGTAGGACTTGTCATATCCATCCATCTTTTCTATTCTAATTCAGTTGGATCGGAGATGTCTTTAGCCAATCCAGATAACAATGTAATAATATCTAAGATGTAATTCTATCAACTTTAATATTATATTATATACTTTCTCATTCAAAGGAAGTAGAAGTAATTAATCCAAAAATATTTAACTTTAGACAAAATAGATTAAGGTTTGCAATCCCAAATTTTTATGTATCGAATGCTCATTTGATTTTATTTATTAAATTAAGATATTCCAAACCTCTCCTGATTATGGTCCATCCACTAAAAATGTTAAGCACTTAAATGCTACCACAATAATTGAGCTCTTTATCATGTTGATTGGTATGGCTAGTATCTTTCTTATGACTTAAATAAGATGATTTGATAGCAACTCTTAGATGGTTGTGAATTAAGTGAAGAATTTTCCCATGTTTGATAAAAAACTGTTAATACTTGACAATCCAAACTCCCTATCCAGAGGAACTGAGGGAGGAAACCAAGGAGGACGAGTGTAATCGCATATCTTAATCAAATCAGACAATATAGAATGTAGATTTTGCACTTCTTTTTAATGATCTATTGGGGTATTGGATGTAGCTTATTATAAATTTTATTCTTGCTAATTGTCTAAATCAATAATGATATTCATGTCATCAAATCCTTGACCGGCTATTATTAATTGCGTCGATCCCGATAGTAATTCAATTAATTTATCTAATGATGTTTCTGCTGATGCTTAAATTATAGGCATTTTAGAATTTTTCATGAAGAGTACGAATGTAAGACACTAAATGAATAGAATGATTATTCTACTTTTTCAACAAAACCATAATTACGAAAATTAATGAAGTCTTAATGTATAAAAGCCATAAAACTTTGTATCAGTTTATAATGCAATTCATCCTTTTGGATTTCTTTAATTTTCAAAAAGTAATCTAAAACATCTTCACTTGTTTGAATCTAAAATAAATGGTTTTTATCTTACATCGTTAATCACTTTTAAGTTGATCAATTTAAGCAAAAAGCAAATTAAAGTTGTATGAAATTTGGCTGATTTCAACTCTTTTGAAGCAGGTATTAAAATCTTTTAAATTTCTTATCTTGGAATATCTTGGACACCATTCTTTTTATTTTCTTCCAAAACCTTCTGAAAGTTGTTCAGAGAATCTTTCATTGGAGTGTACTTCTTTTTGGACGACATAGCTTATTTGATTATCGAAATTTCACGTAATGCTAATTGAACTCTCGATTCTTACATTATATATAAGTATTTTTAATAACATTATGTTTTATTACTAGCCCCTACTTTCAATAATTAATTAATTCAACAAAATTATAATAATAAATAGAATAAGTCAAATGTCTCACATTCTTGACTTGATTTTTTTATGGGTCTCCCAAAAAGGTTCAATATTATGTCTGAAAAGCGACGACACACTTGTCTTTGATTCTTTGACAACATTATACTTCCACAAACATTATCCAAAAAATTCCTTAGAGAACATCTTCCCCTTTTAACAATTTAGAAATTAGTTTAATTCATATTTTCCTATTTTATCTCCTTGGATTTATAAAAACTATTTAATATGTTAATCCTCTTTCAAACTAGAATTATTTGTCTTATTGCAAAAATTCCTTATGAATAGCTATAATTATCTTCCATAACATTTATGTAAATTCTTGCTCTCTCCAGGAAGTGCTGTCTATATTTTCTTCTGAAAATTAATGTAATAGCATACTTTTTTTATGACTTTGCTTGTCTTTGAACTCTATAAAATTTCGCCATTCGTTGCTTCTGAATTAAGCATATTTGATTCATCGGTAGCAGGATTTTAATTCAACATTGAATAATAACGGTGGAGTTCTGCATGAAAATCTCCAAAGCTATCATAAGCTTGAGACTTATCACAATTTTCTATATCAAATATTTCAGACCATTCATTGTCAGGCATTGTTACACCACTGAAAAATTAAGACATTTGATTCTACAATTTATTATTTTTATTGTCTCTATCTTAAATTTTATCTTGTTAAATATGTGCGCAAGATACATTTTCATTTTTGTCAAGATTTTAGATGCTTAGCTTAATTTAAACACTAATGTAAGATGTAAAGAACAGACTCACAAGAAAAAAATGATTGAGAAAAAATATTCTATTGGGTTATAAAACAATTCAAAGACTACAATAATTCATAAATATTTATTAATTTTTAAATAATAAAATAGAATATAATTTTTTTGCCAATAATTAATTATTCTTTTTCCATTAAATAAAGTAGAATAATATGTAGAGTGATTAAAAATAATGAACTCAAAACTAATATATAATACAAACATTGAAAATCTGGTTTTTTTTGATGTCTGGAGGTTTGTGAAACTCTTACCTAGAGTAACCAAATATAATTGTTGGAAGGTGTATATAAGCTATACATGAACAAAAGTGTTTGACTATCAATTTAGGGATTCTAATTAATGTAAAATTTGTCTGGTACCGTTATTCTCAATCGAGATATCAAGAATTTTTTTGAAAATACTAGCTTAAACATCAGTAACTGGATTCCCTTTAAATTTCATAATTTGTTTATTACAATGCATATAGAATTGACAAAATATGACTGAGGTATGACATGACCATACAATAGACTGTAAAGAATACAATATATACAATTGTCAAAAACAGAGAACTCTAGATTTTCAATTTCTTTGAAAATAACTTAAAAATTAAAGGTTAATTTATGAAGCCAATGTCAAGATCTTCGTAGATTGTTATAAAATGTATATTTTTATCATAAATTATTCTTCTTTAAGTTTTTGAGATTCTATTCTATTATGGCTTATAAATTATTATTATTATTTTAATTATTAATATTTATTTCTAAACAATAGGCTTGATTGAATATATGTGATTATATTGAACAGAGTCTTAAAAATCTCCATTTTAATATGCTTTGTTGGTTTGAGAATTATGAAGGATGTTATGTTTGCTAAATTGATCTAAATGCTGTTGGGATAGAAGAGAAGACAAATATAAAAGTGAATATACGCATTAAGATTATTTGAGACATTACAAATATAAAGATAGAGGAATGAAAGAAAGATATATTGAAAATTAGAATAAATAAAATTAATATGTATTTATTAACGCTGCTTGAAATCATTCTAGTTACTATATATTGTGCAAAATTAATCAACAATATTTGCTGCAAAGAAGTTAACATTATTGTAAGAGTGACATGTTTGATTTCATGGTTGACGAATTTTATTTTGCTAATTTTGTTACCATTAGATATTTATGTAACATTTAGAGATCAAGAAACAAATAGCAATTAGAGTGATTTGGGTGTGCATTCGAGAGAATATGAAGCAATAGGAAATGTAATATTTCATATAAATCAAGATGTATCAAATATTGTATTGGGCCAATTTCATACTTTGTTGGACGATTATTCCAATAATGTAGGAATATGAGGAAGCGACTGATCTTAATCAAGCTTAAAAGTTAATGAGATCCTTGATCAACAATGGCAAATTTTTTCTAGTGATTGGAATTGCTGGCATTGTTTTTATTGTCATAATTGTAATGACAGGATAAGCATCAGATTATGGTTTAACTAAGTTACTCAAAAGTATGGCTAATTCTTTTGGTGTGGCTTTGATTATAGTGTTGTTGGGGTAATTATCGTTAGTCTATAATTTTAGATATTCTCTCATTGCAGTTCCAAGGGCTCATATGAGAACTTCCACTTTGGATGTTCAGATGAAATATTTGTATTTTAAAACAGCGAAAATCACAGAGGAAAAGGATGAGGCTCAACATGAATTATAAGAAAAGGCTAAGAGAGTAGTGGGTATTCGAAACTAATAAAAATTTTAATAAGAATCCTCAAAAATATATTTAAAGATCAGTATTAAGACAATTCCAAAAACTATGTATAAGGATTTAGTAGAGGAGGATGCAAAATCCAAGGCACCAGGGATATCTTATTTGTAAAGAATGTTCTTTAAGGAATAACCTGAAGCCACTGATGAGGAAATGGTTGAAATATACAGAGATATTCGATAGAAGGCAAGAACTTTTAGAAGGTTGAGAGCAGCATGGAAAGAGAATTGCAGGAAAGCATATGCGTTAGAAAACGTCATAAATTCTGTAGAAAATTCTGATAAAAAGATTCATTATGATTTAAAATCAAATAACAGGGAAGGGTCTTGCTCTTAACAATTGGATACTTTGGAATGGTATTGGCTATGTTATTACAAACCTCAATTCAAAATATTGTTTTCTTTGTTTTTAGGGATTCTATCTTTGTTGGTTGTTATATCTGAAACTACGCTATTTATGAACACTCCATTTACTATATTTGGAATGCCTATATCCTTATCATCTGGAGTGATAGCCCTACAAATCTTTTGTTTTGTTCCTTTGTTTTATATAGCATTTTGTGTTTATTATGGAATGTTTAGAATTAAGATAGCAGGATGTTATGGATTATACGATGATCATTAAACTGATGCTCCTAGTTTGTTATTTGCTACAATAAATTTCAGTAGAGTAGCAGCTCCTCTATGTCAGAACTTTTTGAATATGTTAAGAGTCAAACAAAGATTGAACTGTGAGCCAGCATTCAAATATGCAATGGGAGAAGTATGTTTTTATGATAATTTTAAAGATGGAATTTGTACCAATTTTTGGAGTTAATGTAATTTAGTTGATGCCTGCTCTACTGCTCTTTTTGTGTTTCATTAATTACTTTGATTTGTATGATAGATTTATGAATTTCCTTGGATTAAAAGAATTCATGTTTACTGAGACATTCTCTGATCGCCTTATTTTTAGAGGTAGAGATGCTTTGAAGGACAAGAAGGCTTATTTTATTCAGAAAAAGTCGAAGGTGTAGAAAGGTACAAAAAAAGAAGGTGATATTGAATTACTTAATATTTAATGATTGTTATTGATTTATATTTAATGTATTGTATTAATGTATCAATAGACGTTGCCTTCAAAGGTTTATTTAAACCATTCCATGGCTTCCTTTTTAGAGACTCTCTAAGCTGTACCCAATCTAGCATTTCTTGATTTTCTTTGAGCAACTCTTAATCCTGGTCTTGACAAGATCACATAGAAATCCATACCGAAAATACCTAAACAGCATTTGTAATAATTAATACCTGTATATGGATCATACTTTAATCCCAAATCAATATGTTCTTATATGCCAAATCCAAAGTTTCCTGATTCAGAGAAGTTTCTCTTTTTTAATTCCATTTCTTTAACTCTCAACCCTCTAAACAATATATCTTTAGCAGCATCTCCTCTAATTGTACAGAACACAGAGATCTTTTCATTTCTTCTGATACCAAAAGATCTGACTGTGTATCTTGCCTTACCGAATACTGGCTTTTATCCTGTCAAATCCTCCAAAACCTTGGCTGCCTTTGTTAATTTATCGCCTGACTCTCCAGCACAAATGTGAACCATTAATTTTTCAATTCTAATCTTTCTCATCACATTCTCCTTAGTTTCTTAAGGTTTGACAACTTTAGCAGGAGCTGCAGGTTTTGCATCTGGTTTTGGTTGTTAAGCTTTTCCACCCTTTCCTTGTTGTTAAGACATCCAATATTTAATTAAAAAATCTTTATATATTTAAAATCACTTTTTAATGGTTTATTTTTTCTTTTTCTTTTGCACACCTAATCAGCTTTTTGTATCCAATTATTAATATCACAATTCCCTATTAGTGAGAATGCAAAAAATGAATATCAATTATTAGTATAATTTCAATAGTAATGATAATTCAATTTATATTCCTGTCCCCTTAAAGAACATTAGATATTTTGACCATGTTTGGGTGGTTCCTTAAAGAGATGCCTTATTATACAAATAAACACATATTCTGATTTGGATTGAAAGTACAACACCATTTAATCAGAACTGGTCGATTGAGTAATCGGACAATCGCTTATATAAATCAAGACTCCTTTCCCATACCTGCTCAATCTGTTTCTTAAGTATTCTAAAGTGGTCTTATGGAATTGTGATTTGCTGTTGTAATAAAATTCGATAATTTCATTTTTAATGAATTCATCAACAGTTGATTAAATAATATTCATATAAATATATATATTTATAGAAATTTTACCAATTTTGATTATTATGAAATGCTAAGTATTATTCATTTGTAATTAAATATATTAAATAAATCCAATTATGGGCAATGTTTAAGCTTTCGTGAATTATAACACAGAATTGACTTTCACTTCTGATTTAAATGATTAAATTTAATGTTGTGGAACAATCTTTCATCCAGCATTTGGAAATATCCAGTTATGGAAAATGAAGAAGAACACCAATCTTGAACTCTTTTCTTTTGTAATATACATCTATAACTCAAGACAAGACATTTATACTTTTAAGATTCCATATTATTAACTATTCATTCAAAGAGAAGCTAATTATAACATCCAAATCTATTGTAATATTATGCCTGTACTCAAAACACCCCTCAATATTGTGGGAGTGTCGAAACTTAACAATTTTATTTCGAATATATTTCCCAGACACTATCTTAATATTTATGTGCCAGATCTGAAACATTCAGGGAAATTGAAGTTTGGAAGGTAATCTTTTGTAATCCTAATAAATTAGTCACTTGAATAGTTAGTGAGTGTACTCAAATACTTGTAAAACAATGGCTAATCGCATGGATAAATTACTTCAGACCATATCTTCATAACTTCAGATTAAACTTTAAAAACACTGGATTAAATTACAATTTAATCAACTGATTAATAGATTAAATAAGATGTTTATGATCTAGCCTAACTTATAGTGGAACTTATGACCAAAAGGAGTAATTTCCATTTCTATATTAGAATTCCACGCCAGCTTAAAAGAAACTGTCATATCATTATCTACTGATTATTCCTAATAGCTCCTACAAGTATTAGCTAGAATGCTTAATCAAAATCCTGAGAAAAGGCCAGACTTCATAGAATTATCGTATATTATATTCAATAGATAATACAAAACTACTAGCAAAGAATTAGGATTGACCTTAAACCCTTCAATAGTTAAAACCACAGAGAATCCTCATTATTATCCTTTAAGTTAAATTATAAATGAAAGAAACAATAAAGCATTCAATTAGAATCTCTAATAAAGATAACTATCGCCTTATAAAATAATTCCATATTCGCCTTAAAGAATAACTCCTAAATAGTTTTCACCATCCAGAATTTATGGTTAGACTTAAAGAGTAGTTCAGCCACAAAGATTAGCTTAAGCAATCAAAAAAGAGGAAGTCTACTCCCCAATCAAACAATCACTTTAACAATTAAGTTAATTATATAGAACTACAACCCCTGTCAAAGGAAATAAAACCAGCTCAAAGGCATCAACAATTAGTCATAATGCTTCCCTGATTGATTCTTACAGGACTTAATATCCCTTCTCTAGTCAAACAAGAGATAAACCGAATAAACTCTAAATTCCTCAGCACAAAAGTGATGTGAAAAGAATGATATTTAAAGATGATTTGAATTAGACTTCAACAAGTTAACCTCCAATTGAAATGGTCTTATGAAATAGATATAAAATGCATTTAATTAAAATTATTGATTATTATTAACTCTCTTCTCCTAGTCAATTTTTGCATTCTTATATTGTTTTATGTATTATTGCAGCACACTAAATTGCTATATTGTTCAAATTTCTTTCTTTTATTAATTAATTTGAAAATATATATATTTATTAAATTTTCAATTATTGAAATTAGTTACCCTTCTATGAAAAAGCAACAATTTATCTTGAAAAATTATCAAAAGGATTATCAAGTAAATAATTTACAAAGTTTATCTTAAATTCTTTTAAAATGAATAATTAATAGAAATATGATTTTTAATTCAACTATTGATTAATACTTTATAAAACTGCTACATAGCTTAAGAACTTAAGAGAAAAAATATTGAATTTGAAATTAGAGTTATAATTTTGAACATTCTTACTTAAGAAATGCTTTATATTAGTCAATATGTAGATCATTCCTATTATACATTTTAATATTTGATATTTATACACAAAATAATACTTATCATTTTAATATTTAATCAGAATTAATTTCACAATTAATATTGCTAATACTAAACATAAGAGAGCAAATAAAGTATCAAAACCTGATTTAATATACTATTATTGAAAATTGTATTATTAATCAATCCTAAAAACTGAAATTTAGGATGCCCATTTAAAATTAACGATAATCTTATTTTCAAAAACTAAAAACAAACTAACACATTATGTTTCAAAATTGATTTTAAAATGGTTAAAAATTATGTTAGATGAATTCATTGAAATGGTAATCTTAGTATTATGAATATAACAATAAACAGAAAAATACTAAGTCCATTATTTTATGAATTTTACAGAGAGCTCTTATATTTGATCTAAATATTTAAAGTATTAGGTATAAACTAATATATTATAATTGACCTCTGTGATCAATATTATAAAATATTTATCAATAGATTTCAAGTAAAAATTATGTGTACATTTAATATTTTCTAGTCACTAACTTGATCACACCAGATGTAATAATGAATGTAAGTCTCCATACATTACTAATCATATATCTAATAGCACATTTTCTACAATTTTATTATATGTATCTTATTTTTGGAATATCAGTCATGCCTCTTTGAAATTTGATGCAGAACTTTTTTGAAGAAAATGTTAAGAGAATGGTTATTAGCCTAATTAAGCTAAGAATTTCAACATAAATAGATTATAATATGAATCTAAATGTATTTTGTGAAATGCAAACTACAATTATGATCATACACCTCTCCAGGGATGAGACTTTAATTAAGTTTTAAATTTTCAAGCTCATTACTGGTAGAGGATTATATTTTATCAATTCAGTAAAAGAAGAATTGCAAATTTCTAAAAAAAATTATGTGTTATTGTTTTCAAAACTAATTTTTAATTTTAAGCTATAGTCTTTTTCTGTATAATTCTTAAATTGATAAGGATATCCTCAAGTTAGCTAGGACTCATCATTAAAATGTACGGAGAATATCTAGTTAAGAATAGGATAAGAAAATGTTAATAATTGAATGGTTATTATTAATTTATTTTCAAAATATAATTAATAAGATATAAAAAGACCAATATCTTCAATTCTTAATGAATAATCAACAAGGACCCTTCTCTACCCCTGCATTTATCATAAAACTGTATGATATGCTAGACGAACAAGTATTTTTATTTGACGATCTCATATAGAGCACGCCGTAATTTTAAACAATAATTAAATGGAGTGACGATGGTGAGTACTTCATTGTAATGAACCCCAAAGAAATGGAAAGCCAGATATTGCCATAATATTTCAAACACAATCACTATTAATCCTTTTTACGACAATTAAACATGTATGAGTTCCAGAAGGCAAGGAATTCTGAAAATTATGAAATATTTACTCATCCAAGTTTCAAAAAAGGAAACAAGTATTTATTTGTTACTATATTAGAAAACAATTATCTCAAATTAAACGAAACCCAATCAAATAGAAAGTTTTATTAAAAAAAGAAAAGAAAAGTGTAAAAGCAGAATCAACTGAGGCTGAATTCGAGTAATAAATGGAACAAGAGTTAACATTCTTGAAATAAAGATAGCTATAATTTGAAAATGATTTCAAAGCGATAAGTGAATAAAACTAAATTATAATGGAACAACACAATTCTATATGGACCTAATTAAGTTTATCTAGACAATCGTTAGATACGAAAATCGATAGGCTTAGCTATTTGTTAAGTTTCTTTTTGAAACAACAAGATACAAACATTAAAGATAATAATGGATAAGATTTATTTAAAGCCAATGTCAAGACAGAACTCGAGCCTCCATAGTCGCAAACTTAATAAATGGAATCATTATCCCCAATTCTAAGAATGATGTAATCATAACTAAATTATTCACTGAAAAAAAATTTATCAACTTTTAGCCCAAATTAATGTAAATAATAAATTATTATCCTTAGTAAATTCTCCATTGCCAATTAGAAGTCAATAAGAAAATTAGGATAGCTAATACTCGAATTTAAGTCCATACTATTAGAAGTCCTTTTAAGATTACATGTGAATAGACTAAAACAATTGGAAATGATTTATTTTCGCTATAAAGCAATATAAGCTTATTATTTTAATCAGAAAAAGATTTAAAGAAACCCAAACTCCATATATAATCAACAGCCTTTTGAAGGATCGAAATATAAACTTGATCAATGACATATAAATGTCTGACTAAGATAAATTTAAGTTGTGAAATCAATTATGTTTTGAACTGGAAAATAGAGTTACGCTTCTTAATTTACTTTTTATCTTGTTTACAGTTTCCAATTAAGTTTGGGTTTTTTTATGTTTAATATCCAAATCTGTAACATCCTATTCCCTCTTAACAACCTTCCCTTCACTTAAGGTATCTTCATCAGGCTCTTCTTGTTCTATCTATATAGACTTTTAAGTTTCGCAGAAGACTATAGTACCATTATTATCCTCATAAATTTTGAGATGTTATTCCACTGGTCGTAAGTCCTTTTTTTTAGCCATATATTTCAAGAATGGTATTAATCGAAGAAGACAATCGTCATCTTCTGAATCTAAGAAAGAAGGTATTAATAATCCATTATCCTAGCATTTTATAAAAGCATTTGGATTATTCTAATTATTGATTATTAATTACATCAATGAAGATTATATCTCCCATAGGTCTGTCAATTAACTAAAGATCTTTATAGCAAATTCCATCGATAAATTGACAGCTTCCTCTTGCGTAATAATCACTTATTATTTTTTTTTTATCTATGAAACTTAACACTTCTTAACAATAAGCCTCATAACCTGCTGTAAAAATAAAAATTTCATAATCTTTGCTAGCTTCTTATAAAAACTGATTTAAATAAGGCCGAGCTTTCAAATATACTGTGTATAATTATCCTTTGTGAATGACTTCAAGCAATACCTCATGTTGAAAATTTTCATTTTCTTTGAATTCACAATGAACCAGTGTTTCATCCAAATCCAGAACCAATACTTTCTTCTATGAATATTATTTGGGTGTTTGTGCTGAAATATAATTTTTCTAAAATTTGCCTTTAAAATGTTCATAGCAATTTTTGAAAAGAGCAACAATACTCATTTTTTTTATAAATTTATGTGCAATTAATCAATAATATTTACATTTATTTATTTAAGAATATTTGCAAACATAAGTGACACTCTCTTATAAAACTCAGAATTGATTCACAAATAGAATGTTACTTATAGGTGTAATACGAGAAACAATTTAAAAAATAGTTTTTATTTGATTACATAATTTGAATGTAAATATAAAAAGTTAATACTAATATTTATCATAATTTAAACTTTTAAATATGGAATAATTTTTTGTTTGAAATATCAATTATATCTCTGTTAGTATGGATTAAATAGTTTTAAATTTGATTTGTTGGACAAGACAACGTCTTTGTTTTTATAGTCTTCTGTATAGATGAAGACTCTTGATACAACTTGTTTAACTTGATTTCTGTGTATGAAGCAAAAGAATCTTCTCCATTGATCTATCTACGGGAAGTGAGAGGACCATCAATTTTGAGATCATTTAATTTTCCTTAAAAAGATTTTGCCAATTTAATCTAAGTGTGACCTCTGTTATTTTTTTATCGAAAGAGGTTTTTCACTTAATAATGTTACTTGATATTTTAAATCTAATACTTTAATGGCCAATTATTGTTATTAATTTTCTTGAAGAACTAATTGATGCTTAACTTTACTTTCGATATATCGTATTTATTAACTTTTATCAGTCATTCTAAGAAACCTATCCTTTTGAACTTAATCAAGCTCATGATTTTTTTAGAGGAAATCATATATTTCTTATTCTACTTATTTCTCTACTTGCAGAGGATCTTTTTCAGTGAAGAATCTATTAAGTTTCTTATTTCTGCTTGGAGATGTTTCGAACATTTTGGAATCTTCAACCTTTGTTGACTGGGTGTATTACTATTGGTTTTTTTTTTATTAAGGAAGGGCATTTCTTCTTGATTTCGCTAATTGTTGTTTTTTTATTTGTTCCATGTCATAATTCTGAGTTTGCTTTTTCTTTTCTCCTCGAAATAACTGCATAACCATTTCCATCTTCAATTTAGCTTTTTCTTATTCATTATCTTCATCCTTCTTCTTTTTGTATCGTCTTAACATTTTTTTAAAAATATGAGCATATTGTTAGATTTTTGCGATATCATCAGCATTTCTTATTTCTTATCTTCTATCTATAATATGATCAATTAATTTCACTCTTTGCTAATAAGTGTTAAGACCTTCAACAGCCTTCTTTACCTGAGATCTTGAAAAAACATCTGAAATTTTATTGTAAGTTTTTGAAATCAGATCACTCATTTGTTAATAAAATTACTAGCTAAAATATGTGTAAATAGAAAAATATTGAATGCAGAAATTTTATAACTTAAACTTTCAAATCCCCACTTTAAACAAGTTTGCTTAAATTTACAAATATATATAATAAAATATATTTATTTTCAACATTTACAAATGCTTCATAATAATGAACTGTAGTTTTTTCTAAATAAGTAAATCCTATCGTGCTGGTAGTAAACATTCAGATCATATTGACCGATGAATGATAGAAATTATTATTGGATATTTAATTCCTAAAGATGTGCAACATTCTCATTCTTCTTTTTCTCAACCTCATCAATTGTAAGCAGTGATATCTTTGCATCGCTGTAATCATTGTCATTTTCACCTCCAAATATCAAAATTGAATTAGAATTTATCTACAGACAGACACTGTTCAACTTGAATATTTAATCTTGTCCACTAGTCAATCTTAATTAGTACCACTTATGTCTCTTCGTATCATACCTATAAATGATTATTATTTCAAATTTACTTTTCAACAGTTTTATCAAAATGATCAAAACGATTCAACCCTCCAAATCTAACCAAATATCTTTGTTGGAAAACCACAAGATTCACTTTTGTTAAAGGAGTCTAGAAAGGCTTGATCTTTTGCCATTCTAAAGTTTTTAGATTAAACCTTTCGCAAGCATTGCTAACCTGTTTATTTTCATTTTCACCCCCAATCAAATAGATATAATGCCCTACTTAAGCAACTCTGAAATTTCTTTTCTTCTCAATCATGTTAGGCAAAGCCTAGAGGATGGAAGCATACTCATTGTATCTATAGAATGTGTTGTCAGCAGTCTAAGAAAATGGGTTAAACAAGAATATGATTCCTTCTTTAGTTGCAAATGAAATCAATTCATTAGTAAATTGGTGTTCAACATCGCAAGCAATCTTTTAAACATTTTCAGCTCCAATTTACCATATAAAGAAGTACTTTGTATTGGGTTTGAAGTAGTGTAGAAACTCTTTTTAAGGATCAATGAAATAGTTGATATGATTAAATTCGATATTAGGTTTCTGACAATTTAAAGTATTAATTGTAATCGGTGTAATTCGCAATATTTATTGTCCACTTTCAGCTATGTAAGATCTATGTTTTGGAGGTTAGATATCTAGTAAATGTGATTCATTTATTTTGCCTTTGAAACTCAATTCTACTGCCTGATCTAATATGGTTTATTTGTATTATTCTGAATTCAATTAATATTTATGGTTATATTTCTAAATTGTTTATTATTAATCTGATTGTTCTTCCATTAATGAATGTTCAGCATTTGAAAATGAAAAATTCTCTGCTTCATTTGTTAAAGCATCATCAGCTATTTTAATAATATTTTCCGCCTTGTCAAAATGAAGAGTGCTTTACAACTTAGCCTAACTCTTTTCTTCTCTTTTCTTTTCATATTCCTCTTTGAGTGGCAACTTGTTATTTGAATTTAGATGATAATTAATGAGTTCCTTGTAATGACCTTTCAAAATCTTGTTGGCAATATCCAAAGGAACCAACAAGAAGGTTTAGGCTGCAACTATCGCAGCATTATGATTTGCTTGATCGACTTCGTAATTGAATTAAATATTGGTAACATCATTTTGGTTCAAAAATCTAAATAAATGTTACCATATCTGCAACAATTGCATGGTTACTTTAAGTAGATTCAATGACAAATCATCATTCAACAATTGTATGGGAGTTATGCTGATTTGTTCAAGTTCAATACTGTTCAAAACAAATTAAGCAACTTTGTCAAGAGAATTTAAATCGGCTGGATTGAATACTTCTATCTAAATTGTTTTATATTGACTTCTAAGTTGGATTATTTTAGAATAAATACATGTTTTAGCTTCCTCCCATGCCTTTACTGGAAGTAAGTAGGTCCTCTGAATCTATAAATTAATAGAAATCATGCAATCCTCTTCTCAGATCAATTTCATGCTAAGTCAATAAGGAATAAGGATCTTCTTTGTCTATTTCTGATGTCAATATCAAGATCTTATCTTAATAATATTGAATGCTATTTTTCAAAGCGCAAAAGGTTTAATTATAGACCTATTGAACATAACTGAGTTTTCTTTTGACTGCCTGTAAATCAATATAGTTTTGTATAATATTCTAGTCCATCACTTTTTTAATGAAGTAGTATTGAAAGATTCTGTGTAGGAAATTTTAAAAGATGTCGTATATTCTGCTCTGATTGTCAATTAAATAAGAAAACAATCCACCTGATTGGGGAAGTAATGTGGATTTCTTAACTTGTAATTTAGGTTGAGATGGAGTATTGATGATTTCAGAGAGAATATGGGAATTCTGAGTCTGACTGAATTAAGGGTAGTTCTCATTATTGTTGACTAATTCTTATTGTTATTCAGCATTTTGTTCTTGTGAAATTTGGGAAAAGGATTCATTTAGCAAATCTTAGGATATAAAGACTGCCTGGTCTGGATTTTCTAAATCTCTGAAACTCATATTAACGGATAATAATTATTAGAATGTGTTTACAATAAATTATGATTACAATTGATTCATTTTTAGTAAGATTACGCGAATAAGTTCATCAATTAATTAACTTTAGTAATACTTGTTTAAGCAAACTGATATTCAATGGTTTTGTGAAGACTTCCCTCATTCCGACCTCCATGCACCTTTCAATATCTTCGGCCGAGTTAAAAGCTGTCAATCCAATGATAGGTATGTCAGGTATAAGATTCTCTTGAATCATGCCCATCAACATCTTCGTAGTCGTCCATCCATCCATTATTGGCATCTAGCAATCCATTAAAATAAAATAAAATAATTGGCATGCATCGGAACATTTTTCTGTCTTTTCTATAACATCTATTGCTTATTATCCATTGTAGGCCTAAATATAAACAAATGTATACAATTTACACATTAAAACCCATCTGAGTAATTATTACCTGCAAAGCTTTCTGATTGAAGATATCATCATCAACACTCAAAATTCTAGCGCATTTGCATGGAAATCTTATATTTTAGAATTATTCTTCCATCTCAATTTCCTTTTCTTCTTTCTAAATTAATCTAGATACAAGAGTATTTGGTCGATTACTTGAAGAGGCATCTAAATCAGATATACTAAATGAAGACTGTCTTCTCCTCTTACCCTATCGATCTTTTGTTTCAGTATTTTATGCTATTAATGCGGTATGTATGCTTTGACAATTCAATTTTAACAAATTAACTTCTGGATTAGTCCTTTCTGAATCTAAATCATCTATTAAATCAGTCTCTTATTAGCCAACTTAATTAAATATTCCAGAGGACTGTTGTGGTTTGAAATAATTAGCAATAGAATGTTGTTGTCGAATTGGGATTTATTATATAGATGTCTCGAAAATCGAATTGTCTGGTTGAGGATTATTAATTATCAAAATTCCTTATATCCCCATACATAAGTCAGGTACAGTTTATGCACACTTCAGACTTGTTCTCTAAAGTGTGTTTGCTCTTAAAATCTGAGTGTTTGTCGATTAAGCAGTTCGAATCTTAAAAGTCACTTCAGACCCTTCTGTATTACCACGTGATGTTATTCTGAGTTGGCTTTTGTTCTACGGAGCCAATTTCAACAAATTCATCTAACTAACAAGCAATCCGAAACCCTCCCACTCATCCTAACTACAAAAGTCTCGACTTTCATTAAAAGACTTTAAAAACTATTAAATTTGATATAATTTGTTTTATGGTATTCCTATTCCTTAATCCTTGATACAAAATGTCATGGTTCTTTCAGTACTAGATATTTCCAAAGTGATCAAGCCTCTTACAGAATATTTAATTGAATTTGATATGAGATTAACTAAAATTTGCATTATTCTATCAAAGTCAGAGTCAATCTGAGGTGGAACTGAGTTTTTTACAATTATGTGCAATCCTAAATTTTTTATTGTACAAATAGGTCTAAAAATATCATTAATTTCTTAAATAATATTTTCAAAATTGAATTCTTGAATATTGTACTTAATCACATGTGAATGAAATTGAGTAAAGTCTATAATATCTCGAATTAAATAAGCCTATAATTTTAAAGCATTTGCAGCTGGTTCTATACAATTAGTCTTATAGGTTTCCTAAATCTATGGGTCATTTAGTAGAGCATCTAGAAATAATTTAGCACTATTTAGTGGAGTTCGCAATTCATGAGAGAAAGAATCAATAACGCTTACTTAAAATTTTTCTCTTGTCTCCAATTTTTATAAATAACTCTGCAATGAGATATCATCCATTATAATCAGGTACTCTAAGTCATTTTAACCACCAAATATTTTGCATTAGATTTTACGAATGGTATCATCTTCAAATAATTATGCTGATTTATTCTTTGCTGTTTGACCTAATAATTCCAAATGATTCTCCTTTGATAAAAACTATTCCAAGCTCCCGTTCTATAATTCTGTTAAAATCTCTTGTAAAGTATTTGGCATATTTTATAAACTTGTAACTTTGCTACAACTATAAACCTAGGATAAACTACTATTTGGTTGCTTTGGCAGTCTGATACTAGATTCTCTACCTGACTTTTTCTTCCTTTTTATCTAGAGTTTAAATTACAGTTCGTTCATTAGATATGATTAAACATCCTTGACTCCTTAGAACATTTACAAAAGAGATTGATTTTAAAACATGACTTACAAATTCTCCTTTTTCACAATCATTATTCCTACAGGAATATTTTGTAATCTAATCATCCACTAATTGCTAATTTAATCTTAAACCAAATTAATTATTTCGGCATTTCTTTGACCAGGCTTAGTTTAATGGGTAGGTAGTTCTAATTCTTGTTATAAACTTAATTTAGATTTAGGAATCATAATCAAGGTACAATAGAACGCCAAAATGTATAAAATAATGTTCTCACTGTGATATATTAATAAAGAAAACATAACTAAATTATAGACAACATGATATAGAAAACATCTTATTATTGATTACTTTTTTATAATCTGTGATTCTTAAAATTTAAGCAGCAAATAACTGCACACATTTAATTCGCGATTAAGAAAACAACAATATGTAATTTGAATGCTAAGTATTATGAGTATTAATTGTTGTAAATGACTCTAATTTATTAACTTTTTCCTTAATATCAAAATCCCAGTTAACATTATCATTCCATTAAGCATCAGAATTATTAAAGATCCTAATTAAGTGATATCTTATAAATAAAGTAATAATCCTAAAACAATATTGAGTGTGTTTATTGAATGAAACTTTATTAAAATCCAATTTAATTGCATTAAATAATTTAATATCATTATAATTCATTCTAAATAGCCATGTTAAATTAAAATAGAAACAATGATAAAGCCAACCAAAATTTTAAATTCGTTAATTTTTTTTTTGTATTAATTGAATTCTTTTATCAATGATATTGAACATCAATTATCTACAAAAAAGAATAATTATTCATATTTCTCTTGTGTCTGATAAAATAGAGAGTTATATTAAAATTACTCAGCTCTCCACTCTTTCGAATTATCACAAATATTAAGCTATTATTTTAGTGATTATAAAATTAAAATATTCAATAACAACAAAGTATAATAGAAGTATTTAAGTAGTATAAATTGTACTACAAATTAATTTGAAAAATCATTAAATTTTTGGAATTGATGGAATATATATGTGAAAATTTAAATTGATTGTAAATACTAAAATTTAACAAAAGACATAAGGATGGAATTGAGTTTAGAATCATAAACTTATGTGAATAAATCGATATTCATAATTAGAAAATAATTCAAGATTTTTTCTGTTTAGATTTAACGAAAACCCAATATTACATTAAATAATCACATTGAATTAGAACTAAATAAGTAATTATAATTTTTTAAATATGAAAATGAATTCATTAAAATATATACGTAAATTTTATTTAACAAGATTTGAAGCAATTTATTTCAAACAATATTTTATTATGTCGTATTCATATCTTAAAATCGATTTTACTTTAAATAGTCGTCTAAATAATATAAAAAAATGATAAAGAAGAAGATTACGTTTCTTAATAAAAAATATCAGCTAGGCTAATCTGAGGATGAGAAAACACCAGACACAGCCTTGACTCCACTTTCTATAAAAGAATAATTACAAAGTGATGATTCGGATACTGGTACACCTAGTAAAATGGCTCTAACTCCCTTAAAAATGTCTAAATTCAAAATATAACACGAAAAAAGCAAATCTTCTTTCGCTCACGGTGGCAGGGCTTTGGTTAATAGGCGAGACATATTTGCAGAGCATCCATTTAGATAGTTGATATTTGGATAAAGAACAACATAGGAGACCCTACTCAAACATATTGAATATACAAAAAGAGGGGTTACTTATGCTGCTAAGTCTTTGAAACCTCCATCAGAGAAATTTTTATAGCAGAAGTAAGTAGACATCCCTTTAAAAGACAAGGAGAAAAAAATATTGATATTAGATTTAGATGAAACATTGATACATTCTTGTACAAGCAAGGAGAAATCTTAAGTTTAGTTAAAAACTGAGGATGGACAATTAGTATTATATAGTGTAATATTTTAGCTTAGATTCAACGTGCGACCATATTTAGCATATTTTCTTGATTGTTTATCTACTTTTTACCAGATATTCATATTTACCGCCTCTTCCCCATCATACGCTTTAGCCTTAGTTGATTACATTGATCCACTAGAGGATAAAATCTTAGGGATATTTACTAGAAATCATTGTCTCGAAACAAAGAATGGTTACTTTATTAAGGATCTTCGTATCCTTAGAGATGTTGATTTGAAAAACATCATAATCGTTGACAATTTAACTCACTCTTTTGGATTTTAATTAGAGAATGGTATTCCTATTCTGGAATGGACCGATGATGAAAAGGATCAGGAGTTGAAATACTTGGTTGACTACTTAATTGAGGCCAGTTAATGTGAAGATGTTAGAGATTTTAATAGAGAAAAGCTCAAATTACATGATCTTATTGATTATATTTTCTGAAAATTATTAATATAAGATTTGTTATAATGCTCATGAGAGCTCTATCTAGATTATGAATAATACTCTCATTGTCCTTAGCAAGTCTTGTAAACTGTTTCTCAATAGCCAATAAAATACTTCCTTAACTTCGATTCAGCTTTCGATGCTAATGGATGAATATTCTGGGGCAAATTTAAACGCAGCAAGGATAGATTCAACTAAAAATTTCGCTCTTCTTAAGTCAATACTCCTGCCAATTGTTACATTTGTTAATCTGGTACTAATAACACCTTGTAGGTTTCTGAGATCATTTCAATAACATCTTCAACTTTATATTATGAAATGTATTTCTCAATAAAATTAATGGCTCTTATCTTTGCTTATTTTTCGACTTCCTTTTCCATCAACAAATATGAAAGTGTGATTTTCTAACACTATTTAATTTATTTATCTTCCTATCCTGATCCTCTTTACGGTAATTAATGACCTAGTTGTTAATCTCTTTATTAATTATTTTATTGATTCTAATCTTATTGTTGTTGCCCATTATTGCACTCAAGTTGTTTATTGAGTAATTTTTATGATTTTTTTTCCTTTTTACTCTAGTAGCATATGGATCCATGTCCAAGCACGTGAATGGCAATGCCCTTGCCAGATTTAGAATTTTTACTAATGCTCACAGGAGCATCAGCAATAATTCCTTCTTAAACAAAGGTACTTTCTCTCATTGCTTATACAGGATTCGCTCTTTTTGTAATTCTCTTATTTGCTTGATTTTCCTCTATAAATTGTGGATTTTAAGACTTAATATTTTAAAAGAAAAAGTACATTCTCTGTGCAGATAGATGACATTTCCCACATATCTTAAAAGTCTTCTTCAACTGATGAATTATAATCTTAAAAATCTTAACTTCTCTCTTCATCAAAGAATGATGAATTTGTATGGGTTTCTGTAGAATTGTATGTGTATTCGAATTCGTTGCTGAGTTTTCTTTACTTCTAGACTTGCTTCTCAATTGTTGACATATTAGCTTGTGTATTAATTTAATTAATTATACATAAATCAATACATCTGTGTTACAAACACAGTAATAAAAGAATTATTCATAAATTATTAAGGTTTAAATATATACATATATATACATTATTTCTTTAAAATATAAATTTCTCTTGTTCATAATAAAGATCCATTTATCTCTTTTCAAAAATCTTAATATTTTAATTCAATAAATGAAATCAAAATTATTTATTTCATTTCACTTTTTTACTACTATTGAATATTTTCCTTTCTCTTTATTCAAGATAATACCTGATATTGGGAAGAAGGAAGAGAATTACAATTTGTTATATAATTATTTCAAATTACATTATAATAAATGAAAATAATCTTTATTTTTATATATGTTGTGATCTAGGTAAGCTAACCTCGCCAACCTTTCCCAATGGACGAACGAAAATCTATAAAATAAATGTGAAAATTGTTATTAATAAGTAGGTGAAATTAAAGTGGAGTTAATATAATAATAAAACTTATTCATAGATTTATAAGTTTATTATTAGAAAAATGAACAAATAAATTCAAAATTATTGAACAAGAATGATTGAAGGGTTACTTATTAAAAAACTATAAAATTTTAATTGATGTAAACTTTATATTATATAATAATTAATTAGAATTTCCCCAGATAAGAATTTATTTTACTAATTAAGGATACTTATCTAAATGTGATACTGTTCCCCTATATTCACAATATTCTTTATATTAAACGAAAAAAAATAATAGATTTATTTTAAAATGTATTATTATAACAAGATATTTACTCAAAAAAGGGGATTAGTATTAGATATGCATGGATAGTCGTTTAAAGGTTAGAATATGGTGTTTGAATGCAAAAAGTATAAACATAGAGCAAATTTATAGAATATTAAAGAATTCAAATATTCTGGTTTATTGATAGATATATCTAAAGCAGTCAAATTTGAGACATTTATTAGATGATTTAAGAATTATATTACTCTTCAACAATAATAATGAAGCTGAGTTTTACCCTTTTATTATTTTAATTAAATTATTAATATAAAAATTAGGATGGATTCATATATTTGCTTAATGTATTTAGATTAAGTAATAAATAAATTGTTTACAATGAATCATTTATAGGTTATCTTAAATAATGAAATTAGGTTCTATTTTTTGACTTTCTTTGTATTGGAATGTTGATGTTTATAAGAATTTAAATTAAACAACCCCAGAATTTTTAATACAATTATTATCAATATATTCTAATTTACATCTTCCCTGCTTATTATAGCTATTGCTTGAGGTAATTTTTGTTAATTAACAAATTCATCTTTTTTAACTTTATGACTGTTATAAATTTATATACATTTTGAAAAATAAATATATAATTTAGTTTCCTTTATTCTTAAACATCTGAATGGCATTGACTTAAATTATATTGATTGTAATTTGGATGATAATTGATACGCTTGATTTATTTTATGCTAAAGTTGAGATAGATTTAAATAATATATTGTAACATGCAAAATAAAATAAGAATTAAATATAGTACTATAAAATTCTTCAAATAATAAAATGTGATTTGATAAAAATATTAATATGAGACACCTTAGTGCATAAATATTTAACTATGTATATAAAAAGTCATTCTTTTTGTTGATTATTAACGTCTCTGTTGGATAGGGGTAACCTTACACACTTAAACTAATTGAGTTCTCTAGTATTCAGCTTCTTCTTGAGACAGTTTTTATTAGTCATTGAACTTCTATGAGTTAAGCAGGTCTTTTTTTACAATAGGCTCTGCAAATCAGACATCACTTGCAATTCCAGTTGATGAACCTTTTTATTGTTGAAGCTTCTTTTGGATTCCTGATCTCTAGGAGTGGATGAAACATGTTAAATCTGTTGTGAACTATTTTTGTTTGGTGATTTGAGTATGTTCAGTATGTGAGTGACACTACTCTTTCTTTAATTGGCACTGTTTGGGATATTTGTATTGTTCCTGGCACTACTGCATTATTATTTATTAAATGATTGTTTCATCTTAGCGGATAGTTTCATAAATTGTTGAACAGGTGAAGCAATATTGACAGAAGGGGATTTGGGTTTGCTTTTAGTAAATTATTGAATATCTTTAGGAGATGCTTGTTTGGATGGCTATTGGTTTCTGGGTGAGGCTACATCAATCAATTGGATGGAAGCTGATTGGATTTTGAGTGGAGGAGACTTGCTTTTTTGTGGTTATGGTTGTGGTTATTTGGTTTATTTCAGAATAGATTGCTTATTGGATTTACTGGTGGTTGTGTTGCTTCCGATGCTGTTGATTTTGGTGGAGGATGTATTTGGCTATTTTTTTAGCTTGATCATAGACTGAATTTATTGTTTGATTTTTTCAATGGAGTCAGGTTCTTAGATTAGGAAACTGATTCCTTGCAAGATTTTATCATTTTTCGAGAGGATCTAATGTAATTTGGTTGAATATACTTCATCGGAGGAACTGGGATCTTGTGGTGTGATTTGTTCGCTTGTCAAAGGGATGGGTGAATCACCTACAATTCCTTTTTGTGGTTTATCAGGGTTGTTATGATTTTCTTGTGCAATCAAGCGTGCGATTCTAAAAAATGCAAGTCTTCTTTTGCGATCATGAAAATAATTTAAGGGGATAATGGCAGGAATCATAAATAAACGAGGTATGTCATTATGATACTGATTGATTTATTGAATTTCATACTTTATAATATTCTCCCAACATATGTAATTTATCTCTTAACTGATTAATGTGATAATATTTAGCTAAGTGTTCTTGGGGTGTGTCATAACATTACAGATCTTTAAGTGTGATTAGTAATTAACATCTTTTTCCTTCCAAAATGTCATTTATTCCTTTTTTATAATGATAATGAGTTGATTGAGAGTACTTACTTATTAAATAACTATTCATAATAAATTAAAAAATGGAACAAATTCAACAGGTAAAAGCATAATTAACGAATGCAGGAATGTTTGAAATTTATCTAGAAACAAGATAAGTCCAAAAATGATTTGATGGCAGTATCTTAAGGCTTTAAAAAAATGGCCCTAAGAAGCCTAATAATTTAGATAGTATTGTCTAAATTCTAAGATCTTTGGTTTCCAATGAAGCACCGAAACACGTATATGTTGTAACAAAGGGGGAATTCGTATAAGTCAAATATGGTAATTGTTTGGGCAAATGAATATTAGTGAAGTCGCAATCCAAGAATCCCTTATCTTATATAAGTAAGATATTTGCTCAAGAACCTCAAATATAGAAATAGCTTCGTGTAAGATTATCAACAATAATTATCCTCCTAGACCTTCAAGGTGATGGATGTGATTGGAATGGATGAAATTCATAATGAAAATTACACCTACGATGTTTTCTGCAATTCAACAATCGGAGAAGTTTTTTGCATCAAGAAATGTGTTTTCGAGAAAATTGTCCCAAATCAAACCATGAAGAAGAAGAACCTTCAAATAATGATAGAAAATAAACCCTGTCAAATGATTGAAATTCATTCTGCAAAAGGAGCAACGCCAATTAATCGATTATAATTGGGAGAAATACCCAGACAACCTGAAGAGATCAGCACGCATCGACATGAAAAGAGAACCATCGATTTTACAGCCTTCAAGTAAGTTAAACCTTAGCATGTTGTTCATCAACCAATTCTGGAGGAATTAGAAGAACCTCCTTTAAACAATAGATTTCTTGGTGGTAATAATACAATTAAACTCTAGATTGATTCAGCTTAAATATATATCATTTTATTATCATTCATTTTAAGAGATCTCTATCAATCAACTATTATATTTTCAGACTCTTCCCTTGACTTCTTTCATCCACACTATACTGAACTGACATTTTGTTTATTAATTTATATTTATATAATATTAATAATGTCTAACCACCGCAATCTGAAGGATTTATTTCCAACCAAACTTAATTTTATTAAGCCAAAAGCTGTAAGATATGATCCCAATCATTATTAGGAATTAAAGGATGAACGGCCAAAGCAAACCAACAAATCCCCTTTAGGATTAAGTTAATTTACTAGTTTTTTCTAAATTGCTCAAAAGACTACCAAAAATAGACAAACACCCTCCTCTCAAAGAAGTGCAACACCTTCTAAGGTTAAAATCATTTAAGTGAACATGCAAAAATAAGATTAGTCGCAAATGAAAATTTAGTCTAAGCATTCCAGGAATTAAAGTGCCACCAACATTAACAGCAGTAGAAACAATTCATTTCACAAAGAGAAGTAGGACTAATTATTTTAAAACCCAAGTTCTCGTAGTCCTGTCTACGTATTGTCCAAGCTAATGTCATAACATCATTAATAAGATTCTTAAATATAAATTCATAATCAATCCAAAGATTAATCTCCCGCTAAACCAGCAATTTTTGATAATCTAGATATTATTAATAGAAACACTGTTCGGAAGAATTCCAAATCACCAAATACTACTGCATAAAAAGTGTCTCCGTTTGTGTATCCAAAATTTTCAAGTGTCCATCAAATTAAACCTCAAGATAATTTGTTCAAGCAATAGGAGAGTTTAGTTAAGGAAAATAAGCCGATTGAGAAAGAATCTCAATTTATAAACGAAGCCCCTCAGATCCATATTATGTAGTAGGAATTCTAAGTACCTAGTTAATTTAAATACTCTAAAGGCTTTGAAAATCTATTTAACTCAATGATGAATTTGTAACATAACTCTAGATATGAGAATTCTAAGAGCATAGTTAAACAGCAAGAAAGACAAGAGTCAAGTGATGGCAATGAAGAAACCTTAGTGGCAGACTGCAACATACAAGTCAGCAAGAACAACTTTCAATTTCATTATGTGATTGGGAAGGGTGGATTTGGGAAGGTTTGGAAAGTTGAAATAAAGAAATCAAGACAGTTGTATGCTATGAAGGAGATGTCGAAGGCAAAAGTAATAGCCAAAAGAAGTGTTAATTCAGTAATGAATGAAAGAAATCTATTGGCCTAATTTAAACATCCCTTTTTGATCAATATGAATTATTGTTTTCAAGACAGGGACAACTTATATTTGGTGATGGATTTATTGACTGGAGGAGACCTAAGATATCACATTGGAAAAATGAGGAGGTTTAAGGAACATCAAACCAAATTCTTTGTAGCTTGTGTTTTGTTGTCATTGGAGTATCTGCACAATAACAACATCATTCATCGAGATCTTAAGCCAGAAAATTTGGTTTTGGACAAATATGGGTATGTTAGATTAACAGATCTAGGGATTGCCAGGATCTGGAAACCTGAGAATTCACAAGATACCAGTGGCACTCCAGGATACATGGGTATAGTCATACATCAATATCTGTAGCTCCTGAAGTGATGTGCAGGTAGAATCACACGATAGCTGTAGATTACTTTGCTCTTGGGATCATGGGTTATGAATTTATGTTAGGCAGAAGGCCTTACAATGGAAGATCAAGATAAGAAATCAGAGATCAAATCCTCACCAGACAGGTGCAGATCAAAAAGTCTGAGGTTCCAAATGATTGGTCGATTGAAGGTGCTGATTTTATAAACAAATTAATATAAAGAAAACCAATAAATAGACTTGGTTTTAAGGGGCCAGATGAGGTGAAAAATCATCCTTGGCTTAGAAATTTCCCTTGGCAAAGGCTTTTGAATAAAGAAATCTAATCTCCGTATATTCCAAGTGTATAAACAATATTTTGATTTAGGAAATTGATGACAATATCGAATATTTAAATTAAATTAGTGAGGATAATGAAAGCCAAGATGACTTGATCAGAGAAAATAAACTCTTATTAAAGAAAAACTCCGTTTAAAATCTATTTAGCGGTTATAGTTATGAATAAAATCTCTCAAAACATACAAAGAGCACTTCTAGTACGCTCTTTTTAGGATGACTTAATTATTTTATATTTTTTATACAAACTAATGTACAGAAGGCTCTCAAATATTGACCGAATAAAATTATAATTCAAACTAAATCAACAAGTCAAAGACTTACTATCCAAGGGTGAAATTGATATTGACAATCCTACCCATTTTGAAGTAAAGTATTATTGAAATAAAGGTTATCGTGGGTATTTTATCAAAAGAGTAAAAGTAAAGAAATCAAAATGAATTGAACTTATTATCATAGGCGTTTTACTCAATTAAATATTTTACTGAGATGCAAAAAACTACTAGTTAAGAGGAAATGCTTAATCTTTATAGAGAATTACAATACATTAATGTGCCAGCACGTCGGACACTTTTTCGTTTTGGGGCCATTGGAAAAAATTTTTACATCATCTTGAGAGGTAGCGTTTGGGTATTTGAATATTTATAATTTTAAAGGTGTTGGTTGGAAAAAGTGGTTTGGGTGATGACAAAATTGAAGTGATCGAAAAAAAAGGAGACAAAAAATATGATAAAAAGAAAAAGGTTGAAAAGGAGTACGATGAAGGTGAAGAGACAGTATAATTAATTAATTTATTAGAGGATGAGGACGAATTTTAGGACTTGGAAGATGAGAGAATGTTGGAACTGAAATACCCCCATATGATGAAGGTTGGAAAAATAGAACAAGGAGGGAGTTTCGGAGAGATAGCTCTTACTAATTGTATGCCCAGATAAGCCACGATTGTTTGTGCTGAAGATTGCTAATTTATTAAATTGTCAAGAGAGGCTTTTCATACATTCTTATGTAATTTATACATTTATAATTCAATTAGCCGAGTATTATATTAGAATTTAAAATAAAAATTTTGAATTTTTGAAATCAATCAATATATTTACTGATTGGAATGATGCTGACATTAGTGTTATCCAATATCATTTCTAATCCATTGATTATGCCATGAACAACGTTATTTTTAGAGAAGGAGAATCAATTAAAGGAGTCTATTTCATAGTTTCTGGTTTGGTTGAGTTATAATAGAAGGGCAGAGATTTAGAGAATGCTCAATTGTCCAAACAACAAAATAAATAATAAATAGTCATCAACCGATACAGCAAAGGCCAATTGTTTGGATTCATGGAAATTATGAATAAATAATCTCAGAGGGAAACTAAGGCAATTTGCTTAACGGAAAAAGTCTAAACTTTATTTTTGTAAGAAGATGTAAATCTTATATTTCAATTTAGAGATTTAAATTATACTGTTGTAGAGGAGAATCATTGAAGACTCTATAGTTGATGATGAAAAAGTTAGAATACATCATTCATAAGGCCTATCAGATTTATGGGGAAAACAAAAGATAATCCAAATAATCTTTATCGTTGAATCTAGCTGATAATGATGTTCTTTTACAACGTATGAAAACAGAAAATCAACCTTTTTGTAAAACCAACAGAAGTCGAATTGTTAAAAGACCTTTAGACCTTCTTGCTGGAGTTTCACATTAATCTTCTAAAATTCAAAGTTACTATGAAAGTGTTTCTACACTACTTAAAGATTCTTAGATTAATTTAAACCTGAATAATCCTCTCATTCATATTGAACCTAGTAAGCGATTAAAAATGTAATAATTGCAATTCTAATTGTAATATTGCCCTAATCCACCTCTTACTTCAAGAATTCCTCAATTTTCTAGCGGGGATTCAAAATAGGTTTTACTTAGGCAACTTAAATTACCAAGCATATTTAAATAATAATAGGAGTAAGATGATCGTATATCTATCCGATAATTAGATCCTGTTGTTTGAATAAAAGCCTTTATTAATTAAATTATATTATCAGAAATATTATAAAGTCTTAAACCATTAATGAAAATCATATAATAAAATCAGAGATTATTAACCAAGTTGTATTTTGAGTAGAGCAACGCCTTGATTCTAAAATAATCATTGTAAGTCCACTCCTTCTTCGATTCATCTCCATCCAACAATTTAACAGCCTATTTTTAGATTCTACTATTACCTATCTCCATGTAATAAACCTCCCTTTGATTCTCATTCTTTCTCCAGCCACCTTTTGTCTAACTTAGTATTGTACTCTTTTTTCATAAGTTCTATTCCTTTTCTTCTCTAAATATTTCTTTACTTTCAATTCCCTAGCTAAATTCTGCCCATTTCTATTTCTCAACATATATAGCCACTCCTCAAACTTCTTAGTATTATCATCCTCAGCCAGTTCAGCGGTAAGTCCTAATTTGAGTTTTTAGATTGTGTTATGAGACAAAAAATTATGAATGAATTCTTCCTGTTGAAAGGTAGGATTATGTCTGAGATTAATACTGTACAGATATTGATCAACTTCAATGTCCAAGAGTGTTGAGTCTTATTCATGTTAGGAGATTTCTGAATAATCAGTCTATTCTTGAGTAGATGCATTCATGCTCTACTTCTTTTAAAAATTAGTATGGCACTGAACTAAAATATTCTAATTGGATTCATCATCTATTATGCAACTAGTATACTCGATTGGGTGTTAAAATTGGCAAATATTCATTTATTATAAATAAGATATTTAACTCGAAACCGGAATTAAATTTTATATACACAATTTTAATCAATACTCCGTATTATCTCCGAAATGATTTGGAAATTAGACTACATCTCATCACCCTTGGATAATTAAAAAAATATGGAGATTAAAAAGTATAAATTAATAAATAAATTTATTTTTATTTTTATCTTAGAACCCATCTCGAGAGTCACCAAAATCAGTTTTAATATCTAATTTCTCATAATTTAATTATGACATTAGATTATATGAGAATTTTCAATAAATATTACAATTTTTTATATTTAATTAATATGCGTGTGTTAGGTCGATCTAAAAGTATAAAAAAAATAGGAAAAATAGGAAAAATTTTGGTAATAAAAGATGATTTTTGATTTGCTTAATAATAATCATTTTTATGTTCACTTTCTTCTGTTGAAAAGCTTCATAAGTTACTAAAAGCTGGCACAATTGGTTTGCATGCAAGAAGCTAATGCTGATGCGATTTCATTATTGGCAGTGCATTCAACAAGCTAAAGAAATTTTAATGATAATTACTTTGTCTATTGACCTATTATCTTGATTTTGTTCAGCACACTCCGACAGTGTATTAGAACATTAATCATCAAAGACGCATCCAAATGCTTCGTTCATACAATTCTCTTAAACGCATTTAGACATTGGATCTGTTGGTTCCTCTTCTTATTTGTGGTGTTTCTTAGCTGTGATACAGAGGATAAGTAATGCAATTGCCAAAATTTTTTTCATTTTTATTTATGAATTTAAGGATGGTTATTGTGCCTTTTATATTACTAATAAGATATGTTGAAATTTAAATCATAGTATTTTTCTATAAAATATATACAAATTCTTTATCAATAGAGATATTAATGTTGATCTAACAGAAATTAACTATAAAAAATTTATACTTATTTAAACAAAATTAATTCAATAAAATTGATTTAATTAAATTTTCAACTTGAAGTTGCTTATTTCTATTTTGGTCAACCAAATATATTTCTAAAAACTATTGTCAAGGAAATAATAATTTCAACAAATAATTGGACAAAAGACTGGCAATGGTAAACAAAAAACAATGTATCTTAGGAATTCTTTATAAAAATAATCTTAAATAAGAATTTAATATGATAATCAAACTTTGGTTAAATCTAAAGAATATATATCATTAAAGGACATTTGATGTCTATCTCCACCGAAAATGAGAAGTTAAGATTCATATATTGTAAATGAATGTCCATCTCGAGCGCAGGGTTTCTTTCCAACGATTGAATTTTACATTGATTGAAGGGGCTAAAGAAATCTGATAAAAAATAATTGAAAATATACTTTGAAACCAAAGGCTTTCCAAATTCAGTTAGTTTTCCCTATCTAATTTTCAAGTCAGCCTTTGGATTGCCTATTAAGAATAAGGAATTCCTCATTTTTTCAGAGGTAGGAGAATTGTCTCTAAGTTATTATTTTTAACCCTCATCAACTTCAAAAATCTTTAATAAAGCCATTTTCTTCTGTTAAATTTCTTTTCTTTTTTTTTCATCTAGGGTTTTTTAATTAGATTAAGCTTAAGACAAATTTCTAGTAGGTGACTCCAAACTGTCTTCAGATTAATCAGGTTTTTTAAGGGGAGAGAGAGTTGTTCTTTTAAAAGTCTTTTTTATGCTGCCAGTTCTAGTGGATTTTCTGAATTATCTTCGTGAATGTTGATCTTATTTGGTGTCCTTGCTTGGAGATAGTAATTATTTATCCTTCTTTCTAGCGCTGTCCTCATCAACACTAACCCATTCCATTTTCTTAAGATTAAATACATATAAGTCATCTAATTCCCAAGTGATATCATGTATTCCTCCAAAGATGATTATTTTATCATCATGAGCAAGCATCACATGACCTGATCTGATTCTAGGTTTTACTTTGGAACTGATAGGGATTTCGGTCCATACTTAGAAATCGAATTTCCATAGATCGTTAAATCTTTCATGACCATTAGATCCGCCGAACATGTAGAGAATGTTCTTATGCATAGCTATGCCTGCTCCGTCTCTGGGATATGGAGCTTTGCTGACTTATGGTTAAACTCTTTGCCAATTGTTGGAACTAAATTCATATTTATAAACATAGTTAGAATGTAAGCCAACAGTTCCTCCAAAAAAACCCCCAAATACAATCCAATTATCGTTGTGGATGATGGCTGTGTGATTGTCTATTTCTGGAGGATATGATTGATTAATTTTGCACTTAATCCAGATGTGGGAATTGAGATCAAAGTACCACATGGAATTGGTGGAGACTGATTAGTGAATCTGACCACCAAATATGTAGATCCTATCTATGAAGGTACACATCTGATGGCGAGTCCTGGGTCCTGGGTTTTCCTTGTAAGTCAGCTTTTCCCATTGGTAACTTAAACTCTTTAGATTCATACGATAGAATTCATCCATGATTCCTAATTGAACTTGGTATCCCCCATACAAATACAAGCTATATTATAAGGGAGGTATACAAATCATTATGGATTGTTATGCTGGAGTAGGCTCTGTGGTTGATATTCTTGCCATCTACTTTGAGTTCTGACCATTTTGGATCCTGATTCTCCACATTCACAGTTTTTACAGGTTATATGTACTTGTATTCTTGGTCTTATTGTTGCTCCTGTCGACTTGGAATCAAACTAATGCGTTTGACTTCCTTGGTGTCCTTATTCGATCGATTAGATAACATAATAATTATTATAACAGTCAAAATGGGGAATTGCACAACCTGTGATGATCCAAATATATACGAATCTCGTAATGAACTCAAACCAGCAAAGAAGGCACCTGACAATCAAGAAAACCTGAGTGTTAAACCAAAATTATCACAATCCTCTCAATTAATCCAGCACATTAGATCTAATCTCAAAACTCTAGTCTCCATGCCTGATTTCTCTAATTCGTTCACCTAAGAAGCATTAAATAGAGTTGGTCCCTATTAATACGATGATCCAACCGATGACATGTTTGCTCTACCTTATTCGGGAGTGTTGGAAATTGAAACTAATGTGTACTATGAAGGATAGTGGAAGAATGGAATGAGATAAGGAAGAGGCAAACAACACTGGGCTGATGGTTCTGTTTACGAAGGTTATTTCGCATCTGATATGGCTAACGGAAAAGGTAGATTGATTCATTCTGATGGAGATGTATACATAGGAGAGTGGCTAAATGACAAAGCTCATGGCAAAGGGACATACTTTCATAAGGATGGGGCATCCTATGTAGGAGAGTGGTTTGAAGACAAATAACATGGTTTCGGAGTTGAAAAGTGGGCTGATGGAGCCATGTATGAAGGCGACTATGATATGGGTTTAAAACATGGAATCGGTACCTTTACTTGGAGTGATGGTAGTACTTACACTGGTGAGTTTGCCTTCAATAATATTCATGGAAAAGGAGTTTATAAATGGGCAGATTTTAGGGAGTATACTGGAGATTGGAAAGACAATAAAATGGATGGAAATGGTATTTTTACATGGAAGGACGGTAGAAAATATAAAGGATAATATTTCGATGATAAAAAGCATGGTTTCGGTGAGTTCTTTTGGCCAGATGGTAGAATGTACAAAGGATTTTGGAAGGATGGATAATAACATGGCAAAGGAGTGTATAGAGGAAGTAATGGCATTGAAAGAGAAGGAGAATGGGAAGATGGAAAGAAGATAAGATGGCTAGATGAATGAAAAAATGATATCATTATATAATTACTTCGATATTAACCACCTTTTAATCATATATTTAATGACAACGGCTAGATTTACAAATTTGAATATTTATATAATATTATTTAAAAAGAGTAGAGACTCTAATATTCAGCTTCTTGAATGTATTACTTAAACATAGTGGAATATAAATATGAATATAGTTAATATTTTGTATGAAATAAAAAATTAATTTATATTTTTTTGTGATTGAAGATTATGAGATTAGAATAGATATTTTGATAATTAAAAGGAGGCAAGTTAAAAAGACTAAGACTCTACTTTTATTAAACCAGGATTATAGGATTTAAAATAAAAGCTTAAATTTGAACCTGAAATACTTGGATAAAAATTATAAGAAGTAATATTTATGTAATAATCGTATTTTTGCTTATCAAATTAAATTTGAGAAATGAAGAAAATACAATTTATTACAAATAATAAACATCGAAATATTTAAGCATATCTAAGTCATTAAGTATGGTACAATTAAAGATATTCTAGAAACACAAGACTATGCTTTGAAGTTTGTTCTAATACCTAAATGCATTTCTAAACTTTGGAGTGAGTGATAAAGTTGAATATCATATTTCTATAAATGAATTATTAACCAAAATGGATTAATTGAACCAAATAAGATAAAATAATTAACTAGATTTTGATAACAAATGTTATTGTTATATATAAATATAGATATATATGTAGATATTTCATTTTTTAATAAAAGAGGCGTCTAAAAACATCTGTCTTTTAGATGCAGGTGGAGTAAGTTATCTTGCTTTTTTGATATTCTCAACAACATAGTTTTTGGATTAATCAATGATGGTGGATTACTAAATTTAAGATTTCATTAAATGATTATCAATATTCGATTGTTTGATTTAAGGAGGTATATATTTTGGAAGAATACCCTTAATCAAATAAGACCTAAGATTATAATAATCAAAATTTAGTACCAATACATGTCCTCAGTTTAAATTACTAATTTGCCTTTTCTGATCTTACCATATTCTATAGGAGTAAATGAAATTACAAAAGTAGTTCCTTCTCTTCCATATGGCTCAAGGTCGCCGATTTTAGGAATAACTGAAAATTCAGCATCGGATTCAGGAGTGAATCCAGCATAGAACTTAGCGTATCCTTTAGTTTTATTTGTTAATTTGAAGGAAACACTAGTAGTTTTATTTAAAGGTGAACTAATTATAATAACATCATCTTCATCAGGTTAAGTGGCTTCTAACACTATCTTGTATCTATTGTAAATATATTAAATATGATTACTTCCATCTTCCTCCACTTTGTCTAAGAACAATAAATTCAAGACTAGCTTTGAATGGTTTCATAGGCTAAAATCGAACAGCAAAATGAAGATTTTCATGAGGATTATATAATTAGTTTTTAGTACACTTTACACTAAAGCATTTGCTGATCATTTGTTATAAATCTACTGGAATGTTTGCCAATTCAAAATCAAATTTGTCATCAGCTTATAAAGTTTAAGCAATTCCTTAGAGTCCAATTTTGATTTCATCTTCCCACTTTTCTCTACACTTGGCCTTAAAATGAAATAATGTTTGATTTGATATACTTTCTGTTACTCCTTTAATTGGAAAAGTCCAGGAGATCTTTTCATTCATTTGAATAATTATTTCAGCATAATAGCAAGTGATTTCTCTTGGAACAAATGAAAAAGGAATTTATAGAACATTCATTCCTGGAACAAGAATCTTATCATTTTTGTTGGTCAGTAATTTAAAAACTTCTTTATTATGTCCTTCAGCTTCGAATTCAATTTTAACAGTAATTGGATCTTTAAAAGGATTCTTAAAGTGTACAACAGAACTGTAATCCTTATTCAATCCTATACTCACAGTAGTAGCTGGGAATTTAGTTGGGGGTAGACCATTACCGAAAACTAAATAATGCCATTTTCCAATAGGAGATGTAAAGATAATTTCAGACTACTCTATTTAATCAAGTGAAGAGGGAGTATATTTAATATTAACTTTTAAGACGTCATATGGGTGAATAACTAATTCATTAGGTGAGATATCGAAATTAGTTGGATTAGATATTCTATACTACAAATTGACCTTTTAATCAGATGGATTTTCTAAAGTAATAGGCAATGACTCTACTTTTCCTAGAGATGCCTTTAATACATTTAATTTTATTATTGGTTACTCTTCACAAGTGAGTATGAATTCATACCAAACTTCCCCTAATTAACGATTTACAAATGCAACACTACCTCTCCATCTACCTATTTTAAGTGGAGCAAAAGTCAATTCATAATTTCCCTCTTTGTTAGCTCCAATTGCAAATTAATCTTCTCCTACTAGGCCATCTCCATTTATTATGGCTTCATAAATTGCAGTTTCAGGCAAAGGATTAACAAGTGTTAATTGCATTACCGTAGCTTATCTAATTAGACAAGATAATTCTAAAGTCTGAACTGACTTCGGAGATTCAGTATTCATAAAGACAGTGTACCATAAGTATCTTCCACTTTCTTCTGTGAATGTGATTGACCCAGTATATTACCCTGATAAAACTGGTTATACAGTTAATTGATATGTAGCTTTCTTTCCTGGTTATACAGTAATGGTCTAGGGTCCAGTTGCATAGATCAAATCAGTTTCCACTTTATAGGTGATCACTTTTTCTGAATTATTTTTAATTTCTATGTCTCTTTTCATTTATTTTCTAGCCTAACAATTAAGTATTATATGCTCCTCAGCAACTGGTTCTTCTCCAATACCAACCAAATCATATTCAAATACATCATTAGTTTAAGGATTACTAAGTATTAGTTTTGCCTCACAAGATGCTATCCATTAGGGATAAAATGTTATTGGAAATAATCCTGTAGATTTCTTCTTGACTTAAAAATCTTTATTTGGACATTAAAATAATCCATCTTAAGGTTGATTAATCTACACCTTAATGCTCCATTCTTTATCAGAATTATTCACAATTGGAATCTCTTAAACTACTTATTATCTAGCAGGTACTCTAAATTCTAATGTTGCCTTAACAACCTTGGGTAATACTTGAGCTGATAATTTGTATCTCCGAATATCAAATTTATTTTTTAAAGTCAAAATGACACTAAAATCTTTTGTTGCATTTTTAAATGCATAAGTAATTGGCAATTTACCATCATTACTGCGATCTACTTATTTTTTATTTCCATCAACAACAGTCAATGTTTATGGAACTTATAAATATTATGTTTACGGATAAACTTCTATTTCAAAAGTCGTTTAATCAGTATTACTACCTGGATACACTAATTTATTCTAAAAATTATTCTAGGTATTCGTCTTATCTACACCCAATTATTATTATTTGTTCTTCTATTTTATTTACATTATCTATTAGATTTGTTACCGAGCACGAACTATCTATTCATTTTTGAAAGGAATTTGATATGGAATTTGGATAGTTTAATCTACATACAGAGGCTTTTCAGGTTTGAATTCACCTGATAAATTAGGTAACTCTACAGTTCCTTAAAGATCATGTTGAAATTCTCCAACTTGTGGATCAGTTAAAACTATTTGACATTTGTGAGTATCCATTGTTAATGGAATATATTGTAAAGTTAGATTAATGGTTTGATTCTTGCGAATACGAATCTTCTCTTGCTGACAAAAGAATGCTGGGAATTCCTCCTCTTAAATAATTGATTAAACTTAAGCAGTCTTTCCCTTCTTTTTCTATTGATCTATCTACTTTTTCTCATGAGTTATGATTATTTGAAATTCCCCATCCTATAAGAACTTATTCGTTATTTAAATTTAAAAGTCAAAGATTTCATACAATATAGAACTAACATTCCATTGCTTCTCAGATTTTCTGCCTGTAATACTGGATTTTAATTCAAAAACCAAAGCAGCTGCTTATATGTTTGACTCTTTTTTGTTTGTGAAAATTACTCTTCCAGAAACTGGCTGAGATATTCTTGATGTAAACTTAATTTTATATTAATAGGGAACGTCTGGTTCAATTTTAATACTTTCATCTCCTTCCAATTAGAAATCTGGATGTCCTTCATATTTAACCCAGTAGCTGATTGGTTTTTGAGTTGGATTCTTAAGTTCAATGCTTTTGACTACTTCTTCACCCAAAACACAAGAGAAGAAAATAGGGTCCTTTTGGGGAATGTAATAAGGCAACGAAAAAAATAATTGAACAAGTAGCATAATCATTTCTCTGCATTAAGGACGATATATATCAATGGGTTAAATGTGAGATTAAAGGCCAAAGTCTTACAATGCTGGTATCAGTTTTTCAGTGTTGTATTTGTAATCATCCTCATGGTTACAAGAGTTACGGAAATTGCCGAAGAATTTAGTCATGGAAGGACCAATGAATGTGGTCAAAGCATCGGCAATTACTATTGAATCTCTGAAATCTTAATCAAAATTCTTGATTCGTCTAGTCATTTGATGTTGCATTTCATAACATATTTCATAGAAGTAGAGGAGTATGCCTTCAGATTATGAGATCAAATTGGATCCTTCCAGATAATAATCAGGAATAGTTAATTTAGGAGTAGGAATTCCTGGAAGAGCTTTGAATGCCTTGAGAGTGATACGATTCAAATAATAGATCTTGATGATTTGATAGAATAAGGCAATCCAAGCATCTTATTGCAAGTAATTGTATTTAGTAGGATTGAGTCTCAACATATTTTCAGGGACATTCTCAAACTTATTTGGTGGTTGAACTTTGAGCCATGCTAAATAATCTTAATAACTCAACAAGTATTCTGATCTGATGTGATTAAGCAATGCTCCCTCTATTTTAAGTTATCTGATCATCTCATCATATTATTTATAAAGTGCTTCAGCCCTCTAAGATTTCTTCCAATTTGGATCAATATTTTATTTATAGGAAAAATTCTGTTTGCCTGTCAAAAAGGTGAGAAGTTCAAAAACCTGTTGTCCATTGGCATTAATCACATCTTCAGGATACATTACGATACTGGTTGTAAGCACATGATAATTGAGCCATCTAATAATATATTCAGAAGCAGAGTCAAATTAATCTTTCCTAACAGGAGTATAACCTAGATTTGCAGTTCCTTTAGAGGAAGTACTTGATCTTACAGAGAAATTGTGTTTAGGATTCTTCTCGTTGTCAGAATCCACATTCTCATCTTCTACATAGAGGATGGGTTTTCTTTCTTCAGCTTCTAATTGGTACCTTCCCATCCTCCAAAGGAATGTTTGATTAGTAAAAATGCAATTATCTGTAGTTCCAGAAATGTAGATTGAATAGACTCTGGCTTCATCAATAAATTCAACTCTTGTAGTAAAACTCAAGGGTTTCTTATTACTAAAAATAACTTCCACTCTTAGTTTGCTTTTGGCCACACCTAAGGTAGTTCCTTCTGGAAATTTAAGTTCTAGATTGAAATTGCTTATTTCTTGAGCCCAATTATATTTTAAATTTAAGTTTTCGTATCCGTCATTAATAATTCTAAAGTAACACCTAGATTGAATATTCAAAGGCACAACTGGAAGTATGATTTCTTTCTTGTCAAATAATAATCTTGGGTATGCTCCAGACCCCCCTAATGTGATTTCTACATAAGGTAAGGTAGGAGGGATGTCAGGATCAGATAGGATGTATAATTGAACGACACCGCTAAATTAGCCAGGTCCATAAGGATTGAATTTGACCCTAATTTTAGATTGTTGTCCACTTGGAACAACTCCTTCAGAAGGTTCGATTGAGAAGATCTTTTCTGATCTCAATGAGGAGGCATCAATTTTCCAATGAACATCTCGTTTATCAGGATTAGACAATTTGATTTCTTCAACTGTGGGGAAACATTTATCTGGGGAAGTGATGATTTTCTTCTTGAATTCTATAGATTAAGGTTCCACTAAGAATTTAGGTTTGAGTCCTTTGCAAGTCACTCTTCTTAGTAAAGTAGGCAACATACCAAATCTTGCGAGAGTCAATGGAATGTCAAATGAGTACTATTTAACTTCCTTTGGGGAGAAGCGTAACAAGAATTGTTAAGATTTGCCTGCCCCAATGGAGATATTATATTGTCTATATATCTTCTATTCGATTTCTATGGGTTCTGATTTCTCAGATACATCATCCAATGGATCCTCTTCTTTGGGTTCATCATCTTCTTAATCAGGATGAACAGAATGCATAATGGTGTCATCATCATCTTATGGTTTGAATTCTAAGCAATCAATTCCATCAGGGGCTTTTGGATTCTCACTTTGAGATCGCAAATCTAAAACCAATTCAACATTCACAGGAGATGAATTTACGAGAGTCAAAGGCATTTGATTGCTCGTGCCTAGAGTGGTGACATTTCCAAATTCGAAAAGATCCTACTCAATTTCAATTTTAGGTATGATTGCTTAAGCTGAGAAGGGAACAACCAATAGTTTTCCTCCTCTAATTTGAATCACAATTTCTCCTTTGATTGTTCTCTCCTCTTTGCTAAAGAACTTCACTTGAATATCTTTCGTTTCCTCTTAATGAATTCTACCTTTCAGAGGCATAACTTCAATGCAATCTATTTATGATTTTATTGCAAATACTGCTGTTGATTTGGAATGATTCTTTACGCTTATAATTTTAGTTTCAGTCTTACACACAACTACATCTTTGAAATCTAATGAGCCTTACTTGACTGAGCATTTAGGTTCAGTCACAATTCCAGTGCATTTGACTGTTTGATCTAATCCTTCTTCAGTTTTTAGTGTAATTTTCTCTTCTTCTGTCCTTGTAGTGGCAGCTGTGTATTATTATTATTGACCAGATGCTTAGGCTGCATACTATTATTGATTATTTGAAAGAGATGGACGATAGATTATTTAACATTCTACATTCCTCCCAAATGGTACAACACCCTCTTCTGGTTTTACAGAAAAGGTCTTTTTCTCTGCTGTGATCCATTTAAATTTAGCATCAGCATTTCCATTATTAGTCAATCTCAATATTTCCATTGTTTCCATCTCTGCATTGTCATCTGTGAAGTTTAATTTAACTTATTGTCTACTCATTTCTAAGAACACTTTTTCAATTGTAGCTGATACTTAAATTTCAAATACATGTTTCTCATTGATGATATATTTCAAATGTGATTTTAACTATCCTAATTGCCTAGAATTCACACATACATCAAATCCAGCTGTTTGTCCACTGGGAATTATCTGTGGTTTTGTGTATGACTAAGCAAACTCCTCTCTGTCTGAATACAATCGAACTGAGATGGAACTCCTTAATTCATTTCTAACATAGAAATATTTTGTAGCCAAGGATTTAACGAAGATATTCCCAAAATCGATTTTGACAGGACCAGCACTTATTTTAAGTAATTATTCTGCTGTCAATTCACATGATGCATCCCTAATTTCACTATGAGTCTTTGGTTCATTAGGGAATTTCTTCTTTGGAACTGTCTTAGGATCAGGATCAAAGGGTTTGATGACATTACCTTCCTTAACTCTAGTAATCGGTTCATAGTGATAGATTGGTTTAGTAACAAATAAAGATTCATTGGCATCTGGTAGATTCAAATCCTATTCATAGCCATCCTCATGCATTCCAACAACAAATTCATAATCAATAGGCGGTTCTGGTTTTTCTTCTTCTGTTGTTTGTTGTTTCTTCTTCTACAAGAGCAATGATTCATTCTTAATTTAGTTTAATTTCTCTGTCATCTGAGTGAATTTCAATTTAATCAACTATTCTTTCTCTTTTTTGATCCTCAATGCTCTATGACCTTTCAAATACTCATTGTATTTCTCCTTATTTGTTAATTTCAATTCATCGATCCTATCTAAACTTTGTTGAGCCACAGAAACCATTGAACGAGACAAATCAAAAGTCTACACCTTATCGGTCTAAGTCTTGACAATCCCTGAAATAGACCTATCCTTGGTTATTTCAAAATCTTGAGGTTAAGATTCAGGTCCTCTTCTGTATTGCGGTTTGGGTAGTATTTGTTAGCATATGCCTGTAACTTTAATAGGTATTTTGAAGACCCCGCCCAACAATTCTGCATTCAAAATATTAGCAAATTATCCAATATGTTTAGGTCTAAAACTAATCCAAAAATTAACTTTCTCAGATTAACTCAAAGTTTTGAGAGGGGGAGTCACACTGAAATAGGGGATGGTTGGAAAAGCAATGAGAATTGGTAATTCCTATGATAGATTTTGGATTTCAAAGGTCATGTCTTTTTGTTAATTTGCTCCACATTGCCCAAATGTTATGGATTGTATGGGTGGGAATTTGATTTGAGGACAAATGCAATGTACAGAGAGATGATTCATCAATGGTTCATCATCATTAAAGTCGAAGATGGCTGAGTATTGGAATTCATCTGCATCCATCCTCCTATCCTGATTCATTGCATATTGTCTTGTTCGTATCTACAATTCTTCACTCACTTTGGGTCTGCATTTAAATAGAATGGTGGCCTAGGAGTATGATTCAATAGTTCCTTCCTCAGGCCAACATTCCATAATTCGTTCAGTTTGTTCCAATCCCAATTCTGCTGGTGTTTATAACTTCAGTGTTTCTTCCCGTTGATGTAATCCCTTCTTCAATTTGACTTTGAATTTCTGTTGATTGGGAGTGTTATTGACTAAGTAAGCCTCGATATTTTTTTATTGTCCATAATAAATTGTGCCAAAATCAAAATGATTGTTCTGCGTTCCATTTGAATCTATAAGGAATCGTGTAAACTCTATTGAAGTAGCATTGATATCAATAGGATTCTTGAGACTCAATCCGCTGAGCTGGCCATCAGCAATCACTTCGACAATGCCTCGAAAGATTCCTGCATCTTTGGGTTTGTAGAAGACTGAAACTGAGAATTCTTAACCTGGAGCCAGTGTGAATGAGTTGGGATCAATTCGAAAGTCGGGTATCTTCTCTAGTTTTAACTCAACCTTCCCAGGAGCTTTGCCTTCATTCTTAAAATGGATTTTATCCATCTTCTCCTTGCCCACTCTTACGAATCCCAAGTTGATGAAGGGTTCATAGATTATACTTAATTAGTAATATTCCATACGCTGCTTGTGCTGGGAATGCATGCAATGGAATGTCGACGCTGTACTGTCCATCAGTTACGATCTTCAGACTGTCAGAATAACTCTCTAAATTGGCTGTCTCGAATGTCACAATGAGCTTCATTGACAGACCTGCTGCTATGGCCCTTAAAATGTAAAAATCCTGAATTACCCTTGCATTTCATAATCGCATCTGAAATTTGAATGCGGTTGAAAAACCCTGATCCTACGAGCCGTTTGAGTCAAGTTTCGAACAAATACAGTAATTTCATAGGTCTGGTTGATTTGGATGTCTTTGAAGATGATCTCATTGGGAACAACCTCAATAGGAGCACCTGATGAGAGTTGTTTGATTTTTGAGGAATTCAGGCTGCTTTTATTCATTTATAAAATAATAATTTATTTCAATAATAGATGCAGCATCTCAAACCTATTAAGAATGTATTCCTTTAACAAGTCTACAACCAGGGACGCATAAACCTAGTTGTATTGCATGGTTTATTGGGTTCAAAAACTAATTTTAAAAATATAGTTAATAATGTTCACATCAGCAAACATTTGGCATCAGCATACTTGCTTGATGTAAGGTATTGACATACGATTATCCTTAGGAATCATGGGGATTCTCCATAAACGTAAACGATGAGTTACGAAGAGATGGCAAATGATTTGAAGCACTTCATTCTTGATCATAATCTATAGAATGTTGTGTTACTGGGACACTCCATGGGAGGCAGAATCATCTTTTCCTATTTACAAAATTACACAACTGATTTGCCAATTGGGAATATCATAGTGGATGTTGGACCTGGTGAAGGAGAGGGCAAAAATTATGTCAAACAATTACAAGATATTGATCTGAAAAACAAGACTTTGAAAGAAATTGAAAATAACATATTCTAGGTGGTGTAGAGCAAGGAAAAAACCAATCTCATCATGACCAATCTCACTTATGCGAATAAGGAAGAATTTCACTCTGATTATAAGTGGAGGATAAATATAGATGTCATTTCGAAATTTATGAGCAATGCTCACTCAGAATTCTATAGTAATTATTAGGGCTCAGCATTTGTGATTTGTGGAGAAAAGTCTGATTATGTGAGTCTCAATGATAGAGAATAGTTCCTAAAAGTGTTTCCAAAAATAGATATCAATCGAGATATTCATTTTATTAAAGGAGCAGGACACTGGGTTTAAGTTGAAAAGCCAAGGGACTTCATTAAATTAACAAGTTAATATTTATCATCATTTTGAACAATTATTAGTATATTTATGTAAATATCTTTTAATTATTTTATTTATCATCAAACAATTAATGTATTTTAAAATTAATTGTACTCCTTTTTAATATACTCTAATCCTTTTAACGATTTTAAGCCTTTCAATTTCATCTTTATTTTGATTTCTTTAAAAATACAATCTTATAATTAGAAATCAATAGAATTTAATTATATTCTTGTTAGAATTTGAATGATATAATATATTACAATAAACGAGTTATTAATTTGGAAATTCCTTATTTATAATTGTATAGTATTATTTGATCAACAATTTATAATTTAATCATAAATTTATTAAAATGATGCATAAATGTTATTTTATAAATAATGAAATCTGTATTAATATAATATTTAATCTAAAGAATAAAGTCAATATACTTACAAATTCAAACTAAACAAACGATTTATATTTCAAAAGTTATTAATTTCTTTTAGTCTTGTCATCTTGAGAAAGTAGAATTAAGGGGAATTGAGCATGACTGGTAATTCTTATAGTTTTAATATTATTATATATATATATATAAATAATTATGGGAGATATTTCCGATTAACTTAATCAGTTGATGCAAAAGTATGAGCAGCTTGAAGTTTAGTGGAAAAAAGAGTGCGACAGTGTTTAGAAGAAGGATGAACTTATCAATCAATTGAAATCAGAGATTAATGAGAAAAATAAATTAATTGTCACTTTTACATCAGAAGTAGATTCTCTGAATGTCTACATTAATGATTCCATTACTGAAAAAAAATAATAAACGAGCAAACTTAATGAATTAGATAAGAAGTATTAGAAGGCTAGAGATGAATATAATAAATTAAAACAAAAATTGATTGATCGTGATCTTCACATCCAAGAATAGGAGAAAGAATATAATCTATTAAATTCCTAAGTGTAGAGTGAGACTGAGCGTTTAATCAAAACATATGAAAACAAAATTCAACAATTAGAAGAAGAAAAAGATTAGCTAAAATAGGCGAATGAATAGAAGCAATAAAAAGTTACATAAGTTACATATGACAGCTATAAAAAATGGTTCATTTTATCTGTGGTCTTTTATCCATTGATATTTGGATTGACCAAATTCTTGAGCAAAAAAAAATGATCAATACATATATTATATATAAGTATCTGTATGCATATTGTCCAGCATCATTCCTAATAAATTATATTAAATCTTAGTGTCTTCAATGATTTAGATACTTACACTTAGGCTATATCATAGTAGTGATGAATTGTGATTTAAACTATTAAATATAATATTTTGGTATAAACAAATTCATTAAAATATGATAATAAAAATTTGGAAAGATATCGAAAAGCTGGTGTTGAATATTTCACTTAATTTTTTTATAGAAGAGCTCTTGAATATTAACAATCGTCGTCTCCTCCTTGCTTATCAAACCTTATTCGATTCTTAAGATTTAAAATATATTCATTTACAATTATTCAACTCTCAATATCTCTCCAAAACCTCCTAGTTTACTATGGTGAGAATAATGGAGGCTAAATCATATGTGATGGAATAAATAAACATTTACCCAACTTCACAAGATACTTTGTTAACGATTATCGAATCAATTATATATTTGGCAGAGCAAGAAGTCGTCAAGATTCATGATCAAATCCCTCAGGTGAATAAGAAAGACAGGATATATGAAAATCTCTTAAGGAAATCTTTGGATAGACCGATTGAAATAACAGAAAACAAGAGCAAAAGCGTAGAAAGACCATATGATTACAGTTACAATAAGATGATGTATAGGAAGTTAAAGTAGGAGGCTTTTAAAATGCTATCGACTAGTGTAGAGATCGAAGATGCCAATGCATTGGTGGATAATTATAAATTAGTAAAATCAACAGACACAACCAATGTTCCTTTGAGACAAATGCCCAAATCAAGTTTGCATAATTATTATGTAACTTAGATTTTGAAACCCATTGGTATAAATGCTTACAAACTCTCAATTATGGATATATAAAAAAATAAAGAAATCTTTTTTGACACCTTCAAAAATGTATAGCATTTATTTAGTTTTTAGCAAAACGATTGTTTGAAAATAGTGAATGAATTAAAGTCTGAATACAAAATACAAGATAAATTAATTTAGATAAACAAAACTGAAACTAAAATATTTGTAAATTCTCTAAAAATATCAACTCCAAAATTAGGTGAGCATTTGAAATCGATGTAAAAAATATCACCTAAAAAATTGAATTTCTGATTTTAATTATTTTATTAATGAAAACTCCAGAATTACCCTATGCATTCTTCACAGAAGAGCAAAAACAGTATCTAGATATACTCGTTAAATTTTCAGGTCGAACCTAACGCACTCGATTGGTTTCGAGCCAAGCCATACCAAGCAAAAAATATGTACCAAATTCATATTATTTAGCAATTCCTCAAAAATAATTTCATTCTGATGACAGCGGATGAGCAATACGATTTTAATTAAGCAGATAAAGTGCTGTCAGAATAGACTACTATTGGTGCCCTAATTGGGTTTGGCATTTCAGCGATAACGATGCTTTACTTTGTCAATTCTAGGCCTTTGCATAAGAAACTTTATGGAGAAATGTCCACAAGTGGAATCTTAGGTCTGATGTTTGGCCTGTCATTCTATCAATACCATAATTATCAATACAGGGAGAAAATTCACTAGATGTATGTTAAATTATTGGCCACAAAAAAATTAGGGAGAATCTGAGAATGTATTTAATTAAACAGACTTTTTTTTAATTTAACAAAATTTAAATTGAATGCAACGAGTGCCACAATATATTCAACGACCAATAATGTAAGATTCTTATCGACAAACCATCAAACAGACTCCAGATAATGAGAATTCCTCTAATCAATATCAAAAGCGAAAACCCGTCTAAGCATACCCTTAATATCAATCTACTTAAGTCCTTCAAAAACCTGAGATGCGTCCCAGTTCATCCTAACCTCGACAACCTTCCATTCAAGCAGTTCCAAGACCCTCCTCAGCCTCTAATGATAAAAGGGCTTTTTCGAACTAAAAACAACCATGCAGATCTTCATTCAAAGAATTGAAAAGTTCAACATACATTTAACCATAATAAGCAACCCCATAATCTAGATATTTTTCATTAAAGTAGAATCCAGATACTAACATGATTAAATGTTTGTCAGATCAATAATTACAAAGCAAACAAATTGATCAATAAGAATATCAAAAATTACATGAGAAATTGCAATTCTTGGAGAATAAAATCAATAAAATTAAATCCAATATAGAAATCAGCAATTCTCAATTGTAAAAATAATCAGAAAGATCAAAACAAAAGCCACTTGGATTAGCAGCTAAATTTTTTCAAAAAAAAGATCAAGAGAATAACGAACCAAAAGGATCCACAACTCCTAAAGAATTGACTAAATGTTCAACCTCCTTAAATTTACAACTAAATAAAGCACTAAAACAGAGTCAAGTAATTAAAGAACAGAATCAACCAAGCATCAATTTAGATTAATTTGTTACATAAGTAAAATAACCGAAAAAACCGATCCAATAATAATCATCAATAAATAGACATCAATCCTTAGAGATTAATCAATCATTTAACTAAGTAACCAAACCAATTTTGAATGAAAAATCCTATTCATCTCAAAAACCTACCAAAGACGATCATGTATTCATATACTTTATCATAGTTTCTATATTACATATCTAGTGTAGCAAGATCCATTTTTATATAGTAAACAAATAAAGCAGATGAAGTTGTTAGAGATCACATCGTATAAACTATTTAAGTAAATTGATCGCATATAAAATAGGGCTTAGAATATGCTAGAAATCTAACATTAGAATTCTAAGAAGACAAAATTGTTAATTTGCCCAAAACTAATCAATTAAAAACATTAGTATTTGATTTAGATGAAACATTAATTCATTGCAATGAAAGTACTTCTATTCCTGGAGACATTATTCTACCAATAACGTTTCCAACTGGAGAGACAATCTAAGCTTCCATCAACATTAGACCTTATGCTTAACAGATCCTTTAAACCCTGTCTCGACATTTTGAAATCATTGTTTTTACAGCATCTCATTCTTGTTATGCTAATATTGTGTTGGATTATTTGGATCCAAAGAAACAATGGATTAGTCATAGGTTATTCCGAGAACATTGTTAGTAGACTGAAGAAGGTGCTTATGTGAAAGATTTAAGGTTAATTTCATAATATACTTCTAGAGTTCTTGGAAATAGAAAGATGTCAAATATTTTGTTAATTGACAATGCAAGCTATTCATTTGGATAATAAATTGATAATGGTGTTCCTATTATTGCTTTTTATGATAACAAATAAGATTAAGTAATTTTAAAAATCATTATCTTAGGAATTGTTATATCTACAAAATTATTTAATGAAATTCAGGACAGTGACTGATGTAAGAGAATTGAATTCCTAGTTATTAAAAGTGAGCTCATTCACCAATTATTAAGATCCATCACAATTATTACAAGAATTATTTCCAGAATATATCCCAAAATGATTAGTTACTTGAATACTTTCATTTTTTAATTTAAATATAAACATTTTAATTACAACTATCAACTTTATTCTAATGAAAATATTTTGAAGATTAGTTTATCAAAGAAAATAAACAAAAATTTCTTTTATAAAATAACTAAATGACTAATTCAAAATATCAACCAGCACCAAAGTCTTTCATCCAATTTTCATATTCTTTTAGATATTCTGATGAAACAGATTTATTAACTATCTTTAATGCTTCCTCAAAATCTCTCTATTCTAAAGGTACATCAACAACATCTAAAAAATTAATAATGAAAAATACTTGAGATGTCTTCATATTTCTATTGTAATTTTTAGAATCCTCCCTCTTCCTTTAACTTTCTTCTCATTGGCAACATAGATGCCTCCCTACAAACATTCGCAATATCTGCTCCCGAATAACCATCACTTCTATTAACTAATTGATCCCAATTGATATTTGGTGACAACTTTAAAGAGTGTAAGTTGATTTCGAAAAGAACTTTCCTGCCTGTAACACTTGGCAATGGAATATCTCTTATAGTTGTATTATTTTACATATTCTTCTTTCAAGTCTTCTAATTAGAGCCTCGTCTAAATCCCATGGTCGATTGGTAGCTGCTAGACACATTACTGTTTTTCTTTCTTCTCCAGTACTAGCACCAGAAACTCCATCCATCTCTATTAGCATTTATGTCTTAACTCTACGATTATAAGATAATTTTACTTTCTAGTTGAATCACCATCGTTATCTCCTCTCTTAGAACCCAAAGCATCAATTTCATCAAAAAAGATTGTGCTAGGTGCATAAAATTTAGCCATATCGAACAAGAGTCTAACTAATTTCTCAGATTCTCCTTTCCATTTGCTTGCTAAAGTGCATGCAGAAACATTGAAGAATGTTGTTTTTCCAGTAGTAGCAACAGCTTTGGCAAGCATTGTTTTTCCAGTTCCTGGAGGTCCAAATAACAATACTCCTTTGCAAGGTCTTCTAATTCCCGTAAATATTTGAGGCATAAATATTGGGAGTAGGACAGCCTCTTATAGAGTATCCTTAGCCAATTCTAATTCTGCTATTTATTCAAATGAAACATTTGGTGTTAGATCTAGTACCTCCCTTTCAATCATTTAAATTAAATCACTATCTGGACCTCTTCCATCTGGATAAACATGATCATGATATGTTTTTCTTTGACCCTCTACAGGTTTCTTATCACCAGCAACATTGTTTTTCTTTCCCTTATCATATTCTTTCCTTTAATTACCCTTCGCCTATGGCTATGGTTGTGCCTAAGGTTTAAAAATATTGTTTGATTTAGCATCCTTTTGAGATTGCTTTGGTTTATCTGGCTTTTTAGAAGGGGGATCCCAAACATCAGGATCTTTTGGAGGAGGATTATTGGTCGGACGCCTATTATAGTTATTATTGCCGTTGTTATTATTGAAGTAATTGCTAGGATTGTGGTTTAAGTTATTGCCATTATTACCATTATTGTTGTTATTATTGTTAGCTTTCTTACCATCATTACCTCCTCTTAAACCACCAAAGAAAATTTCATCCGGATCTTATGCTTTCTACTTAGGAGGTGATATTTAAAATTAATTGGCTTTCTACGACGGAGATGTATTCTCTCTTTGATAATGTTAGAAAGGTATTTAATTGAATGGCAATCGAGGCTATCTGTTGTCATCATGAAATTCAGGACATTCTTAAACTACTTTCGGTTTCTAAGGAGATGGCTATTACTAATCTATGCTATTAATTCAAAAATTACTATTAGAATTGCCTTTTGTAAAGTCAAATAATGTTTGAGTTAAATCTAATTCTTCTTTTATATCATTCACTAGTTTGCTCCATTCTTGATATAGTAACTAATCTCCTTGATTTTTTCCCAATTATTGACTTAATGTTTCAATTTAGGATTTGAATTTCATGATTGCTTCTGGATATTTACCCAAATATGCTAATTCTCTAATCTCTAAAATTATAGCATACCTCGCTTCTTTAATTATTCCCTTAGAGGATTCTAATATCGAAGACATTTATTATTATATTTTTAATAATGCAGTTATTATATTAAATTAGCACTTAATGTAAAAAAATAAATTCTCATTATACAACTCTGATAAATCCCAGCTTAAGACTGGTTATTTTTAATAATTAAAAAATGAACTTCCTTTTAAACTCAATCAGATGTTGGTAAATAATACCATTTGGAGACTTTACTTAAGTTAATCAACAATTTTTATTACTTTTATTTTAGAATTTAATATATTGTTCTAATAATATATTCATTTAATACTTGCGATTATATAATTGATAGATTATGAATTTGCTATTTTTAGATTATTAATTGTTTGAGTGTTCTTTTATATTATAATTTTGAAGGAAATCAATTGAAATCACCAAGGTTTGAAATGATTAAAAATAATGACTTTAAATATAATACTTAAAAGCTTTTTTCTAAAATTGATTACAACATTTGAATGAAATCCATTTATTATTTTAATTATGTAATCCCCCTTTCCAAGAAAGAAATATCCTTCTAAAACAATTGTTGTTAGAAAGAATAATCATTTGTTCTAATCAGCTGAGCCAGGGGACAAAAAACTCAAATCCTCCAAAGTGAGCAAAGGAACAAAAAGGAAAGGAAATGTACTCGACAACTAAGAACTTTTTCAAATTAATAAAGCGACATAAAAGGCGTAGCATAGTTCTGAGTCAGAATCAGATAGCGATGATTCATTTTAGAAATCTGTCTTATCGGAGAGCTCAAAGTCAAGTATAAGATCAGCAAAAACAATAAAATCAAAGTCTTCTAAGAGACAGAAAAACAACATAAAGGATTTGACTTAAAACCTCATATAGTAATACCAAACCATCCTAAGAAAAGCTGACAGCCAAATGACGTAGCAGAAACAGTATATTAATTCATAACAATAGGGAAGAAATATAGTAAAAGATGCTTGATAGAATAGCAGAGTAAGCAACTGCGCAGATGTATGTACAGCCTTATAAGGACAGCAGCGAATATGAAAGTGACGAAGAAAATTCTGATCATCTATCATAATTATTTTCAGACTTGGCCAAAGAAGATAACAAGTCTGATAAGTCGGATAATTCAATAGTAAGCCTTGAGGTGATTTAAGCACAAAATCTCATAACCAATAGATCTGTAAATAACATTTAGTCTCCTGGAACACCTGAATCATCGATTTAGATTCCGAATGTAGATTTAAGTGTAAGTATGTAATTTACACTAGACAACAAACGTTAAGCATAGAATGTCAAATTTTCATAGTGCTTTTGCTGGTTTCAGTCATCTGTCTGTTACGGAATAATCTCAATCGTCTAATGAAGTATGAAAATTTTGGATATTCTAGATTGAAATTGATCAATTAAATAAGCTCTAAAACCACTATGGGAAGATCTATTAAAAATTGAGTAGTGTTAATGGAGCATTGCACATAAAATTTAGGAAAATGAGAAGTTTCTCAAAGTATAAATAACTTTATGTAAAAATAACAATTAATTGAGAGTTCTTATTAAGATGGCTATCCTTTATTAAAACTAAGAATGATCTTCGCTTATTGTTATTTGACAACAAAAAGATTATCCAAAATAATAGTCAGATCTAGAATATATTAATATCTATTGACCTTTGTAACTTTAGGAAATATCATTTTATTTATCTATGAGCATTTAAACCATGACAATTAGAACTTATTTGCAATTAATTTTGGTAAAGAGTGCACTTATATCTTCAGGTTTCTTGTGGTTGTATGTAGTTGACATTGTGCTACAATTGTTCGCTTTTGGGTTGTTTAGATCTAAATTTATATTTCTAGGAAGAGTGATTGATGCATTTCTAATAGTGATGTTTTATTATCATTTAGCTTATACAGAAACTGTTGTAAACATTACACCTTTAAGAATGATGAGATTACTCAAACAATTAGGAGCAATATTTGAGGGTATTTGAGATATATTACTTAGGATTGTAAAGGATGATTGAGGCTTTGATAGAGTCACTAAAATTCATATTTGAATCTACTGCTGTTGTTATATTGTTTGTCTTATTTTTTGCATCTTTAGGCAACTCTCTATTTATGAGTTTATTCAATGAGCGTTGTTTGCCGTCGGAAGAGGATGAATGGATTTAATGTATCTAAGGAGAATGTCCAGATGGTAAGACTTGTGTGATGACAAATAAGGCCTTTAACATCCCTACCAATTTTAATAATATCATATACTCTTTTGGTTTGATGCTAAAGACAGTTACTATGGATGATTGGAGTTGGGTAATGTATTACACAATAAGGGCCTTTCATCCAATAGTGTGGATATATTATGTCTTGATTATTTTTGTTGGTGGTTTTTTTGGATTTAATTTGCCTATAGCTGTCTTTAAGACTCATTTTAGTGAAATGTAGTTCAGATCAATCTCAAATTAGGATGAGAAGGTTGAGGCCATCAGCAAATTATAGTTAAAAAAAATAGGGTTTTTTCATTATGTGAACCAAATGAATAATTATCTATTTTCTAAATAGCAAAGCATTTTAATCGAAGAACCCAGAATAAATAAGCTTAATTAAGCTTGGGATATATAACCAAAATTATTATTAGGAAGTATGATTAATCAGTCCAAGATAGGTGAGAGCAATTTCACCCAATTTAGGAATACTTTTAAAAACTTTTCATTAAAACATATTCTACTTCCAAAATTAAATGATATTACTAAGTTTTATAATAATTTAGATATCAAATTATTTACTTAGGATCTTAAATAACAAATGATAATTAAATAATTTAGTAAATCGTCGTTTTTGTTGGAGAAGTATATTGATTACAATTTTCATTATGTACCCACCAGTTAAATTGATATTCTGAGGTAATCAATGTTTTTAGTGTTAAAAAAGACAGAAAATAAACCATTTAGCGGATAAAAGAAAAAGAAATTTTATTATAAGCCAATTTAGATTAAAAATAAAATTATTTAGAATCCTAGAACCAGCAGATCAGAGTTAACCGTAGCAAGTTCATAAATATCTGAGAATAAGAAAATGATGTTACCAATCAAGTAGTCTTAAAGGATTAAAAAAGATAACATTAACACATCTGATTTACATGGATCGAAATCTAGTTCAAGTTCAAACAATCTAACCCAGGGTTATTAAATAATGTAGGAAACGGGAAGAAGGAAGCATCCTTATTTTATTAACTAGCACTCAAAAAATTTAGAAAGTGAGAAATGGGATTTTACTCAATATAACAATGGGGAATTGAAGATCCTTGTAAATGGTGTTTATTTGGATTATTTGAGTGTTCAAAAGAGAATCAATGCTAACATTCATTAAAAAAACTAAGAAGGTCCTAGAGGATAGGAAGAATATACTTAATTGAGGAGAAAAGAGTTTGAAAAGAAAATAATCAAGGCAAAGCATTGGTCAGGAAATAATGTTTTGATTAGTTCTCAAGCATTAATCCAGAAATTTGATGATATCTTTAAAAGCCTCAATCAAAAGGATATTGAGATCTGGCCAAAGTCATTAAGTGGAATTATACTTAATTTAAGAAAGTATGCCTTTCAAATTATTCATTTCAAATTAACTAAGTTTTTGTTTGATTTGACTATTCTAATAAATACTCTGTTTTTAGCACTTCAAGGTACCATAAATAGAAACATAATTGATAATGAGGAGGATATAGCTACGGTGCTCTTATCAACTGAAATAATATTGCAATTAATTGTGTATTAACCAAGTAATTAAATATAAAAATATTAGAAAGAATAGCTAAAAATAAACATCATGTAATTGAACTTTTGATTGTGATACTTAGTTTAATAGAGTTTGGATTTAGTAGCTATTTGAATGTGAGTGAATAGTATCTTAGATTGATGAGATCAACGAAATGTCTCTTATTCTATAGGTGCATACTTTACATTTAGATGGCTAGGATAATAGGAGCAATAGCTTCAATTACTTATAAATCTTATATTTATCTGACATTTTTAATGTTCTTCATGATCTTAACTTTTGGATTGATAGGAATGGAATTATTCGCAAATAAGTTTGATGAATATCACAACAAAGGATACATGTAATCTTTTGATGATCCAGCAAAGGCATTTATGACAGTTTTTAATATTATGACAAATGATGATTGGTTTGGAGTTTATCGTATTGGTACTGAAGTTTAGACTGAATTAGCAGTGACTTTTTCAATTGCTTTAGTGTTTACTTTAAATTATTTTATTTATGGCATTATGATGGCTATTTTGCTGGATGGATTTAGTTAATATTTGGAAAGGGAATCTTCTAATGAGGAGAATGAGTTTATGAAGGAAAAAATTAAGTAGATAAACAAACTTAATAAATAATTAGATTCAGATCAAACTGATGATGATTCTGAGAGTGAAAGCTCGAATTCTAGTTCTTCTTCAATTAAACAATATAAAGAATTAGCCAACAATGTTATTGTTAATAGTAATAGAAATTAAAGGAGAGAAAGCACATCTCCAGAGAACATGTTAGCATCATCAAGTAATGTTAGAGAATACCAGTAAAAGAAAGACAGCTGTTTTACAGAAAAACTGTTCCATTCTCTTTAATTTCCTCCCACTAGAAATAGAAGACCTGATATTATTAATGACTAAAAAAAGAAGATCAAGGATGATTTCAATAGGTTGAAAAATAAAACCAATATCAATATAAATCATTTAAAGGCTTAAGAATCAAAAAAAATCAAATTAATATAGGAGAACATTGAATCAATTGAAAGACAACTTCTTAAGCAAAATCCAAAATTATACACTGGCAATGATTGTCTCTAATCTTATTATATATTCCACAAATCCAATAATTTTAGAAAACTACTCTTCAAAGTCAGTTAGAGCGATTATACCAAATATTTCATAGACATCACTTTATTATTATCTATTACATACTTAGCCATACCAAGTGATATTCAAAAAGACCCTTTGCTTGTTACTTTATTATTTATCCTGAACTCTATAATTTTTATAGAATTTATTATCAAATCGATTGCTTATGGAGCATTCTTAGATAAAGGATCTTATCTTAATGTAAAATTATAATTAAAAATAATAGTATACATGGAAAATTATTGATTTGGCTTACATAGTAATTTATTATGTTCAATTTTTTAAAATCGGATATTTGCCAATTTTTGAAGTTATTGAGACCTTTTTGTTTTTTAGACCTTTGAAGTTACTCTACAGAATACGATGGGTAGCAAGAGTGAGGGCAGCATTGACTCAATCTTTATTTGATATTATAAATGTTTTTGTAGTCTTATTGTTGGTTTGGTTGATGTTTGCTGTTTTTTCTATGATGCTTTATGCAGATAAGTTGGGTTACTGTGAGGAACAATTCAATTATGATATTGGGATTGAGGAATGCAAATAATTAAACAAGTCGTGGATAGTCTACAAGCACAATTTCGATAATATTACAACTGCAATGCCCAGCCTTTTTGTTATATCAACATTTGATGGATGGGGTGCAATCTTATGGGCATCTCAAAATAGTAGAGAGTCGTATTCTGGTCCTCATCCATACTATAGTTAGGCTCCTACTTATGTTTTTTATATTGCTTTTTGCACAATTGGATCTATGTTCTTTTTGCAACTGTTTACTGGAGTTCTGTTCATAAATCTGAAGGCAAACTCAAAATAGATTGAGAATCAACAATTGACTCAGGCACAGTTGGAATTCAAGAATGTAACTGAAATCATTTTGTTTGATCATCCAGTTAGATCTTCGTTGCCTAAATCGTACATTAGGAAGGTACTAGCCACTATAATCACAAGTCAATTTATGGATTTCTTTATGTTTTCTATTTTACTTATCAATTGTGTCACTATAATGATGATTTATCACTCTGCTGATTTTGATTATAATAGAATCATTAATCTCATTAATCATGCCTGCACTATCATATTCGCTATTTGGGTGTTGCTCCAAGGCATAGCTCTGGGAATCAATAGATTCAAAGACAATCCATGGAGATTATATACAACTGTGGTTATCATTTTGGGGGTAGTTGATTTAGTGGTAGATGTCATTTGGAAGTGGTTCCAGTTATATGTGTATTCTACATAGTTGACTCCTCATTATCAACTACTGAGAGTCATGTACATGTTAAGGAATTTGAGAGTGATAATAATTTTTTAGGGACTCTAGAAGCTTCAGAGGTTGGTGAGAGTGATTTCATTTGCTTTTCCCTTTTTGTTTAAGATCCTGTTTATTTTATTAATAATAATGGTGGTTTTCGCTTTTTATGGAACTATGTTGTTTGGTCATATTGATAAGGGAGAAGTGATCAACGATTTAATTAATTTTAAGAACTTTTGGTTAGCAATACTGACTTTATTTAAGTGTGTAAGTGGTGATGATTTTAGGAGTATAATGAATGATTGCATGCATCATAATCCCTATTGTCAGGAGGATCCAAAATATTGTGGATCTCCATATTCGTAGATATATTTTATAATATTTATGTTAATATCTAATTATGTGCTATTAAATCTGTTTGTACTGGCAATGATTGAACAATTCGAGTTATTTTTTAATAATCAGGATTCAATCTTATAAACATATGTCGAGAATATCGATACCTTTAGGAAGGCTTGGTTTAAGTTTTCTTGTAACCATGGCCAATTTTTAAACATCAAAAACTTGCCCTTCCTCCTGATGGAAATAAAGGAACCATTGGGTTGCAAGCCTTACGAGAATCAATGGGACGCAGCTAAATCCAGTCTGCAATATAATTTGATAAGTGACGAAGAAAACAGAATCACTTACAATCAATTGCTCTATGAGATATTTTTCCATAGATACAAGAAATTAATATTGGGTTAATGCTCGGAAATTGCTGCCGAGAAGATGTCCTATTATCACAAGACCATGAATTTTCGATTAGCATACCATAGGAGAGGAATTCCATTCAGGAGAAGCAACATAGGACCATAATTGAAATTGAAAGGAAATTGCAATGCTCTTTACTTTCAATTAATTGCTTTGACTACCTTCAGAGTCTGGAAGAGCTACACTTAATAGATGATCTAAAATATCCTCACTGAACAGCAATACATTTCTGATAGAACAATTAAGGACACTGAACCTATCAGACATTCGATTTCCTTAAAAAGTTTGGAGAGCCAGGAATCTCGGATTAAACTCAATGATAAACCAATTTATTAGAAAAGGAGATTGGGAAGACTAAAGCGAGTATCATTACAGGGTTAATTGAATGACTATTTACCTGGAGATTTAATAAATGTAAATCATATTTAAATAATCCTAGCCTAAACCTGTTTTGAAAAGAAAGAGCAGTTTTGGAATTAATGTAGAGGAAGGCAATGTTCAGCCAGTCTATGGCACTGTAAGAGTTCAAAAAATGAAATGATGTATAATCTACTAAGCAAAAATGTTATATAGAGATTCAAGTATTTTCATCCTGCTTCTAAACATCTGTTTAGGATTTGGAATTCATCTATAAGCTTTTTATCGTAGCATTCTTTGAGGCTTTGATTCGTTCAAATAAATTTCGGTTAGATTTGGTCCTTTTATACAGCTTCTTTTCCTTCCCTTTATTCAATTAATAGTAAATCTCTATCTTTTTCAGTATTGAGTCTATGTTGTATTCAGGAAAATAGACCAAAGTGGATTTACAAATATCCATCTCCAGATTTATATTAGTATGCACTATATCAAGGATCTTTTATTGCAATGAATCGACTTAGGATCCTTCCTTCACTTCTCCTTTCAATTCAATCAATCCAGAACTTGTGAGTTGAGCAGTTTATCCTAAATTCCTCCTATTCTCTATGAAACTCGCTCTGGTTTTCTTTTGATCCAAAGAAATTGTTATTTGTTGAACCTATTATTAATTCTAAGAGACAGGACTCTAATTAGAAGTCTATTGATTTTAATACGATCTTCTCTTTGGTCTCTACCCCATCTAGATAGTAGTCTTCTTAACTTTTCTTCTTTAATCCCCCATTTGAACCTTCCTTTCTTGACTTTCAATTTGCCTTTTAATGTTGATTGAGTCCTTAATTTCACTTTCTTCACTGTTCTTACTCACTTGCTTAATTGACTAGATATGGTTTTCAAGATCTTATTGATTCAGTTGTTGAGCCAAGTTTCCCAATTTCTAGGATACCTATACAAATCCCAAATCATCAAGATTGGAAGTTCTCCTGGATTTCTATTAAATTGGTTTCATAAATAGATTATTTTATAGTTAGTTAGTAGGAATTGATAGCATTAATGATTATTCTAATGCCTCTGGAATCTTTTCTTAATTCTAATTTTCTTTTTTTAAAAATTAAATAGCTCTGGTCCTTTCTTTTCCAAACTAAATCCTTTTAAAATTGATCACACTTTTTCTTATTTGTTTGCCTAGATCCAAATCTCGACTTTCCCTTAGATCGGTTGTTATTCCAGCAGTCACCTTCAGGTTCTTTGACAGGATAGCATTCTGCTTTTCACTGTTTGAAATGGATTTAGAATCACAATTGATTTGGGAAGAATCATGGTCTTTTGATGATATATCATCTTAAATTGGACTTAATTAAAACCCTAAGGAAATCAAGTATTCATCTGTGTACTCTCTTAAAATAATTATCTAATATTACTATTCTGTCAGATTTCCAACAATTATTCGCAAAGCACATTCCTAGATTTTATTTAAGGTTTCCTTGACTCTTGATTTCTTAGGATTACGATAAGGAAACTTAATCCGATTGTTGTATTTAACTGAAGTAAATCTGTTGGCAATTTTATTTGTATTTGGTTGCAAAAAAACGAATGGACACCTATATTTGATGATAAGGTTCTTACTAAATGAAATTATGGGTCCATTCACAAATTTCACATACATTACCTGACCCTTTGAAGGCAGGATACAATAACAATCTATCTCTCTTCATGCAAAATATTTCATATTCCCTGTCATTCTCTGCAATAACATTTATGAAATCATCGTAACTAAGTCAATTCATAAACTTTATACTCTATATAAGCCATCTAAGTAAACTTCACTGCTCTGACTTTATATTCATAAGGCTACTAAGTAATGAATTCTCTCTCCCCTAAGACTGCCCTATATAGTAGTACTGATAATTTACCCAGCACTAACTTTCTTTAAGAATGTCTCTGTGGCTTCATAATAATCGTTTTCATCTAATAATATTGAGAGCATACAGTACTTTTATGATCGGCTACGTATTCTAAGGCACCTGAAAGAACAAACCAAATTTTCTTTGGTTGATCATATCGAGAGTAGAGAGCTTCTTCTGGTAGCACCTTTTTCTCTTTAACAAACTGACACAGATTATTGATAGTGATTTCATTGAAATTGTCTCTCAATAGTCTTGATTTTTTGAGTGTATTACTATACAAATCCGTTAAGACTTCTTCTCTCAAATGTTTAGTGAGTTGGGATAAAAAGATGTCTGCATGGTTGTCTTCTTCTTGTTCTAATTTAAAGTAGTACTCAAAGTATTTTTTAACCTTATAAGATATTCGAAAATGCAAACCTTTAACGACAAGTTTAAATTCAATCCTCGTTTCCTGATGTGCTAATGAATTTATCGAAGTTTAAATTTATAGGTAGTCTTCTTATCTGAAATAGACTTGAATATGTTCCCGATATTAGAAATGCAATATCCAAAGATTCCGCAAAGCAATAGTGTTACCACAATTACAAAGACTCTTTCGAATGTGGTCACTGGAACTATGTCTCCGTATCCAACTGTCACAGTGGTTATGACACTCCAATACAGGGATATTATGTATCTATCAAACCAGTGATACTCATAGGCAGCTGGATCATAATGAGTCAACCAAGTTTCATACACTCCAAACGATTCATGTTCAGTCAAAGCCACGAAATGCCAAGCACAACCACAAAAATGACCTGTTAAAACAAGAAAAAAGATAAGTTTGAATAGATCAACAACGATTTGAATATTTTCCTAAGTACGATATAAATTGTGATACTTCTAAATTGAGCATTTCTTCGATGCTTTCCATTAAGGGGTTCAATCTAGTCAATCTTAAGAGTAAAGTATATCTAACAAATGGGATGTTTAGATTTGATATTAAGAAAGGGATTACAACTATCAAGTCCCAAAAAAAGTTCTCCTTTAGATAATGCTTTACTATAGATTTCCTATCTTCATGCATCAAGCCTTTGTCATAGTAGGCAGTGTTGAAGTTCAAGATGATCTCTGCCACAAATATCCACGATGGCAACAAATCAAATAAATACTCAAAAGCCCCTGAGGTGGTGATGTTGAAACTGATATTTATGGGGATGTAGAAGATGTTCATCACGATAAACAATAATAGAAGGATGTCCCAAATTATTTTAAATTTGCTGTCTGGTTTTATGACTATGATGTTTCTGCTCAGAAAATCTTAACAGTATTCTAGATAGTGCAAATACTTGGTTGCTTATTTTTAAAAATTATATTTCAAAATTAGGAACTAATATTTTATTACTAATTACTAAACTCGGTTTTTATTTAATTTAACGAGAAACCAAAATAAATTCAAAGTTACTTGACAAATCTCCGATTACAGAGAATATTTTTTGGGTTAAAAGTCTAAATTTTATAGTTTCCGTCTTCGTCTTTAATTGTTGGATGAACCTCGAAACCAATCTAATTATCATTAGACCCTTTTGTGACCAGATATAATTTAACCTAGGTTTTCATCCCATAAACATACCCTATTGTGCCTTCTCTTCGACCAGACATCCTTTTTGGATGAATCTCCTTTGCCTTCACTTTTTTTTGGGCCTGTCTAGTTTTCATTCTCTGTAATTTGTCTTCCTGAATTTCAAATTACTAGACAAAACTTTGATATTTTTCAAGTTTTGAGTTAGACTTACCAACCTAATAGTGAAAATTATTGGTTGATTCCAGCATTAAGCCAGATTGTGCTTTTTGATTGGGAGTGTTGTTTTGCTATTCGTTGGGACCGACACTGGGACTCATGTATTGTTGAATGAAGGAGTGAGTTCTTGATTTTGGAGATACATCATCCCCTGAGTTATCGCTAGTGATTTTAAATGCAGCATGCTTACTTAAAGCTACTTAAGGAGCCATCCTCATTTGAACTATGGGATTTATGTCCGTCATTCAAAGCTCTGAAATTCTTCCTTTCAAATATGTTCCTCTTAAGTTTCAATGCTTCGTCCATTTACTGCTCTGCAACATTTTCATTGGGATAAATAGGAATCATATCATCAAATCGAGGAGATAGAACATTTTAGCTGTGCATAGGACTTTCAATACTGAGAAAGGCAGTCTCCTTATTTTACATTTATTATATTTTATATACTGAATTATACACTTAATTAAGAATCAAATATTTTTGTATTCCCATTTTGGCGTTCTCTTCTTGATAAATATAACCATTGAAATCCAACACATTTGAATAGAATTACAAGAATTAATATCTGAGGAAGCCTGAAATTTCTATTTTATTTTATTTTTTAAATATTGGATGGAGCAACTATTCAAATTGATAAATCTATTAATACATCCAGCATCGAATCAACTTCAACTCAAAAGTATCATAGTTCTTATCACAGCCATTAACAAGGCTCAGGAACTTGAGATGGTCAAAAATTTTGAATTGAATTATAAAACTGAAATGAAGTATGACATGTGATAAGATTCTTAGCCCCATTTAGAGCATAATAGGCTACTGTTTCATTATAGATTCTATTTCATCAACTTAGCACATACTCATCATTTCAGCTTTCTTTGTTGTGCACATCTTATTGCTTCTGATGTTAGCATATTTTCACCTTGTAAAGAATAAATCAGTGACATTGCAGTACATCTTGCATGCATTTCTAACATATTACTAATTGCTCTTCCAAATTCCTATCATATACTCAGCGTTAAGGTTTATTTATGATTAATAAATATGCGATGACAGCTACATTTGCTCTTCAGATGGCAGAGTAGGATTGATAATCATAGGGTTGCTGAATATCATATTCACCCTGATTTTAAATTCAATACATATATATTTTGGAAGATGCGAAAAATTAATGGAAGACAATTATATTTTAACATTGGATTATTCAATTCTGTTGAATGGCATCATGCAGATTTTAGTATTAATCACCGTTGTTCTAAAAGCAATAGAAATTCTGCCAGAATTGAGATTTGCGTTGATCTTGATAAAAAGTTTGATATACGTTATAACTTCACTTAACAGAATAAATCAATTCTCATATATATTAGTCGAGACTGTTTCAGTTGCAATAAATCTATCAATATCATTCAATTTTAGCATCTATGAGTTATTCTTGATTATCTCATTTTTGTTGTGCTTGTGTGTATAGATTCAAAACAGGATAGTCAACTTCCACGTCACTTTGAAAGAGTAACAGAACTTAGTTACACTCTAAGTATAAGTACTAAATTAACATAGATCCTAGAGGAAAGCAACGAAATGAGCGCTTTGCCAAAATCTAAAATCATCCTATCTGTCATCAAAAAGAATCACATCTGCAAAAAATGCAAGAACCCTCATCAATTGGTTGAATGCCTCCTGCGCAGAATGGCCAATACAGTTCTCAATAGGAGTCAACTTTACGTTTTACTTTACTGTTCCTATGTCGCAAATCATGCTCCATTAAAGGCTTTGGTCAGATTGGTTCTGATGACTTCCAACGACATTTACTACAGAATAGCATCTCATAATTTGTAATAGGAATTGTACAAAAGAACCTAACAATTTTAGAAGGAAGCTTAAATCAAGAACTCAATAAGGAATGCTAATGAACACTTGAATTCATTAGATGTTCAATCAGCATTTCACACATCTCATTCTGCTGCCTTTTTATTTCCTCTCATTATTGAAACCTTGAATGGCAAAATCAATTTCTGGAATAAACTGATAAATGGATACAACGATATTGATCATTGTCTACATGAAGCACTAAAGACAACTTCTAAAATGCTAAAATGTAAAAAAGAATTTGAAAATAGATTTGACATGATTAACAACAGATTGAAAGGATCCTCTACTCAAGATATATTATCTATGAGGATCATACAAATCTATTAGACTGGAATTTATTCTAATTCATTCTAAGCTTTTTAATTAGAAAAAGCAATTGACGATCTCTTAAAGAGTGAGAGGTATAAGCAAGATGAATCCTTGGATAACATTCAACTTATATAAAGTAAGTTAATTTAATTAATTTAAAGATAGATTGATAATCTTGAAGTCTAGTCTAGTGCGCAAACGAGGAGAACTGGTTAACACTAACACTAAATAGTTGTCATAGTTTTTGTGTGATTCTGAAGACAATGTTAAGTTAATTAAGCATTGCAATCAGTTGATGCCAAACTTCTTATAGAGTATCCATGATTAGTTGATGGACAATTATTTATAGAATGGTCATTCCAAATTAATGGTCCATGGAGAATCAACATTCTTCTAAAATATATAAGGATACATAGAACCTTGTAGCATCAACTTATATAATTATTTTGACTCCAACAAGAATGACTTTTTGTTAAATATGATCTTGACTAAGGAATAATCTAATAATGAAACTATCTTATTTGGTGTAGATGGAAAGATACTTGGATTCACCAAATAATTTTATGAAGAAGCTTTGAAATCTAAAACTAAAATAGAAAGTTCCCACATGTCTAAACGAACTGAAGCAACAGTTTCATAAATGGAGGTCAGAGAACTTCTAGCAAGATATCCCTTAATTTAATACTACATACCATCTATCACCTAGTAGGTTGAAGAATTAAAAGTGTAAATTAACTCTTCTTCAAATTACCTCATGAATAATTTAAGGTCATATTGGATTGTACCTTAAAACCATAGCGAGTGTCTCTTAAACTCTCAATTAATACTATCATAATTTAAGAGAAGAAGTAATGGATCCTAATTACAACTCAATATGAGATCATATAAGTCTCAAACATATTCAAGATATTCTCAAAACTCTATGAATACGAACATAGAAATGTATGACGATTAAGAAATCCCATAAGAAATCAGAAAATAAATTCTTGTTGAGAACACTCCAATTATAATTTTGCATCCAGAAGTCTAAGAATCCATAAAAAAGCTAGTGGAATTCGACAATTAATCTCAATACATGCAACTAGGCTTATTTTACAGTCTGTCATACAAAGTATTAAAATATAAGAAAGGAACTTATGCCTATTTTATGATTTCAATCAAAGAAATGAAGCATTTATAGTTATCGAATACAAATCAGCACTTCACTACTGTACCCTCGTAAGCTACTCAATAATAAAGTTTATAACCTTCATAGGATTTGAACAGCAGTGACCTATTCCCGAAAAGTGAAATTGTGGAGATCGATGAATCCTAAAATGCCATAGTTTAGGAGATAAAAATGATGAATTAATTGAGATCTGTCAAGCAATATGATAATGATGAGCCTAATAATAATAATAACATTTTAGATAATTCCAAATCCATTGAAATGAGCTTTAAAGTAAAACAATCTGATAGATCCAACATTTTTGATTCAAGTAGATAAATGATTATTTAATAACCATTGTATGTTAAACCCAGGCAACTCGACAAATCAAGCAACTTAGAATTCGAGTAAATGGAAAATGATATGCATGTATATCTTAATATATATTATTTAAGGGATTAAAGGAAAGGTAGCTTGAATTATTAGATGAAAATGAGTAGGAAATAGTGAATGATAAATTTGAATCCAATAGTCAAACTCTAAAGAAGAACTCCATCTTGGGTAAGTTGAGAATAGCCTAGATTCAAAAGAAAGAGAATGCTATGGATTTTGCATCGAATCCCTCTAGAACTTCAACTAATTCAACATCCAAGGAGTCATTACTCATAGTTTAATAGCTATACTATAACACTCAATTGATTACTCCTCTTAAGAAAATAGCATTAATTCTAACATTAATATGTCTAGCCATTTTGACCGTAGATATCATAAATGTTTAAATGATATCAACTAATCTAGTATCTTAAACTGATTAGGTTGTAAATTTGAGAAAACCACAAAATATTAATTACTTTTACACTTCTGCTATGCTGTAAGAATGGGTTCAATATTTGTATACTTAAAAAATAATTACCTTAAGCCCTTTTATGAATCAAAGAAATATAGATACCTTATCTTAAATGTATGACTATGCAAGATAGGAAATGATTAATTTGGCAATTTAAGTACCTTAGCAGGCTCAAGATTTGAATGCGAAGACAATCTTTAACTTTAAGTATATAGAAAATGGAGTTATTAAATATTCAGATGTACCTTTGTAAGACTTTTATTAAGTCTTATATCAAACAGTAGAAACTTCGTATAGAAACAACCTGGGGAAGTAATAAATCATATACCCAGATATGTTAACAACAGGAGTAGTTAGGGTGAATTTATGGCAAATGGTAGATTTACATAATCAACTAATTTAGATAATCATGTAAAATACTATTGATGCTTAATCTTTAGTAAGATCATACTTCTTAACTGTTATGATGGCAGAGTTATTTTCTGTTATATTTTTTATAGGACTGTAATTAAAATATTGGCTATTCATCGATCACATCACGAAATCTATATTATTTTTGGTATCACGTTTAAATGAAAATTAATCAACAGATTAAATTAACCGATTATCAATGATAAAAGAATAGTTGGAAAATGAAAGTTCAAATACATGGAAACTATATAATTTTGGAGAAGTTATGTTTGAATTTTCAGATAAAAAGTCCAAGAAAATCTAATTAAAGTAATCTCTTTCAATTTAATCTACATAAAATAACTATCGAGCTACCAGTGCTCTATATTCCAGAATATAAAAAACCTATTATTTGAATAGAACAAATGTAATAGTAACATTTCTTTTGGCTATAACATGGTCTGCATTCTTAATGGCGGGGTATCTTTTACATATGTCATATAATGACAACTTCTAACCATCTTTAACCGTTACATTGAAATTTGTGTAATTTAGACACAACATGGATTCATTAGCTCTAATTGCAGGATTAACAAAAACTGAGCCTCTGATTCCAAATTATAATTTAAGTTTCATTAATTAAACTTTATCATCATCGCTATTGTCTTAATACAAAGATAATTTATTGCCATTGATAAATGAAATAGCTGATGTAATTTTGACAAATGCAAATGCTAATAAAAAGAACAGTATTTTTGATGGAGTACTTAATTATGACTTATGCTTATCTACCTCTTTAGATAATCTTCCAGCTTGTGATTTATCCAAACAATCTTTAGCTTATGATAAGTAATTCATATTTGATTATCAATAGGAAGGATTTATACTTAGATGTAATTGTAAATGGTGCTCTTGGATTTACAGCTGCTTTCACCAAATTTATAAATTAAGAATACGATTACGAAATAAACAACTTGAAATATAGTCCAAATATTGAAGAGTGCAGAATAACAGCACAATCATAATAGTTTTAGAATTTTGTTCTTTAATATTTTACTGACATTCAGAATGCTATGAGATAATTTTTAATTTTGTTTTAACAAGACAATGCAAATATCAGTTAAGGCATTATCAGCGTGATACAAGTGTATTATTATGGATTTGGATTAAGGTATATTTATATCAACTGTAAATTAGTTTATTTGCTATATATTGTATATCGAGTTTTGTATGGATATACAAACAGCAACAAACAATTTAATCATTAAGACAGATTTTAGTGCTAATTCCAGCCGATTTGATTCTTACTGCAAACATTAGAAGCCAAGCAAAGGAAATCCATTAGATGTTGTACTGACTGACATTTATAATGTAATTAACATGTGAAGATATGAAATGATAAATTATAAATTCAAAAAGTATTGTTTTATTAATTATTTATTAATATCAATAAACAATATACTTTCTATTTAAAGATATGTACATAAATTAATATATTATTTATAATATTAAAATAATTTAGAACAAATTTTCAACCCATTTTTTATTCATCTTTTGGTATTTATGTTTAATTTTTTTCTTCCTTCTTCTTATAATGATTATAAACCACTTTGCTTAAATAGATAATAAAAGTCATTCCTATAAGCCCCGCTACTACTACTATAAATTCTGACCAACTATTCTTTTTATTTAATTTTGTTGATTAGAAGATGTTTTAACTTTAAACTTAATACATTACCTATAATTATTCTCTTTTAAGTGAAACTTCAAGTTACCTTCTTCTGAGTAGCCTAGATGCTGGTTCAGCAAGAGAGTTGATATGGGATTAAAAATCTAAAGATGGATTGAAATTTGAATCATCCCAAATAAATCCAAAAGTTGTTGAAGCTCCTTTTTGAATCGAATAGTCCAAATTTAGAGTATAGGTCTTTCCATTTTAAATGATGTATGCTTCCATGTAAATGATTTAATAGTTAGAAAATTAAGGATCTAAAATGGATTAGGTCACTGTCAATTTCTTTTTATCAGCATTAATTTCTTGATTGACTGTTTCACTTACAACAAACACAGGTCCAACTGTGCCATTTGAATCCCCAGTAATTGAAACAGCTTATGTAAATTATTCTACATTCTAAGTAGCTCTCTCTACTGAGATCTACCCAATAATTATGGCCAAGAATTAAGTTATTTTAGAACTGGTCAATGCCACTCCAATATAACACTAATAAACATAAGCCGAAGTAGTCTCGAATTACTGACAGTTATTTTAAACCTCGTCTAGCGATAGGGTTATCTATAAAGAATTAGGGGTTCCTGATGTTGAGATATATGACACTTAATTCTGATCCAAAATCTTTAAAATAGTAGAGTCTTTTAAACCTTTTGTTAGATAAACTTTTGGAATCAAACAAAAAGCAATCTTAAAGTTGTATACCAAAGAGACCACATATTATCCATTTTATATGGCTCCTGTTGATGATGTGATGAAATTGTTATTAATTATACTTAAATCGCAATCATTGGATTGACAATTATAGTTGTATAAATAGTCGTTATCGTTGCACTAATTGCAAAATCCATCGACACAGCTCTTGCAATTGGGATTGCAATCTTTACTTATTGTTAGACCTGTAAAATAGGCTCCTTTTTGATTAATTTTAATTGAAGAAGAAGTTGATTATTATTATATGGTTACTCTTCCCAGATCATCTTAAATAGTAACAGACCCAGTGTTTTTTTGATTGTTGATGACTATATCAGTACTCTGAAAAGTGGGTTTGTAAAATGTAAAGGTATAAGTGAGAGTTTCACCAGTATTGGTTAAAATATTCTATCTGGAACATAAGCCATTTTCAGGTACTAAATAGCATTCCAACCATAGTAGATCATCTCCAGAGCAAGTAGATGCTTAAATTAATTCCTTACTCTCACAATCTATCCATCCATCATTTTCTAATTAGACTTTTAATTTCTCAATGGCTGGATAAATTTGATCACTTAAGACCTCTATAACTAATAATGAGCAGATTAGTATGGGTAACATTTAAATATAAATTATATTTTTTTGTGATACTACAATTTAAAAATGCAATACCTATATATATAATATATTCACATCATTCTTAACAATTCAATTATTTCCTATTCTAAATTAAGATAATAATTAGCATAAGATGGAACAAGACTTAATGATACTGAGAAATGATTGGCATTCTATTAAATCAAATAAAATTGATACCTCAGTAAAATATTTTCTACTTGGGTGATCACCTTAAAATGAGAAAATACATCCTCATTCTCAATACTCTGGCCACTATAAAGCAGAATCCAGTTTTCCTCTTTATATTTAATTTTTCTTTAGTTTTAATTCTTTGGACAGACTTCTAAGTAGTTAGATTTCACAATCAATTATAAGGTCAGATATCATACAACTATGGTTTATAAATCTTCTTAAAGATCCTGAATTAGTTTTTGAGCATAATCCTCCTAGTTTTTGACTTGCCAACGTATCGAACTTTCTTTGACTTCTACCGTAACTCCTTCTGTTTTTGTTGCATACGAATTGAAGGCTTTTTTGACTTGGATTATACCTTAATTATCGATAATAGGAGAGAACTCCATTATTATTATATTATCCAATAGATCAGAGAACTTCTCTTTGAAATCCTTATGAGAGAATACATTAAAAGTATTCATAGAGTGGCAGCTTCTATGAGAAAAACTTGAGACTTTTATCAAAACTATAGGCATAGGGTTTAGATGAATGTATTCCAGTCGAGAAAAATTGTGTCTCCCACTATATCGACATTAAAAATACATGTTAGCCTTAGCGAACTCTTCAAAGCGTTATTTTGAATCCATATCATCCTCTATTAATTTAATTGTCAATGTGATGGACTAGTCTATTATAAAAGCTAACTATTGGCAATCTAGTGAATTTATGACTTAAAAATATCTTACTTAAGTATAATAATCGATATTCTGCTATTAAAGCTAGGGAACTTTGATGAATGTAGGATTTCATTTCTTAAAAGATTTAGTCATTCATCTTTTTAAAGCAATCCTGCAAATGTTAAGAATGCCCTAATGCTGCTAATTTTTAATGCATACATCATTGTTCATTACTAGTTAATATAATTTTGTACAGAACTATTGGTTAAAATACTCTAAGAAATCCTAATCCACAAATACTGGAACAAATCTGTATAATTATCGAAAGTCTTTTAATACTTCACTTTTGTCTTTTATTTTCTCCCCTTACTCATTTAATAATATTGACAATCCAAACCAAGTTCTCTTGAATTACTATAACCAAAATAAAAGATGCAAACTAAAATAATGCTAAAAATGTTCGCTTTCATATTGTTCATCTGATATCTTAATAATAATTATAGGGAGATAAAAGGTAGATATATGTAAAGTATCTTCATTACTGATTCCTATTAAAGGGTATTCATTCACTTCATACAAAATATCATTCTAATTGAAATTTTTCAATTATCTAAACTTTGGATTCGAATTATCTTATTAATCTCAAGATTAAAAATAGCTATCTTTTTAATATAGCTATGGTCTTTTTTTCTCATCATCTAATTCTGAGTCATTTTTGCCATCTATCTCACTAAAAAAACTATCGTACCCTTCAATGGAATCCTCTGAACCATAATTTGCTTAATCAAAAGGATCAAATAAATCACTCATTCTTCTAAAGAAGGAAATTTTCTAACTGTTACTTAAATACTACTGAACACTCAGTACTCATTTTAAATAATTAATGTAATCATAAGAGATGAAATAAAAACTAATACTCCCAATTCAGTAATTTTTATCGTTTTAACCCATTTTCAAATTTCAACATTTAAAGAGTCAAAATACAATTAACTTTTTATGCAAGTTGATTTTTAATTATACATAATTTCAAATGAAGTTGAAATAGGGAAATTTTGTAATTACTGCTACATTATATTAGACATGAAAAAATTGTATTCTTCTAATTCAATAAGATGTGATATGAGTCTGTATTTAGAAATATGAAAAATCTTATAATTAATTAAATAAATTAAGCATCATTTTCATACTTAATCAAAAATCTCATTCTTAAATAATCAATATTTATTAATAAATAAGAAAGGAAATTAAAATATTAATTCAATTCTTGATATCAATCATACAGAAAAGAAACTTTTAGTTTGATAGAAATCGCTTGATTCCAAAAATTAATAATCTACACATTAAATTATTTTGAATATATATTTTAAATTTTCAAATATCCATAACCTTGAGATATTTTATTTCATCACTAAAAATTCTTAATAACACTATTATATCTCTTCTGCATCACTTCTTTATTTAAAATATGCACAGTTCGAGTATTCAAACCATTCTTTTAATGCTCTATATTTTCAAATACATTAATAAACCTTTTTGTAATTTAATATTATTGGTTTTATGTTAGTTATTTAGAAAATTCCTTTTTCTATTACTTATGATAATATTCACTCTACTTTATCGCTAATTATTAGGAAATGAGAAGTAGCAACTTTAATTGACACAAACTTATTCATCTTATCATTTCTATCACAAATATACTGATTTCTATTTCATTTTAACCACAGCTAAGTGATGATTTAACTAATTTCATTGATCTACATTGAATGATTAAATTGAAATTTGATATTAAATATACAACAAATTTTGTTAACATTATTTATTATGGCTTTATAAGGATATCAACACCTGCTAAATTGATTTAATTACCATAAATTGTTATACATTATGAGAATGTTATATAAATAATTTTCAATTCAATTTTGGTCTCTTAATAAATTGCATAGATTTGTTGTATAAATCATAAGTATCTTTGATCGACAATTAAAGATCATCTGTTTTTATGACATTTCCGAGTTCCTAATTTATATAATACTCTCGATTACCTCCTCTAAACTGTCCAACTATTATTAGAAATCTAATTTTGAGACATGTTCAAAGAATTTATTGAACTCTGGAATTTCCTTGGCAGCCTTCATTGTGATCTCAAGTTTTTGCATTTCTTAGACCATTTCATCTTTGACATTATTCATATCATTGAAGCAATTATAAAAACTTTAAAAACAATTATCTAGTTCTTGATTGCGCTATTCTTGCTTTAAATGCAAAGCCATCTTGGGGATTGATTGCTCAAAAATTTCCTTAAGGTAATGGCCTAATTAATCGGGTTTTTGCTGTGATTTTCCAAATAACAATTGAATTTATGTATTTCTTAATAGTCCCTAACTTTGTTCTTGAAGTTCTTTATATTCCTATAACTGCTGATTTAGACCTGCCACCTGAAAGTTATTGGTAAAATGTACTTTGGTTTCTAATAGGTCAACATACATCTTTTTTCTTTTTCTACTATTTTTTGCTGATTCCCTGTTTTTAACAAGCTTCATTCTTTCACGAACAATGATCTCTTGATCTGTCAATGCTAAATTAAAATGAGATTTTTCTAACCCCTTTGTCCTCTCTTCTTTGGTTTATAATCGAATGAATGATCAAGAAAGTCATAATAATCATTATCCATGTTTTAATTTTATTATACTTTGAATTTTAGTATTCTAATTGACGTATATATATTTCTAGATGTTACGCATTATAATCTAATTAAATTTTTATTCGATGATGATAATTAATCAATCCTAAATAAAATCAAAAATAATTTAATATATGATAAAGAATAACGAATCAAATTCATTCATTTTGTATTAAGCCCAATGTTGTTTGAGATTAAATGATAACTGATCTGAATTAATAATACTCTCAACAATTAATTCAACTTGTTGAATATTATTATATACAAAAAATACTATTGAATGGTTTCATTATCATATTCCCATTTTGTAAGCTTCAACTTTCTATTATTCTTTGATGTTCAAAAATTCGAAATGGATTATATAACATTCAATGGAGGATTTGATCTCTTATATTTGTTGAAATTCCTAAAATTTTTATCCTTTTTTTATCAAGAGTCCTCATCATTCTAATGATTTAAAAGTATTCAACACCACTACGGCATGTTAAAATGGTTTAAATTGAGATTCTAATTTAATTTGATGTTATAATTCTGAAAAAGTCTTCTCTTTGAATTTTAAAATTAATCCTTAAAAATGGAGTATGAACTGAATCTTTTCTTAATTAAGTTTAAAAAGGGTGACCTACATTATGCCATATCGTGATTATTTCAATTTCTAATGATTTCTGTATTATAATTATATTAAAAAAAACTGGAGAACTTAAATTTGAAATTATTTAAATTAACTTGAACATGAATTTGAATTCTCAAAGTAAATGGTATTTCCTTAATAGAAACTTAATTTGAATAAAGATAAGATTAAACACCAATTCTTGGGGATGATTTGGTGGAGATAGTATTGTAGCGTTAATTTAATTAAGAATCATTAAAATATTAATAAAATCAATATGGCGGGTAAAAGATGTGATGCAAATTCTTCATCGACTTTGCAAATTTATGGACAATTAAATGATCCAGTTACATAATCATTGCATTTTAAACAATAACCATTGTTGCTAATATAAAATTAACTATCTGCTTGCTCATCGAATATTGGAGTCTCTTCGCCCTCATCGTAAAAACGATCCTGTGATTAATCATAGGTAATCTGAGTTTCACAAAGGTAGCAATACCCGTTGACATTTGTAGCCAAACAATTTTCTTTATATCTTTTGCAGTTATTGTCAGTAGCAGTCAAATAGTATTTATCACTGCAAACATTACATTTTTCCAAATTTCCATCGCAATTTTGACAACCAGACAAACACGGTTTGCAAATTGATTCAGAGAGACCATAGTTGTTTTCACACCTTGCGCATTCCTTTAATTTAGTGCATTCCATACAAAAACTAACCTCACAACTTTGACATTTATTTGAGTCATCCAGATAATAACCAGATGAACAAGTTAGGCATTGCGATTCGTTTAAACATTTTTTACAATTGGATGTACATTACACACAAAGATTACCATAGTAACCATCAATGCATTCTTTACAGATGAGTTGTCTGCTATTATCAACATCGCAAGTGATACAATTTTTGATGTTTTCTGTGCAGTTTTTGCAGACACTCATTTACAAGGAGGTGTCTAAGACTAGATTAAACCCAAAATTGCAGTCTTTGCATTGACCTTATATATTATCAATGGTGTAACAAGAATGTGTATTTAAAACACAAGTATAACTATTGGAATTTTGAAAGAGTAGATATCCAACACTACATTAAGTAGGATGAGTAAGTGATTCGCATCTCCTGAAGTTGTTGCTGCCATTATTACAAGGCTAGCAAGATTTTGAATCCTGTGTTAAATAATATCCATTGTTGCAATCTACACACTAGAAATTCCTACTTCTTTCATTAGTAGAACATTTCATACAATTTGGAATTTACTATTGACAATTCTCGCAATAGGAATCATCAGCAGCTAATAAATAACCTGTTAGACAGGTATAACAAATCTGTGGAAGTTGACTAGGGTTTTGACATGTGAAACAGCCAACTGGACATTTCAGACATATGTCGTTTTCTTGATCAAAATAATAAGTATCAAGACAATCTAAACAAATCAATTACTTTGAATCTAAAACACATGATTTGCATCCCTCCCGATCTTCTTCAGGATTACAAGTCAAACAACTCACACTTTATTCATTAATGGCCAAGTAATAACCATCATCACAAACAGTGCAATAATACTTTGAATCACAAGCTGAGCATCCTTCTGGACATGCTTAACAGCTCTCTTAGAGAAAGTACTTATCTATACATTTTTGACATCTGCCATGAATTGAAATTTGGGTGCATGCATCAACTTTGAGACATACTCCATTTATCATAATATAGCCATTTAGACAGAGTGTGCAGATGTATTACGTCAACTCATCCGATTTACAGCATTTGATGCATCCCTTGGGACAAGGAGTACAAGTTTATGCAGTTGAATCATAGTAGTATTAATTCAAACATGTATCACAACCTTGCGACTTTTAGCATTTACAAGAGGGCTGTTTACATTAAATACATTATTGTCCATTCCAAAAATAACCAGTGAGATAAGTGGCACAACTCTGTGAAATCCTGATGCTTTGATCTTCCTTAGACAATACAATGGTAATTAATAAAAATAACATTAATTAATAATCGAATCGTCTATTTAATCTTTAAAAGCAAATGAAATTTGAATTGTGAATGCACCTCTATTTGTGAATAACATAATAATATCCTTGGATTAATAGAGACACTCGTATAATCAAAATATTAAATATAATTTATGTAAGGATTAATTGATATTGAACCTAAATAATATTTAGACTTCGTTGCCGAGGAAGGTAAATTAGGTTAAACCACCCTCAATGTTTTCAACTTGACTTCTAATTAATTATCATTCAAAGTAAACATACTCACCTATGATCAGATCAAAACTGCTAACCCAATGCAATTCTAAGTGAAACCAAGTATCGGCCTCATACAGCCTAACAATCAAGTCTCCATTGTAATCACGACAGCCCAACCTCTCAAGGCGGATGGCAATTTGATTTCTAAATTTCAAATAAACGCGTGCACACTTCTATAAGAAGAATAGGGTATACCAATTTCTATAAGAAAGATCTTGCTAATTTTTGGAGATCTCTAGATGCATCACTGATACAGTAAGTGCAAGTGAGGAGTCGAATTAAGCCTGCGGAAGTCCAACAAGAAAATATTCCATAACAATTGCAATAAAGTGTGGCATCAGAAAATAATGATGTGATGAATCTATTGTACTAATCAATAGTTGATCCACAATCAAGGCAAAAAGATGAGGAGATATAGAGATATCAAGAGCAGATAGATCAAATGGTATGTACTATTCCCATTACCTTTAGACCAAGGAACTTTCCGATTATTAATTGATACTAAAGAGTGTGAAGTAGCAATAAGCTGCTGTTAAACATCTTGGTATTTATTATGTCATATTCTCGGAATAGGCAACAAATTCGATTTGAAATAAGTGTTGATAACGGGTGTAATATCGATGGTTTTGGGATTCATATTCGGAAATTGATTAATTAAATTTATCAATTAAATGGGAACAATTACTATAGGGAATTGTTAATGTCAATGTTACATCAATTATGTGTCTTGCGATTGCTCTTGTGACCAAAATGAAATCCGTACTATCAGAAGCAATAGATTCACAGAACAATCATCCAGGAATCGTTCCAAGAAAAGATCTCCAGGAGAATCAACAGATCGACAATCTAAGTTTTCATCCACCCAGAAACCAACCAGTAGAAGCAAATCATCCAACTCTGACAAATCCATATATCTGTTATCAGATTATTGCAATATCACAACTGAATCACAAAAACAAAGAAGGAAGTCCAAACCCCATAAATCCTTCATCAAGTCCAGATCGTTATACATTTTTGAAGTTGATTCCAATAAGAACCTCTCCAATAATGTAGAATAGAGTTCGGCTCCTCTTTCCTTGTCCGATATCGGAACTGTTAACAGACCCAAAATGCAGAGCATGGGTACAGAACCTCCTAAAAAATCAACAGAGCAGAAAAAATACGTCAAGTGGAATCTTCCGCAACACTATCTCAGAGAAAATAAACAAAATTAGTAGGAATTTTATTCGTGATTATATCAAACAAATAATCTCAATGCTGGTTACTTCTATAACAACTTCTAAGTCTTATCTTAATCCTAGGATAAAAACACCTTAGGGTTCTCTCGAAGCTATAGTTTACTGTTTGCTGGATTCGTGGAAGTCACGATTCTATCACTAATCGGAGGGAGTTTTAAGGGCTTGTTCATATAGTCATAGGGTTGAGCCTTTATCTCTTGCTATTACACAGGCGATATTTGAACTGAATAGGATTTATTTCTTTAAGGTATTGGAGAGTAGGTCTCTTATTCCTCATAACTCTATTCCATTTGGGATTAGTATAATGCTTTGTTTTTTTGTGCTCTCTGCTCCTCTCTCTATATTCTCAGCTTTTAAGCCACTTCCTGATTGCGGACTGCCTTACTCTGCAAAGAACCAGGAACCGCTCCATCAATGTCATTTGTACAGAGTAACCTATCAACCTCAATTTATCCTCATCACAAACAATTATCATACTTGGGTTGATCGTAATAATTCTCCAATGCTCTATATTATTTGATCTCTCCTTCTGGGATTACGAAGTGTTTCTTATTCGATTTTTCGAAGTACTCTTCTCCTTGAGGAATACAAATGTTGCAGAAATGATGGAAATCATGTTAGTACCTCCTTCTCCCAAATTTGTAATCCTGCCTTGGAACTTGTTGTCTTTCATGACTTTATATTCATTACTAAACTCTGATTTGTTCTTCGTATCTGAATTGATTCGGCAACAACCTATTCATATACGCATTTCTGGATTTTGGTTGCGCCCCTAAAATATCAACTGTCAAAAGTGATCGATCATATTACATTTTATTATATAATTATTCAACTGTAGTAATAATTTAATTATTGTTTTTACACATTAATCAATTTTCAGGTACTATTACATTGATTCCTACAGATAAAGACGACTTCAGCCCTTTGCTATCATTCCTTTGATTTGAAGGTATAAGAAATGCATTCTGCCTCATTAATTGTTTTTTCTTGTAGGCTTTGAATAAGGCTCTTGCTTTGTTCTGTCCAATTGATTAAGGAATTTCATTTTGTTCCTTCTTTTCGTAGTACTTTTCAAAGTATACGTTCGGAAAGGAAACATACCTCATAAGGCTGTCCCTCAAGACCATTTTTCTTTCCTCTTAACTCAAATGTATTAATTTATCATTTTTTGGCGTTTCTTATTTTGACATTATTCTAATTCTTTATTACTCTAAATATAAATCTGTTTTCTTAATTACATGCGATAAATTATTATGCACTTAATATAATTAATATTCCTTTTATATCTCAAATGGCTTTGATAAAACTAGTTCTGAGAATTAAATTAAATCGCATTTCATTCTGAGAAAATACAGATTTTCATACTCAACTTTATTTAGATAATCCTTCAAAGAATTAGTCTTAAAATAATTATCTACAATAAATTTAATGTTTTTATGAAACATATGGTCTGATTCTCTATTATTTTATCTAGAGAATGCTTTTGAATAATTTTGCATTTTCATAACCTTCCTAATTATTTTTTAGAATTTAATCTTAATCACTGTGTTTTTTATTCTAATACTTTACCTAGGATAATTTTTCCGCTATACCTTACTCTAAGGATCTAAATTAAAATATAAATTTACGAAAAATAGAATGATCAAAGGATTTAGCAGGCGAAAAAGTGACTGGATTTTGAATAATTTAATCTACATAACAAACAGATCCACGATCACGATCATTAGTAGTTATCGAATTCTTAGACTATTATACTTATTACTGTGGTGGTTTGATTTCTGAATCTTCCACATATTAAATGCCATAAAATTACACAATTGGCAAGTCTTCTTGATTCTTCATCATAGATGCAATTTCCTGTAGAAACCATTAATCAAATATGGCATTAAATTGATTTCTTATACGACTTCGATTTCTCAAACCTGGAACTCGTGTTTGTTCTGATTAAAATTAATACGATTTGATGACTCTTTCTTTATCAATTACGAAATGAACAATAGGACAATTTTAAATATCATGACCCATGCAATTGCAAGATTTACATTGGGCTTTTGAATCTCTTTGGTGTAGAAGTATTTCATCTTTCATTTAACAAAAGGATTCGTAATCTTGTGGATTATCCTTTAATGTATTAAGAAAATCAGTTCTTGTTAGAACTAGTAGTTTAACAAATGACAAAGATTGCAATTGTAATTAGGGCTATTAACCAGTAAGCATCTCTTCCAATCCGATGAATTACCCTTGAGAATAAGTTATACTTTCAGAGCGATCCGTAATATTAGCACAAATATTTAATGTTCCTTAATCAATAAAACATAAGCAAGGTTCATTATACTCTGGTAATTCACAGGTAATGGTCTATTCTGGAGTTATGAGTACTGTTTTGAACAATTTGATTAATTTTTATTTGGTATCAACAGAAAAGGTTTGTTAAAATAAATCGCACTTCTCAATGATTGAGAAATTAGCCTCGTGTATCAATTTATTCTTTAGATTCTCCGATAAGGAAGTAATTAATTTTTCCTCCTCTTCATTTTCTTATTGCAATTGTTGACTCCAATATATTTTAATGTATTCCCTTATTCTAAGTATACTATTTTATTTAATTACTAATATTGCAATTCAAAGCTGATTTTCTTTCTATTCATGAATTTATTAATGATCCGAATCTTTTCAGTCGTATTTTCAGTTGACAAACTAATCGAATTTAATATCTCTCCCACTGTATTAACACTGAACGACAATTACACACAGGTAGTGAACATAAAAATGATTGTACAAATCTTCTCCAAGGCATCTAAAATACTTTTGTTTATTACTTAAAGGCACTATGTCTCCGTATCCCACACTAATCATTGTTACTGTCGAAAAATAGAAAGCCTCTAAATATTGTGTTTCATAAGGGGCTTCCGATAGATGACGATTGTCCAACCAATTAACCATTCCTATTTCATTGGCATACGAACCTATATAATACCACAGACAACTAAAAATATGTAGAAAATAAAGAATTGTGAAAATTAATTTGGCTAGATTGACAATTGATGATTGAGTTTTGCTTAAATGAATGGATTCCTCCATATTCCGAACTACATTAGCAAAGTAATGATATTAAGTGATGAAGAGTATTAGTGAAAGGTTGAGCCAGCGATTTCGAATGAAGTAGTCATTAAAAAAGGCACACAATAAAACTATTAATGAAATACCATCGATTAATAAGCCTTATTTTAAATAATTATTGAAAATTAATGATCTATCTATGATAGGTTATCCGTATTCATAGTAGACTGTGTTCATTTTCATTAGGTAATCGATAATGAGAAATAAATAAAATGGAACAGTTAACCAAATAGATTAGAAATACATAATCGAATTATTGAAAGCCAATTCTAATGGAATCATTATAAAAAAGTAAATTAATACTATACACAAGCAGAGATCCCAAATAATTTTGGATACTGATTGAGGATAAATTATAGGTAGCATTTTCAATAGACCAGTCAAAGGATTATAGCATGAGATTGATTTTTAATGACTCTTTCTACTTCGATCCTTCTTTTTAATCTACCCCAATTTCTCTAATTCCCCACTTGCCTTATCTCCAACAATTTAAAAATGGATGCTTTTAAAGAATAATTTATGTCTTCTACTTACTGATAGTTTGGTGAGGAATCTTTTTACGAAATAATAAACTCTAATTGTAAATTTTCTATTTTCTATTTTCTTAACTTCTGATTCCTTGGTTTACATCTCTTGATGAGGTAAGAACTCATGAAACTCTTGAATTTAAGTCAAAATGTTTTAACTCAAACTTTCAGGCAGACTATGTCTCTGAGGTTGAGAATCACAAAAATCATGTTTAATTTCCACAAATTCTACACTTTCCTCCAAATTCGGTTCCTTATAGTCATCCATATTTTCCTCGGTGGATAATATTAATTGAGGTCTTTCCTGCATTATATTATGTTTGTAAAATTATATATAAAATTTATATTTTTTAACGAATGCAAAAAAGAGACAAATCTCCAATCATCCATGTTAACCTTATGAAGGAAAACATTCATAGCAAACCAAATTCCCTTAATAAAAGTGGCATTTCTAGCAAGGCTAATCTCAACTTGGTCAAAGTACTGGCTACTAGAAGATCTGATATGAACTCACTTTGGGAACCTCCTGAAGATTCTAAATAACACTCAAATAGATTCGATAATTATTTTCAGAGACATTCCACTAAGAGATCTAATGCTTAAACATCTAGAGAAAGGGAAAGAGATTTTTCAGATTCGCCTAAATAATCTCCTTCACATTATTAATGTGCTAAGCATTTCAACAAAGCATAATAAAGAAAGAGAACTGCATAGTTCATTTGTTGTTTCCCTAAATGTGATACTCACTTATTATGTAAAGAATGTAAATATAAAATATTCCAATGTAAACATGATTAAATTGTTAAATTGGCTGAATTTATTGAATAACCAATCTTAATATTTCTAAAAGCAGATAATTCAAAAAATGAACTCATTGGAAACCTAATACTATAATAAATGCAATTATTCCATGTAATGAAATATTCTTTTATTTAGAAAGTCAAATATCAAGCAGAATAATCTAAGTAATAGTTATCGGAATTCTTAGAGAATATATAGGATCAGCTTAAAATGAAATGCCAAGTTATATAGGCTGAATTCAATGAGAAAGTTGATGTAATTTATAATTTAATTATCTCGAAGTTTCAATTAAAATAAATCAGAAGCGACATTGATTAACTAGTTTAAACCAGTTTAGTCTACAAAGATGATTTCGAAAACAGACTGAATGAAAAAGATGATTTTATAGAATCAGTAAAACTATTCAAATAATAAAGTGAAGATCCCTATGATTAGGTAATGAATTAAGTAAATCAATTACAACAAAATCTAAATAAAATTCCTTAATTGAATTCCACTGTTTTAGAATTGAAAACCGATATCACAATCAAAGAGTTTAGTTATAATAAATTGATAACTTGATTGACTTATATAAATATAAACATAATTAATCAAAATTTTATATCTTCCTCATTATATGCTTCCTCCTCTATATCTTCATAAGCCTTTTATCTGAGTTCTTATTTATGCTATAAATTATATAACATTAATTATTTACTTTAATATAAGCTTAATTGAAATCATCTTCAATTTAGGCAGGCTATTCTTCATCCTAGTTATGTTCAACAATCTGTTTTTCAGCGAGAGTTCCTTAAATTATAGTAACATCATTCTATTATTCTTCATAAATAGTATGTTATTGTTTTCTATAATCTTTATCTTGCTTTGGTTTCTGAGTCAACTTATTAAATTGTATCTTTGAACAGATAGCCTCTAATTTATTAATTGATTTTGTTCGCTCTTCCAAAAGATAATACAATTTAGAGAAATCTCCAACTCCTCTCTTCACTATTGCTTTAATCCAATCCAAATACTTCTTTGTTTATTCAGGATAACTTATCAATTTATCTACAATGAAATGCTACAACTCTTGTAATTGTTCAAGCTGCAAACTATTCACAGATTCGGAAATACCACTTTGAAGAGTTCTCTCTAAAGCATATTCTAAATAAGCCTTATCCTTTGCAATTAATGATTATTTAAGCACATTAATCAAATTTTATTCACTTGTAACCTTTTTTGGCTCATTTTTATCTTCCATCACGATAGAGGCTTGATTATTAAAGTAAGCAAAATCATAAAAAGCAATTGGAATAGGATTTTATTGTTACTTATTTTGCTATTATTCCAGTTATTTTGATTATTGCAATTCATTGAATCTTAATAATTATTCTTATTAGTATAAGGATTTGAACTTTTAGCACTCAATATTGTTTATCTATTTTAATTTAGGATTGCTTATATTATCATATACAATTAATAATCTTTCTCCTTATAAAACAGATTATAAATTATTTATTTTCACTTCATATTATTTATTCAATTCTTTTTCAAAAACATACCCTGATATGCTATCTTGATTCCAAAAAAGAACTGTTGTTTTCTTAGCCATATAAAATAGTTCATAATTTTCATAGATTCCAATTTCAATAGTTAATATTGCTTCTGAACTCTCTCCTAATTTGAATATCTTCAGCAAACCTTCCTTGCCTAGGACAGAGAAATAGTCCCTTGATAAGTTATTTGTCTTGACTATCAAAGGTCCCTATTGATTGATTTTATACTTCGTTTCTATCACCTATATTATAACAATCTTTTACATCATTTTCTAAGTTGATTAATGCAATCTTTTAGCCGAACTGAACCAAGACATGAGAACTCAAAAGAAACAAGGCACCCTCCTTAATATGATTTGACAATTATCTAGAGTATAAGCATTAAAAAGTTTTGATATTGGTTTGTTTTAGTAAACCATCTGAACCCAAAGATAATAGCATTCCGTCTTTAACTATTCCATTTAAAAATTAACTAGAGTGCACTTAAAATGATTCATTCTTGTAATAAAATTTTCCTTATTTGTCTCCCACAAGTAATTCATTTTCAAAGTAATCAATAAATGAAATTTCAGCATCTCTGAAGTTGATTTGCTTCTGTTTAAAATTCTCCAAATCAATTATATTGATCAATGTTCTAAAACTTTAAATTAGTAAGAATTTCTAGCAAGATGACAGTTTAATGATTTCTTTTTCAATTTCCATTAATTAATTTATGATAAAATAAAATAATCAACTTTTTAATGCAAAACCTTTATCCTTCATGCATTAAGTGTGCTAGGCTATCTCATTGATGCAGTTGTTTTCGCCATTTTTAAAGATGCATCGATCCCTTTGAACTCTAGTCTAATCACAGATAGAAGGTTGTTTTGAGTTTGATGAGCCCATATTATTTTTATTATTTATATTAATTATTTAATTTATGTATACACTTTAAATAACGGATTGTAGATTTATTGATGATGTGGATCAAATAAGCAAATTTGACGATGCTCGAAATTATTGTTTGAAAAGAAGAAGTGAAGTTGATACCGTTAGTACGAATCTAAATATTCAAATCAAAAATTATATTGATGGAGAAGTATTCATCTTGCTTTAACTTAGGATTAATATTTGAGAGAGGTCTAGGTAAAGGGAGAATAATTGAATTCATCCGTTATGGAAGGGATAAAAATATTGGAAGTAAAAATTTGAGTTATGTTTAGCAATTAAAAGTGCCAACCCACATAGATTTAGAATTGAATTCAGCTTAGAAAGAATTTAAAAACATAGAATTAAAATTGAAATAAACTGAGGAATAAAAGAAATGGGCTGAGCAAGAGACTATAAAATAAAAAGCAAAATTAATCAAATTAATTGAAGAAATTTAGCTTTCAATATTAAGTAATATTAGTGATATCAAAAGATAAACTCGATGTTCCTGAACCAGATAATAAGACTGGGGTCATTTTTAATTGGGTGATAGGATGCTTATTAAAGAAGAAAAAAGGACCAATATAACTTGCAGAAGAACTTAAGTTAAAAGTTGAAAAAATTCAATTATAGCCTGAATCAATTATAAATTAGCCAGCCCCACCTTAGAGTACAGGAATATTTGCTTGCGGGGGTAGAAAACCTCTTTCGGGTTCAAGACCAATAAAGAGAGTGGCCTTATCAGAAGAGGAATCAAAGATGTATGAAAATTTATTTGCTTGGAAAGCGATTAAACAGCACATCTTCCATTAAGATTTCAAATTTTAAGAGAAAGTGCAGTAATTCACCTAAGAATATGATAAATTAGAATCTTTTTAAATTATGTTGGTAGATGAATTGGTCTCGGAGAAAAAGGAAGTAATAAAAGGAATATACGATATTGATATCAAAGATCAAGCAAGAATTATTATTGAGATAAATGAGATAGTTTTATTTTTATTGAAGGAGAACTAGAATCTGAAAGAATAATAAGAGAAAGAGAAAGAATTTGAATAATTGGATTAAGGAATCAGATAGAAGGAAGTCGAGATAGAAATCATGTAGAAAGAAAAATCGTATCTTGCTGCAAAAGAAAAAAGAATATCTAGTTTGAAAAGTACAATGTCATTGCTTTTTACTACAAGTTAAAAAGTTGCAGATTTCTGTAAAGAAAAAATGGTCTCAAATGATTAAATTATTGCTTAAATTGAAGTAATAAAATCTCAAGGATTATCAAAAGAATTGAAAGTGTTTTAGGATGTTGAGGATATATATAGAAGAAAAAGATAATAGTATGAAGAATAAGTGCTGAGTCAGTAGTAGAAGGAAGAGGAAAGAAGAGCGCAGGAAGAAGCTGAAAGAAAAGAAAAGGAAGAAGAAGATCACAAACAAAAAGCGAATCCAGATTCAAATGATTTAGATAGGTCAAATTAATAAAATCAAGAAGTAACATCATTTATATTTTAAGGAAGATGACATTTAAGCGCAAAAAGATGAAGTTGAGGATTCTGATTATGTAGACTCTGATGAGAGTGATCAAGATGGAGAAAAGTAAGATTGGATTGTAATTAAAATACCATAATATTTAGGTCCTTGCTGATGATCCTTAAACTAAGCACATTTAAAAGACTTTGTTTCCTGATAAAGTAAAAACAGCAGAAAATAAAAATCTTGTTAAATAAAAAAATTAAGGGGAATCTTTAAAAACCTTAATGTAAAAAAGAAAGAAGAATTGAATATTTATATAAACAAAAATTTACATTTCAAGAATATAAAAGTGACGTAATAATGGAATTTTTTAATTACATTATTAATTATTTATGAAGAGATATACTAATAAAGAAGATTCAGCAGAGGATTTAACTACTTACTGGGGTAGACTCAAGCATTTTCAAAATATTATTAGTCCTGCGTAATGACTTAGTTTTATCATAGCAATATTTTTTATTCTCCTGAACAATTGAGTGAATATGGAAGGATTTTAGAAAACGTTGACAAAGATCCTTCAATCAGGACTAAATACACAGATCAATAACTATGGAAAATGAGATATGTTTTGGATTCAAACATTCACCCTTAATTGAAGGAACCTGTAAACATTCTCTTCAGAACTTCAACATTTGTTCCTGTAAATGTTCCTTTAGCATTTGGATTAGCTGTATTACCACCAACAGTAATTCTTATTTTCATTCATAGCCTATCAATCAATTACTTGCTCAATCCGCTAATCAAACTTATAACTTTATGTTTAATTATTGTAATAGAAATGCATCTAATGTGTTTTCTAATGAAATGTTAGCATGTAAAATCTAATTGTATCATTAGTCTCCTATGGTGGAGCAGTATCATCAGCAGTAGTTGGAAGTTTGGGAACATCATGGCTCTTCAAGAAATTAAATGCACCTGCACTTCTCATTAGAGTAATTATATCTCTCATTTCATTTAAAGGCCTGTCCCTTATTTGGTGTGCTGATTGCAAACACATTCAATCTTTTTTTTGCAAGATATCCTGATTTTTAAAAGGGAATTCAAGTTTTTGATGATGAAACCTAAGAACCATTACCAGGATTATCTAAAGAGGCTGGTAAATAACATCAATTACTAATTTTTAAGCAAAAATTGCATTCTTTAAAACACTTGTTACTAGATATATATTGCCATTGCCCATGTTTATTCCACCCATTGTCATTTATTATATGAAATAAGCAAAATGTTATCCTCAAGGGAGAGCAATAGGTTTAGCACTCGACTTAAGTATTTTCATTATAGCAACTAGGTTTGTCCGGATTTTTCTTATATTGTGGTCTTTCTGTTGGAATAGGAATATTCCCATAATATTTAAAGGTTAATCCAAGTGATCTAGAATCATAATATTAAAATTTAACAAATAGCAAAGGAAATAAGATTAAAACTATCGTTTTTAATAAAGGATTGTGAAAATTGTATAAATTTAGATAAGAAATTCAATATTAAAATTTTCTAATAAAATAAATAGAATACCTAAAGTTCTGATTAATTGTCCTCTCAATATAAGGTTTGTGTATTTTACCTTTTATTAAAGAAATTCATCTATTTCAAAAATCTTTGAATAAATTGAGAGTATATTTCTACTCTTAATTAATGTATTTTTATCTTAATTGAATTATCATTTCAACTAACATAATTGATAAGATAATTATGAAGATATAAAAATAAAGAATATATATTTTGATATGCTTAAATTAAATAAAATAATTAAACAGATTTAGAACAATAAAAATATGAAATTTTCAAAATCTTTAGAATGATTTATCCTAGAACTACTAAGTTTTGATACTTAATAATGTTTAAGAAACTAACATCTTTTTGTCTCTGATATCTTTCCTAATCTTTTGACTAACTTTCATTTCTTCCTGAGTCTAAAATTCCTAAAAAGCCTCCCTATATTCTGGATATAACCTTAATATAAAATCATAAGCTTCTTAGTCCTAAATATCAACTGTGTATAAGGCTGAAGACAATAAAGTTTCAAAACAGTTTTTCATCTAAATTAGAGTTATTTTAATATCTTCCTAAATTTCAATCAAAGATTTTTATAGATTAGCAAGAATTTGGTTAAACTTTTCATGTTGAGATTTAGCATTTTCATTTTCTTTTTAAAGAGATTGATTTATTCTTTTTATTTATTCTGTTGTAAAACTCCATCTATATTTTTCATTGATATGTTTATCTAATAAACAATTACAAGATTAACAGATAATTTCATTTTTTTTTTTGATCATTTAAATGCAATTTGATAAGTGCTCATTTTTAACGGCACAAATTTCACAACATGTTTTATTGCATTTTAAACAATTTGTAAAGAACATTCCTTCTTAAGGGTGAAATTCTCGCTTACATTCTGTTATGTATTCATAAAATTCAAAGTTTGATGACTCTTCAATTCTACTTTAATATATTTAAATTTTCCTAATATTATCATTTATTCTATTTTTATTTGTTATCAAATTCTTTAATTTCAAATGAATTTAATCTCTTTCTTGCTTCAATATCTTTCTTTAGGCAATAACTTCAACACTATTTTATAGATCAAATCCCATGCTATTTTTAACTCTTTATGTTATGGATAAATAATTTTCTACATTTTTTTTAATTTGAATTTTTTCAATAAATCCTAGTTTTTTCACTAGAAAAACAGAATTTTGAAATTAATAATATTATTAGTAGGTACTCTCCTATTATTAATTGAGTTAAACTTAAGTTTTAAAAGTTAGGTCATCAAGTTATTTAGATTATTAATGCTCTTACTGTTAATTTTCATGAATAAATTACAATTATTGCTCAGTTAATGAATAGAAAATAGAGTTGGGACTCTCAAAATTTAAAGTATTAGCTGCTGTGAAATCTGAAAATGAAAGACAATGTTGTGCATATCTACTCATTTATTTTCCAAACAATTTTAAAATACTCAACATAGAAGTTTACAAAAGTGTTAGCTTATTATCAATAATTTCATATTGAGTTGATGATTATGAAATTATTAATACAGAATGAAGATTTTAATTATTTTCAAAGAGATTCTACTCAAGGAATTTTCCAATATCATCTACTATCTTTTGATCTTTTTCTAAGCCTTCAGTATCACCTAGGCCTGGTGTATCAATTAAATTGAATATATAGTCCTCAAATATAATTTAATAGGATTGAACATTTTAAGTGTGAGATTTTACATCTTTGCTATTAGGCTTATCAATATAAAATCTTGAATGAAAATTTTCATAACTCTTATGGGTGTTGAATCCTTTTAGATAAGTAATAAAACTATTGATAAAAGTAGTTTTCCCTTATCCAGTTATTCCAACAATTAATATATTTCTTATATGATAGTCCTTGTCCTCAATTCTTACCATGTCATTTTAGATTTTGTTAGTCTTTAAATACTCTGAAATATAATCCTAAGTGATCAGTTTTTATTCTTCAAACTTTGCCTCATATTCTTTTTATTTCTTCAAAAAATAATTAGTGAGTATTAAATGTTCAGCTTCATTACAACGTCTTCCAACCTTGCTTTCTTTGTCTAACCCATAGGCAGAGATAAGATCTTCCATTGAAGTTATTTTAAATTATTTCAAACAAGATTACCATCTATCCCTTCTCTTTTTATCATTTATAAAATTCAAAAATTCTGCTTCTAACTCTTAAATTCCACTCAAATTAACTGTTAACATTTAGTTTGTGACATAAATGTCTTCGCTTACGTTTTATTGCCCTTGCTAGTTTCCCATTTTAATAGTTTATGTTATTAATAATTAATACGTATTTACTATTAAATAAGAAATTATCTATAACTAGAGAGAGACTGAAAATATCATACACAAGAAAGCAAAGGTTTATCAATTTGATACGATAATTTCAAAGAATTTGATGGAATATTTGGATTAGAGAACAAAATCAGGAAAAGAATTGAAGATTCCTATTTAAAGTAACTGAATTGATCATTTCATAGATAATAATCAAATAAACCTTTATTCATTTAATTAAAATATCTTGATAAGATAAAAACTTATTTTGCAGAATAAATTTTCAATTTCACAAATAAAGGTTTCAATTAACTGAGAGTATTAGGATATATTTTACTTAATAATTACTTTTATAAATATGTCAAAGAGTATTAATTCAATTTTCAATAACTGTGTCCTTAATTTAGATATCTTTATAAATTTTGATACAAAGGGGAAAATTAAAATTTGTTCAATTTGCTTTCAAGTTTTTTAAGTATATTTAAAAGAGAATTGATTATTCTAGAATATATTAAAAGAGATTTCTGGATTTAAACTTGAAATTCAAAACTCCTGCCTTATTATAATTTCTGTAAGGGAGGATAGAATAATTGGGTTTAGTAAAAATATGGTAATGAGTTGATTATAATGTATTCCTCTTCCTTATAAATGTGTATTACATTTAAGTAAATAATATAACAAGTCATATTTACTGAAATTTTAATATATTTTAAGCTATCATTAATAACTATTATTCTTAAGTATTTAAAATGAAATATATCTTAATGATTGTCCTATTGATTTCCACAATCACAACAAGATCAATCCACAAGAATGTAGATGATCAAATGACTAGCTGCATAGCAAAACTTTGCAGAAATTAAACAGGAGCTTGTGCAAGAATAAAGGGATGTGCCGATAACCTTAAGAGTTGCTCAAATGAACTTGAAAAAGATGAAGATATTGAGAAAGTCAATAAAAAATTTTAATATTTAGTTTGACTTATGCTTAGATAAAGTACCATAATCTTATTCATTGATGGATTGCATATCATCAAACTGCATCAATATTGAAAGTAATACGGTTGAATAGCATTAAAGAAGTTGAATTGATCATTTCATCACATTCCAATCCTCAAACATATAGATTATATTATTATACAAAATGCTTTCTTCTTTTTTTAAGTAATCCAAGGACTAAATAATAATTTTAATGCTACAGATAAAAAAGAGTAAATAGATTTTGCATGAGTGTAATTGTGAGGTGAGGAGATGTTGGTGTGAGGTAAAGGATAATACGGAGAATAAATAAATATAAATGAAATGAAAATTATATGATAAAATCCAAGATTTAGTGTGCAATAATTTTTATATTTTAATGGACACCAATACAATTCAAAGTGTTTACATCCCTGATCCTGAAGAAAGTATCTTTTATCAATCTATCTTTAGAAATTGTGTACAAGAATGTTCGCAAGCCTAATTTACCTGCTACGGCTGATATTGCATACTGTGAAATTAGAATTGCAGAGCTAATGGCTGAAGTCGAAGCTTAAAAGGAGCATTCTTTCAAAATCCAGTAATAATTGGATCTCTATGTTACATACGAATAATCAGTATATATCCATTTTTGATTTAAGCTCATATAATATGAATCCAAGAACACTATATTGTCTGAGGAAAACAAACAATTAAGTTGCTTGCTGTAAGTGAAATCCAGGGATTTGGAACAAGCCTAATTAAAAATCTTAGAATTGGAATAATAAATAGATTCACTGAGGGAGGTGGACCAAGAATTACATAGGAATATCTAGCTATTGCTGTTCAAGGATAGAGAGATATAAGAAGTATTAAATAATCCGATTAATATAGTTAAATAACAAATACAACTCATTAGAATAGTTCTTGTAATAAAATAAGAATTGGGAGTTAATTAACCAAGACTTAAAGAATTAAATAATCAATTGGAAACATGATGTTGAACTTTGGAAGGAGAGATTCACAAAATCAGAAAATGAGAGAAAACGACTATTAGAATTACGAGAAGAAGGACTTAAGAAATATGATCTTTTAGAGAATGTAGACACTCAGCCACAATCTCCACAAGTAGAATTGAATGAATAGTAGACAGAAAAGCAAAAGGTTGAGAAGAATCCAGAAAATCACTCTTAATTACTCTAATAAACATAAGTTAATTTATTTGAAAAGGAACATTAAAATACTTTATTAAACAATGAATTAAATGGTTTGAGACAATAACAATAGGAATTTTAAAAACGATTAAGTGAATTGACAAATTAGTTAGGAAAATTGGATGAGAAGGACAAGGAAATAGTCAGATTAAATGGATTGTTATAAGAGAAACCAAAGTTATAAATTGTGAAGGAGGAGAAGATTGTTATAGTTGAAAACAGTGCATTAGATGAAGAGAAAATAAGATTATAAGGATTATTGGATGAATCCAACATTCGTTTGGAGCACTCTTTCAATGAGATTGAACAATTGAATAGTAAAATATAGACGTTGGAGGATGTGAATCAAAAAGTATTAAAATGTCATATTATAATAGTTACAAAGAGATAATAGGCAAATTCAAAGATTATAGGAACAAATAGATTTATTAGTTATTGATAAATAGAACTTGCAGACTTCTAATGGATAAAAGGATAAGGTCTTAAATGAAACACTTGCTCTTTTAAGATAAAAAACACTCGAAATTTAAGAGTTGCAGGCAGTTAGATAAGAATTAACTATAGCAAATGAAAGAGTGCATACATTAATAAAAGATTTAGAATAATGTAGAAGACAATTAGGAGAATTAGAATAATTAACACAATTAGTCAAAAAGTAAGAACATATTTGTTAAGAGAAAGAAAAATTGGTTAAAGAGTAAGCCTTACAAATACAATAATTAAAATAAAATAGAAACGAATTATAGAATGAGTTGAATGATAGCAAGATTAGAATTAATTTATTATCAAAGTATGAGGCAAGAGTGAAATCATAATAAAGCACAATACAATCACTTAGATAAGAACTTTAAGAGACATTGGGTGGATCTGAACAATGGAGAGAAAAATATAACTAGAATTGTTCTGAAATTAGTAGATTATAGAGATTGTTAGATGTTTCATAATAAAGAATTATTAAACTTTAAGAGGAATTGAAAAACTTCAACAATAACTTTGAATTGGGGTAGATTAAGATTGAGGGAGCACCTGTCATTAAGAGAATTGAAAAAGTTGTCATATAAGACAATAAATAGATTGAGAAATTATAAAATTAATTGATATCCTAGGAATTAAACAATGAGTCATTATTAAGAAATAGAAAGTTTGAAATATAAACCACTTAAAGAGAGCTAGATGCCTTAAATTAACTATTATAATAGAAACGATAAGAATCTGAGTTATGGAAAAACAAATATCTAACTTCAGAATAATAAAACACTTAATTGCAAAATATTAATGACAAATACAAATAGTTAGTCTTGAGATGTGAAGGACAAAAAGCAACTATATAATAATTAGAAAACAAGAGTTTAGAACAAGGATAGGAAATTGAATAATAAAGATCCAAGATCTTTTCCTTGACTCTTGAAGTTCATCAAATCGAAGGCTACAAGATTGAAAAGGAATAACAAAAGGAAAAGGCTCTTCAACTATATTAGGAGCTCATTCTTTCATAATCAAGAGTTGCCCGATTAATTGGAGCATTTAATGAATTAAATAGACAAAAGAGCATTAAGTCGGATAATCCATAGGCAAAATTTGTATAATAAAAGTCAGATACTGTGGAAAAGATGAGATAGAAGATTGTTGAACTTGAAATGGAAATAGATGATACTAAGGATGACTAGATTAGTGAATTGGAATAAAGAATACAGATTTTGGAATCTGAATTGAAGAAATAACTGGATATCAATGGGTAGTTAGTTAAGGATCTCTAAAATGTGGATAGAAAGAAACAAGATATTCTTAGTGAATTATAGGCTTTGTAGACAAGTGAGTCAGATACAAATTAATTAAGAATAGCTTTCAATAAGAAGGTTAAGGAATGTGAGTAACTTAAAACAGATTTAGATAAGATTCAAATTGTGATATAGTCTTATGAATAATAGATAGAGAAATCAAGAGAATAAGATGCCAATTAGAAGAACGAATTATAAAGATTGAAGATATTTAATAATAATCTTAACAAACAGATAGCATCTCTTTTATTGCATTTGAATTCTTTAGAATTGACTATCAATACTCAAAGACACAAGCTGGATTCATATCCTGAATTTGAGGAAAGGATAAACGATTAGATCGGTAAGATTAATTCCTTGGAGAAAGATAATAATGAATTAAAGTTATAGAACGATATTCTTAATGCTTAAATTAGTTAATTAGAATAAAATATTATCAAATTGTAACCATTAGAATAATAAGTGACACTTCTCAGAGAAATAATAAATAATGATAATAGAGAGATCAGCTTATGGTAGACAAGATTTTAAGATCTGGAAAATGAACGTTCTTAATAAAATGAAGATTATAGAAAGAAGATAGATTAATTCAAAATCGAATTAAAAGATTAATAAAATTTGGAGATGATTATTAAACAATAATAAAATGATATTGAGGATCTTACTCAAAATAATTAAAAGTTGGTTGCAAACATAAGGGAATTACAAACACAATAGGATAAATTATTAAGAGATTTAGATAATAAGGATATTGATATAAAGAGATTACAATAAATTGAATAGGAATTCAGAAAGTTATAGGAACTATTCTATTAAGAAATCGAAAAATACTAGGATTTAAGTGATAAGCATTAGTAGTTATAGAATCAGTATGATTAGACAAGGAGAGAATAAGAGAAATTGGAGAATAAATGTGCTATGATGTCTAGTGAAATTGAAAGATTGAAGGTCATGCTTAAGAATAAAAATTAAGAATTAGAATTGAACAAATAACAAATTCATTAAAATGAACAATTGATTGATTAATTACAACCATTAACAGTCGAAAATAAACGATTGTTTGAATAAATTTAAAAGTAGATTCAATAAATTGATGAGTTGAAATAACAAATAATCTAGTTATAAAGATAATTGGAAGATAAGAAGAAACAATTGAATTAAGAATAAATTAATTAAGAATAATAATAAGAAGAAATTAATAGATTATTGAATGTTTTAAGAAGTAAAGAGGATGATATCCATTAATATAGATAAGTCACAAAGTAATATGAGATTCAATTGAAGGATAACAAGAAGGAGGATGATCAATGGAATGATTTGTAAAATGAATTGAATAAATTGACCTAACATGTGAATTATTTGAATGAGGTTATTGGTTAGAAAAATATAGAATTGGAGAACATGCAAAAACAGAACACTCAATATTAATTATAATTATTAGAGAATGAGAAGTTAGATTACAAGATATTAGAGAAGACAGTTGAAGCAAGAGAAAAAGAAGTTGAAGATTGGAGAAGAAGATTCCAAAAACTAACCTAAGACTAAGAAAAATTGTATAATGAAAAATTAGAATCAAACAATAAATTAGCAGGTTAAGAGTTGGAAATAGAAAGATGGAAAAGAAAGGTGACATCAAATGAAAGTGAATTGAACTTACTTAGAAATATTATAAGTTAATTAAATGTTGAAATAGAACGTTTAAGTAAGAGCAGCGAAGATCTATTGCAAGTAATTATTATACTATTTCTAGGATAATGAAGGATGGAGAGAAAAGTATTCAAAACTTTAGCAATAAATCCCATCTATGTTAGAGTTGATACCACCAATTACTCCTGGAAACAGTTTTAGAATATCCGAGAAGCCATAATAATGAGTATGATGAGTTATTTTAATAAATACGTATAAGAAATGTTTTGTTACTTTTTTTGAATTCATAAAAATTGATAAGCAAATCTTATAGACGTATATAAGAGTTCTTTAATGTTATTAATATATATTTAACTATGATAAAGAAATAACTCTTTTGAATACATTATCGTGAACATTTATTAATTAAAGATGTTTATTGAGTTATGGGAAATAACTACTAAAATAATTATAAATTATTAAAGATGCTGCAATTATTTGAGTTCTTCACATTTCATAAGAAATTTAATTATATAAACTTCATAATTAATTTATGAAATCGCTTAATTCGTATTTTGGACGATTTTTTTAAACCAAATATTTCAAAACAATTGAGTTAGCAAAGAATAATCTAAACCTTAATATTTTAGATATATAATTTATTATTTTTTCAGTCAAGGTAGAAGAAAAGAGATACTAAAGAAAATATTAAAATAAGAGTCTTATAAGTTCTGAAGATTTTCCAGATTTATATCCTAATCAATCATGAATTTCAATATTATACCAATGTGTATATTAAATTTGCATATCTGTCATTAAGTAATTGAGGTTTTCACTAAATTTTGGATATTCATAACTTTATAACTGTGATGATATTCATATGGTATTAAAGATATAATGAATAGCATAAAATATGTTTGTTTATAATTTGATATATATAATATAAAATGGATTATGATAACATGGACTTTACGAATTATTCAAATGAATAGATTGGAGAAATGATAAAAACATAAGGATTGGAGAATATAACATATGAGGAGCTGATAGCGAAGAAGAATAAGAGAATAAAAGAATTTTATGAGTAAGATTCGAAACTGGTAAAGCTTTGATTACTAAGGTGAAGTAAGAGGCAATGTTGAGACACTGGCTATTGAAGAGAAAGAATAAGCATTTGATTGACTTTAATGACAAAGAGCGTTCTCAATTAAAACAATACTTCAACTCTTTGGATGAGGACGGATCAAGTATAAAGTTGCAATTAAAATGATTAGAGTCGATTGGCATAGATGAATTGGAGGAACCGTTGATCTCGTTGGGCATAGCCGAATCACGAGAGGATGTTAAGAAGCTCATTTACACAGTTGATGATGATGGTTCTATTGAATTTAAAGAATTCTTGGAAATTATTAAAAATAAAAACGGAGATGGCAAAAGCAATTCAAAGGAGACAATGGTGATTGACTTTTTTAAAGGTAAGAGAGTCTATTAATATTGAGACATGATAAATGGGCGTTTAGGACACGGGAGCAATTAACCAATTAATAAGAATCTGCCTTTTAGTTTGATCATAAGTACAATAAGGAGATAGAAGTTGTTGGATGCTTTGATGGCGAATGATCCAAAGAAGAAGGAGGAAGGAGAGAAGGTGATGAAGGCTTATGGAAAACTTATATCGTAGAGGAGGGCTTAAAAAAATGATGGCTCAATTTAGGGTTCAAAAAAGAGAATTTGATTTTATAGTATTGAACCTTTTTTGTATTATTTCTTAATTCTTATTATCATTTTATGTTGAGGTGCGTACAAATAATAATAATAATAAAAAACACACTAAAATGTCAGAAGAAATACAATAGTCGAATTCAGGATAATAGTTGATAACCCATTATTTTAACCAAAATCCTGAAAATTCACAGGATAGACAAAGAATAAGCAGGAAGAGAAAGATGGATTCAGAGTTACCGAAGAAAAAGATGTCTCTCAAATTAAAAAGTGATGATGAATCATCCAATGATAACATTTAATTACAATTAACTAATCCACCAAATTGTTAAACGATCTACAAATACTTGAAATCAAACAAAGATGTCAGCAATGAAGCGGGCAATTAGAGTAAAGCATTGTAGTTAAAAAACACAGAAGAAGGTAAGCAAAAAGCTTAAGGGAATGATAAAAGTTCATTTGTTAAGCCAAAGGACAGTAAAGTTATTTTGTAATCAGTTTAAAAACAGAATGATGATGAAGCCAACAAATTGTAATAAAAATTGATGGAGAAAGAATAAGTGGAAAAGCAATTAAGATAGGAGAAACAGCAACTAGAAAACGAGCGTTAAGAGTTAATTCAATAGCACAATGCTTTTAAGAAGAGAACATAAGTAGTGTTTGCAGAGGCCTTAAAATAAGTAGAGGAATTAAAGCGGGAAAAAATGAGGGAATATCTCGAGAGGGAACGTTATAGATTGGGTGAGTTTGTTAGTTCTAGAAATAATGTGAGGTTTGTAGAGGAATGGTAAGATGGTTATGAAATTAAATAAGTTAAATAAAATTTATAAAAATTAGAAAATGAAAGAAATGAATTAGAAAAATAAAAAAATGAAATTAAAGACAAATCCTTATCAAAGATACAAAAAGATAAATAAACTAAACTACTCTTTGATTTAGACCTATAGAATGGAGATTTAGATAACAATCAAAGGAAACTCAGAATCTAGTTCCAATTGAGCATTCTCAAGAAAGAAGAAGAAGAACTGAGATTGAAACTATAAAAACTAGAAGAAGAGAAGCAATAATTGGCATACAAAACAAGGAGATTCATGGAAGAACAGGGGTAAACACTCTACACTATATTTAGTTGTCGATATTATAGGGCAGAACCAAAATGGCCATTGATTGCTTAGAGATACTAAACTTTAGGGTTGTTGGGCAAAGGAGGATTCTCTGAAGTTTACAAATCATTTGATTTACAAGAATTTAGAGTTTGTGCTTGTAAAATTCATTATTTAAATCCATAATGGAATGAAAATGCAAAAAATAATTACATCAAACATGCACTCAGGGAGAATGATATTCACAAGAGATTGAAACATATTAATATAGTATCCTTATATGACACTTAAGAGATCGATTAAGATTCCTTTTGGTATTGAAATCATAATTATAACAAATAGTACAGTATTGGAATTTTGTGATGGAACAGATTTAAATTAGCATTTGAAGAAGTATAAAATCTTAGCAGAAAAGGAAGCAAAGCTCATTATTCGTCAAGTGTTGGCAGCATTACATTACATGAGTTGCAGTCCTACTAAAATCATCCATTATGATTTGAAACCGCAAAATATTTTATTTCATAAGGGTGAAGTCAAGATTACTGATTTTGGGTTGTGTAAGGTTTTAGACTACGATACCACTAGACAGGAATTAACTTCCCAAGGATTAGGAACGTATTGGTACTTGCCTCCAGAATGCTTTTTGGAACAGCAAAACATTTAAATTAGTACTAAAGTTGATGTATGGTCGGTTGGAGTTATTTTATTTGAAATGGTTTATGGCAAAAAACCGTTTGGAGATGGTATGTCCTAGGAAAGAATAGCTTAGGTAACATTTATGATTATCATTTAGGAAAGAGTGATTTTAAACTCTTATTAGGTTAAATTTCCTTAGAAACCAAATATTTCACAAGAATGCAAAGATTTCATTACGAAATGTTTGACTTATAACATGGAAGCAAGATGGAATATTTCAGAAGCATACTACTGCAATTATATTTAGAATTTAAAAACAACAAATTGAATTATTAAGTATTTATTTTCTGCTTTTTTTATATTAATTTTTTTATTAATTAGAGCGTTATTTCAGTGATTTTATTAGTCTATCAACTTATAGCTTCATGCACTATCAATTAAACAAATTATCATGATATAAAAATTGATGACAATTTATAACCTTTAATAAAGTAAAGATATTATTGAAAAAATGAATTTTGCTATTAATTTATGGGGAAATTACACTTATAGAATATTTTATAAAAATTTCTAGTTCATAAGAGTTTATATTGGGATATATTTACTATAAAAAACACAAAATTTCCATCATGATCCCTAATGGCATCTTCAATTTAGATATAATCAACAATATATTAAATTTCAGCATAAAAATATTCAAAAAAAAATCATAAGAACTTTAAAATGTGTTCAATTCCTTATTTTTTGGATAGATATCCTGTTTTTGATTTCTATTGTAACTTCCCTCGAATACAAGAATATTCTTGAGTTCTGATTTTTGAGAACATGTTTTCTAGAGAAAATTAAAATTAAGCTTGTTTTCTTTTCTAGGATGACCACAAAGATAAATGTTATAATTAAATTTCATATATAGATACGAAGTGGGTATCAAAAAAATTCAAGCTCATTCTTCTTCTTCAATAGGTTCTAAGTTATCATCATCCAAAAGGTCTGGAGGGGCTATGATGTCAAAAATTACGCCTTCTACTTCTACATTATACTAATGTTGGAGACCTAATGATATAAATTGTATTTGAACTGTTAGGGTCGTAGGGTTGAATTATTCGTTCTTTTGGTTGCTGTATGCATTTATCTGCCCAAGTCATTCGAGAATGAGCGTAAGCACATGTTGTCTAAGTGTTGAGAGGCAGAGTATGATGTGTTTATACTTTTTTTGAGGAGCAAGATCCCATTGATTGTGTTAATTTAATTAAAATGTTATTTTACAAAAGAAAAATCCATTCGTATTTATATCATACAACTATGCCAAAATCTCGTTTCTAATATCAAATTAAACAGTAGATACTCACTTTTCTAAAGCCATGGTTATCAAAGTAGAGTTAGATCGATTAGAGCAACAAGTTTTAATTCAAGCAGTTAGTATTAAAAAATAACTGGCTATTTTTTGTTAATTATTTTTCCTCATTTAAAATGCCTGAAGTTTAATAATATCTCTCTATTAAGTATGAATTATTGATAGTTTACCCCTATGATTGAGGATGGATGACAACCCTATTTCTTTTGCTCTTAGCAGCGGATAATTTAAATATGTCACCTCCAGGGTGGGTTCCCTTAATTGCTTTGTAATTAAAATGCCTAAGAAAGCAGTCATCAAATGAATCATTAATTTTTGACCTTATTCACTTAACATTAACGAAACAAACAAACTATAAATCACAATTTTCAAGACCTTTGTACTTTTCTATTCATTCTTATTGTCATTTTTAATTATATTGTAATATATGTTAATATATACATATATTATACATTGTATATAAATTTAATATATCAGCAGAATCTTCTCTTGATATAATCGGAAAGTTGTTAGAGAAAAGAATATTTCAATAGGATGCAATTATAATTTTCAATGACATATTCATATTTATTGTATAAATCGGCTTACTTATTCTCAACAATCTAAGAATCCCACAATTTTGTTAAGGAAGTATGGGATACAGTTATATGAGAAAAACCTTATAAAAAAGTTGAAATTATGACACTCTGTGAGATTTTGAGAGGTAGTATTAAAATAAATTTCTAAAATAAATTAATCTCTATAGGTGAATACAATTTATTATTATTGCCAGAGTATAAAAACACAAATTTATGAGTTTATTACAAAGATTTCTGGAAATATTATTCTTATTTTATTTATGTCTTAGATTATTAAAAAAACATATGTTATAAATTTATATACTAGTATCCACAAAGTGAGATAATCAATTTTGTAAGAAATTTAATTAATAAAATTATAATTATTCTTAATTACAAGTTATATATGAAAGATGACAAGTATTGAAAAAATATTATCTATATAAATTTATTTAATAAATAATTTCTAAATATTTATATTTTCAAATGAAATATTTAGTACTATTGGTCATATTTATGACAGTGTTGGCTGAAAATGACATTAAAGAATAGGTCGTTTAATTAACATCAGATAATTTCAAATCTATCGTTTTGGATTCAAAACAAGATGTTTTAGTGAAATTCCATCTACCCTGGTGCAGTCTTTGCAAAAATATGGATGAAATATACAAAGCTTTAGCAAAAATATACGCATATAGTGAGTATGTGGTGATAGCTGAGATGGATTGGACTAAACATAAGACTGACTTAGTAGAAGTTAAGGGATTCCCCACTTTATTATTCTATAAAAAAAAAGGAGGAAAACTTGAAATAATTAAATACTAAAGAGATCGTACACTAAAAGATTTGAAAGAGTTCATCAAGGAGAAATAAAGTTTTTAAATAGAAGATCTATGATAAATGTATATAACTTTAATATTTTCATATTTTCACTTATCATCTTTTGGAGTTGATTTCATTATAAATGAACTTCAAAAATTAAGTACTAATATTAGACCTCATACAAACTCTCAAAATGTCACAAAAATGTTCAATATTTAATAAAGATTAATAGAAAGTTTTATTGACTCTTTCAATAAATAAATTTTTGAGGGTAATTTATATCAATCTTCAAGTTTAAACAGGGTTTCGGGTACTGATTAGATAGAATACAATAATGCCTTGGCTTTTTTTGTCAATCATGGTATAGGGTTTTTAGGTTAGTTATTTTCATAGAGTAAGAACATCCTAAGTCAAATGTTTGAACAGCGTAAAGTTCCCTTATACTGTTCAAACATCATTGTTTTCACTTTGATTACATTTTTACTACAACGTATTAGGTATAAACAACTGGTACGCCCATATATATTTTGATAGAGTTGATTTTACCTCTGGCTATTTTATTCAATTTTATACCTTCTTGGAATGTTACACTCTCTTCCCATAATCTTACATCTATTCCTATTCCTGCATTTTTTATCCTAGTATCTTCGGTATCCTTTAACTAGAGACCGAGTCAATAATGGATCCATCAACTTAAGTACTTAAAATACAATTTGCAAATATTTTTGTAATCTAAAACTGTATAGTCTCTTGGATCATCGTCCAATGAACAGCATAATAATCGATAGAGCATCCTAGATTTTTAAGCATCATTTAATTTTGAAATCTTCATTAGAATCCTCACTCAAAGGTATGTGTTTCTAATTGTTCAAATTGTGATTTTATGCTTTGAGTTTAGAATCCAATACGATAGTTTAATAATTGTTGATATTTATTTGAATAAATTAAATTATATGTGATCATCCTTAATACAACCATCCAGTTTTACAAAATGCTCCTGCCAATACTAACGAAAGGATTGCCATCAATTTAATTAGAATATTCAATGATGGTCCTGAAGTATCTTTGAGAGGATCTCCCACAGTATCACCTAAAATAATATAATATCATATACCAATAACAGCTGCTTTGTGTTCATCTGAGCCTTTCTTCTTAACTTCACCAGCATCATTTCTATAGAAACCAGCTTCTATATATTTCTTAGCATTATCCCAAGCACCTCCAGTATTTGATGCAGAAATAGCCATTTATACTCCACTTACAAATGCTCCTGGCAATAAACCAGCCACAGCCTATGGTCCAAAGAGTAATCCAACTGCAGTAGGAGTCACAATGACCTATAATGATATAATATTCAATGTTTTACAAGTAATCCTGGGGGAATCATCTCCTTTAATGATGCCTTGGTTGAGATTGCAATACAAGCTCTAAAGTCAGGTTCTTCAGTTCCTGCATAGATTCCTGGGTGTTCATGTAATTATCTACGTACTTCCTCGACCATTTAAAGAGCAGCTTTTCCTACTGATTTCATAGTAAAGGCTGAAAATGCATATGGTAACATAGCACCGATCAACAACATAGCAAAAATGATGGGATCATCAATTTTAGCACCTTCTGAGAATGGGAATTCATCGCCTACTTTGTAGGTCTATATTCTTGTTAAATATCCACCATAAAGTGACAATGATACTAAGGCAGCTGATCCAATGGCGAATCCTTTACCAATAGCTGCGGTTGTGTTACCAGCTGCATCTAAGGCATCAGTAGATTCTCTGACATTTTCTCCCAATTCACTCATTTCAGCAATACCACCAGCATTATCAGAAATGGGTCCATATGCATCAATAGCCAATCCTATAGTTAGATTGGATAACATTCCCAAGGCAGCCAATGCAACGCCATAAAATGAGAGCATTTTCATTGATAATAATGCAGTCACTGCTATGGCTATGATTGGGACTATTGTTGAGAGATATCCCAATGCAAGACCATAAATAATATTGGTGGCTGCTCCTGTACCACAAGACTTGGCCACTTCTCTTACGGGAGTGTAAGAATGTGAAGTCATATATTCAGTGAAATAACCAATCAACAATCCTGACCATAACCCGAGTAAGGAACAAATGAAGGCATGATATGGCTTTAGATCTGCTAATTGAACTGAACCATCTGCAGCTATCATTACAAAATCAGCAGGTAGAGCCCAATAAGCAATGCCGATAATAATTGGGGATAAGGCGATAGTTGAAAGTAACAATTAAAGTTTCAAAGTAGATTCAATTTTGTTAATATGATTTACTTTTGAAATGTAAACAGCATAAGCAGATACTAATATGCAGATTCCAATTCCGAATGCTGAAACCATCAAAGGATACATCAATTATCCAATTTCAATCGAATAGCCACCTTCAGATGGGACTCTTAATTGAGTTGATGAAACTACTAAGGCAGCACAGGTAGATTCAGCAAATGATCCAAACAAATCAGCTCCCATTCCTGCAATATCACCAACATTGTCACCCACATTATCTGCAATTGTGGCTGGATTCTATAAATATTAATTTGATATTTAGTACTTTAGGACTGTCTTCTGGTAAATTCTTCTCGACCTTACCAACCAAGTCGGCTCCAACATCTGCAGCCTTTGTATATATTCCACCACCTACTCTACCAAACAAGGCAAATGTTGATCCACCCAATCCATAAGCAGCAACATAATCAAACATTCTTACCAAGTCCTCATAATTGTTATCGTCACTTTTAACAATTATAGCATTGTATATAATTATGATTAGTGAGAGAATTGCCAATGATATCGAAACCAATAAGAATCCCATCACACATCCTCCTCTATAGGCCATCTAATAATTTCTAAATTTGTATATACTTAAAATGCATTCGCTAAAGATGTGATGGCTGAAAATGCTGTTCTATAGTTTGCTGCTGTTGCGATTGCCATACCCAAATAACCACAAAGCATCGATGTTGCTGCTCCCAATACAAAAGCCAAAGATGACCATGGGGAAATAAACTAACATTATGATAAATTCACATACAATCAACAATACTGCCATGACTGCTAAAAATACAGAGCAATCTGAATATTCTTCCTTTAAAAATGCTTATGCACCCTTAAATTAACTAAATCTAATACATCTTATATGTGTTCTCCTATCTCGAGCAAGGTCTCAATCTTTTCTTATTCTGCTCCCTAAAGTAATTCTGTTAATCCTTCATGTTTGTGATGGATTTCCAGTTTGTGCACAGCCATCCAATTGAATATGGCCCAAACTATGCCACAAGCACAGGCGATGAAAATGAACACTAATGCTGTTACAAATTCCATCTGATTTAAAATTAATATTAAATCTTAATAATTGTTTCGATCGAATTCTTTGATCAATCTAAAAAAATTTAAATAATTTAGTATATTGTATTAAATTATTTTATTATTATTTATAAACTTTATCATAATAGTATTTCCAGATGATATCATTTTTAATCGAATCATTTTAAAAAGATTTTCAATTTCAATTAAGCAGATCTCTTCTCTAATACACCTATAACCGTCAACAATTATTAAAAAAAAGTTGTTGAATTCAATTCTTCTTAATGTAAATGAAATTTCTGAACTTTGCATCCTCTAAAGATCTTCTTGTTTTTATTGCAATTCCTAATATAACTATTCTTAGGTTTCAAAATTAATTAAAATATGGAGATTATTAGAACATCTTAGTCTTTACCTTACTCCTACAATTTGATTTTAGTACTTTAATTTTCTGAAGTTAATTTTATAATGTTATGAAAAATGATTTAATAAATGGTCTTTAAAATTACAGGTATAATAAGAGAATATTCATTAAATTAATGAATTCAATAATAATAAAAAATAAATTAAGAGCTTTATATGTGACGATTCGAGAATCAAAATCGCAAAGTTATTTGAATCCATCTTTTATTTGGATTCTGTATATTGGAACGAGACTTGGCCTTATATTGAGAGTGGATCAATTCAATGGAAAAGCATATGAAGTATTATGAATTTTTACAAATTAGGATAAATAATTAGAGCTAATAAAGAACTTAATCAATTGGTTTCACTTTTTAACCCCGATAAAATCTATAGAAGTGGATCAATTTGAATCTCTGGTCGTAATATTGATTGCTGTAATTCATTGGTTATCTTGTCTGATCACACTGTTTAACAATAATTAGGTAAGGTTTTTCAATTCATTTCAAAACTAATATTTCACTTATTTGCAAATGTTGTATCTGTATCCATCTTTTTTGCACATTCATTAATTGCAATACGCAAATTAGGATTAAATATCAGTTATTATATGCACAACACCAATTATTTTAAATTACTCTCTATTTACATATATTTAAAGAAATTACGCATTACCCAGTAATAACCCCTTTACGAAAAGATATCGTCCCTACAATTATCTGGTAAATTTAACTGAAATTATAGCCTTGGTATTATTTCCTTATTTTGATGAAGTAATTTAATCAATAATTCTAATGATTTAATTCCTGATTCAAGTGTGCGATTCAATTTTAAACCAACCATTTCCATAATAAATCAATCTGAATTATTGCATTGGTTCATCAATACTATTTTATTGTTCTATATTTAAAGGTTTAAGCATCCACTGGACTGAAATGGAGTTCTTGTATTTCTGTTTAATTTATACTCCATTTTTAACTGTTATTACAAAGAAGCTAATAAAAGTGGTATACGAACAAAACCTAGATAGTAAAGAGTTGAACAAATTTATAATCATATAAATGGTGGATGAATTTTACTAAAGGGACAATAACTTTACTCATGTTAAAATCCTTTACACACTCAAAAACAGATATTAAATATTAAACAATTCAAAATTGAGATCGGATACCTAATTCAATGATTATATTTTTATCATGTTTAATCGATATATAGACTCGCTGCCAATACAGGAGAAATACAAAGATGAAGATTTACACACTTATAAGATTTAGTTTCTTTATTACACCTACGATAAATAGAATCTTGCTTACATTTAAATAAAACAGTTTTAGATATATTAAGAATTTCAAAGTCTCTACTTCCAGATACTGGAGAGTTTTTGTTCTGAAATAATCCAGAGAAAAATAAAAAAGCAAATCTAACAGAATTAAGGAAGATTGGAATTACAATAAATTAGATAAAGTTAAGCATTACAAGAAAAATGCTAACCTTTAATTATCTACATTTTGGAATAAAAGATAAAATATTGGGACTAGTTATTAAATGGTTATGAGAATATTGAATAGTTAAGTGATGTATCTGTGAGTTTAAGTCAAAAAGTAGTGAACTTAAAGAATATAGTTTTTAAGGAATTAAATATTCAAATATTCACTTTATAGAAAGAACTGTTTAGATTAAATTTAGTTGATTTACGTCTATTATCTCAAATATTTGCGACTGTTTTAAATGATTATCATATCACACTTCAAATTGAACAAAGGATAGAGGAACTTCTTAATTTGGAGAGAAATATAACCACTAGGAATATTCAAAATATTGGTTTACTGAACGACGATGTTATTATAATTCCTGTTAGTATGATAAAAAATCCAGGTTTGATCTTGAGTAAAAATAAATAGAAACTATTCAAATTCTTTAAATATCCAAATGAAGATTCCTATCAATTAATAACTAATATTAATTCAATTTTGCCATTATATTTGCAAAAAAAGCATGATAAATTTGTGAATCAGTTCCTCCAAACAGGGGAATCATCATTATTTATTATCAGTTAGGATGTCTACCCTATTTATAATTCTGGCTTCTCTTTTAGTGCTACTCTTTAATTGATACCTTCATATGACTAAATAGATGATTACATATTATCAGCTGTTGTAAAAAGAAGCACAGAAACTTATGATTTCATACTATTTGATGAATCTGGTAAAATCTTAGGATTGACAGAATCAATTTATTAATTATTGTTATTCAATTCGAAATCATAGGTTACAAGTGAATTTGATAGCAATATATTAAGTTCTTATATATATTTTTGGTTCAAGGATCTTTTACTCCTAATCAATGACTAATAAGATGTGTTCACTGGATAATAGACATAATAAGCAGCTTTAAATATATAAACAACAATTATTCAACCAATAAATAATTTGGCATCACTAATTAAAGATCATGAAACATTTAGAAAGTAACATTTTCTAACTTAGACACACACTATGAAAACAGAGCAGGATGTACAATCAGACTTAAAGAAACCTGTTAAAATAACTTGTTTTGAATCCAATTATGTTAGTTAGACAAATGAGTTTATCAATGAGTAATTGCTCAAAATGCATCAGAACTCTGTTTATTTCTAGGTGACATTTATGGTGCACTTTCAAAAAAGGCAGGACTCTTATCCAATCTTTCTATTAACTATAAATGAGTATTTATAAAAAGAATAGAAGTATACAGGTAGTTAAAGTGCTTATACTTCGTTGGCGAAAACAAAAACTGTATTAGGAATGAAAAGTGAATTTCAATTACAAACTGAATAAGATCTTGATGAGTTACACTAAGAATTCTTAATTAATTAAACAATCATTAATAAATTATTTATTAAACATGCTGATGGATTACCAGATTCAAGGGATATAGATTAAAAAGAGGAAGATTTGAACATTCGAAATATAATAGATAGGGATTAAAAGGAGAGCAATCTAATATCTCCAAGATCAAATAGAGAAATATTAATATAAAAAGGATTGATAGAAGAAGATTCTGAATATATAAGAGGAAATGAATCGAATGTCATCAAAAGCAGTTCCTAAAAAGAAATCAAAGAAAACATTTAATAAGCAATTTTACAAGAATAAAATGTTGATTTTGCTCATGAAAAGCAATCTAAATCTAGTGCAACTTCTGATAAAACTTAAAATTCAATTTATAATTTGATGCGAAAATTGTAATATACTTAATAATTTTAAACTTCCATACTGAATGTTATTTTCTTAACGAACATATTAACAGTATTTTTGATTATTCTTGTAAGCGTAGAATTATCAATAGTCAGAGATCATACAAATTAATTAGAAGTTAGTATACCCTTAGTCAGAGTACCCCAAAGATTTAATAGGCTCTATTGTACTTTTCTTACTATAGGGTAAATCGAATTGTAGTCTAAATTATTAAACCAATCTTACGGTGCCTATTATGAGTATAGAATAAAAAATGAAAGTGCTTCAAAACGTATTGAAATTCAAGCATTAATGACAGAGATCTTAGCTGAGTTTTCATCAATGGAAGAAAAGTAGTAGCTACCAATAATGGAAATTAGAATAATCAATGAATATGTGTATGAGAAATAAAATGCTAGCATGATAGAGTTTGATAATTTAGTAAACGAAAACACTGATTAAATAAACTTGTTTCTCCAAAGAATTGATGAAGGCAATGAATCTGTAAAATAGCTTCAAATTCTTTTATAATTTTTAAAAGGGAATTTGGTAGATCAATTAGATCTTACAATAGCAATTGTTAATTAAATTGAAAATGATTTTTATGATCTTATCTCAATAAATCAAATTGAAGAGATTATATTTTTAATTGTAATGCTTTTGACTATTTTTGTGATGCTCCTTTTATAATTTAGGCAATGGTTGTAGCCATACAAATATATGTAAACAATTCTGCTATTGATTGGTAAAATATCTGAAAGAGATATAGAGTATTCTGGAGCTAGAGTGTATTTTCTATTAGAAAAACTCAATCGGAATCATTCAAGTTGGAAAAACATTAACTACTTTCGTGAATTCTTTTTATCATCAAAGAGATCTGCAACATACTAAACTTTAAAGATATAATCTTCAGAAACAACAAAAAAACAGAATACTAGTAAAAATTAATAATAGAGAGCAAAATAGATATCTCGTATTCAAGAAACCTCATTTTCAATAAAAAATATTTAAATTATGTTATTACTCCTGTGTTTATTGTTATCAATCTATGCCATATCTGGATTTATCATCATGAAAACAAATATGGATAATAGTCAACCTGAACTCAATATAGCTATGGAATATGTTAAATTTAAATAAGACCTTGATGGTGTAATGATAATAAGTCAATTATTAAAAATATAATAAATCCTAATTGAAGAAACTATGGTTAGTGGAATTTTCAAAATGAATCCAGAATTGAGCACGAGAGACAAATACTTTAAAACATTGTATGCTGAATTATTAACTCAATTCTCTCCTTTAATTACAGATATGGATGAAATTTATTCCAAAATTTATAACAATGTTATTGAATCCAAGAAAATTAGTGAAGAAAATAAATAATTATTACTAAATTTATACGAAAAAGATCTTTGTGAAATTATCCCAACAATTTTACCTTTTTGTGCTTATGAAAATGATAAATTCGAATATTTTTCTACCTTTCCACCTGCCAGTTCTGATCTAAATAATAAGCAAATTTATAAATATGGAATTAACGGCATCTATTAATAGTAAGACTTTAAAAATATTAATTAGGATTATGTCAATATTGAATACACATTATTCTTTGGAAAAGAATGGAATAAAAGATACCAATATTACTAATGTTAATTAATTTCTCTAAAGTCCTGAATATCTTTAAACTATTTTACCTTACTTTTTTGATTAAAGTTATGCTATTCTTCAATTCTATTATACTATTATATAAGCAGCCCTCGATATATTAGAGAGTGACTATTAGATGGCGCTTTAATTTTATATAAGTGCAGGAGTTGGCTGCCTTATTATATTATATTTAGTAATTTTGTTAAGAGCAATCACATTACAAAAAAGGGTTCGTTTGATTAGATAAGTATTAATTGTTATACCGCATGAATCATTATAAGATTAATCTATACTGAATTCTATAAGAAAGATCGATAGAAACCTATGATTTTATGAGTATTTTATAATAAAAACTTTATTTTTTTACTTTTTATATAAATGTTTCAATTCTAAATTTATTAAATATAGACAATAAATGTTAAAGTAAAATATGCTTAAATTGTTAATATTTTTATTAATAATATATAAAAAGATAACATATTATTGATTAAATAAATTTATAAGGATTCTAATATAAAATTATTAAATATTTTCAATATAACCAATTATGAATTTCCTTAGCCTGACTTCTTATATTTGCAGTTAATATTAAATCAGAAGGAATCAATACTAAAATTTAACGAAGACAAGAGATCTTCATCTAATATTTGTAAACCCAAAGTAAACTCAATATAAAAATAAATAAAAACAAACTAAATATTTTTAAATTTATACCATATACCAACACCTAAATAAAATATCTAAACAATATTATTTATATCTGCTGCTATTTCGGCGTTGTCTAATTAAAATAGATTCAAAAATTCCAACATAGTGTTTTGAATGTCACAATAATAAGACAAAAAGAAATTCTCAAAAGGCTTTTATTAGATAGCAATTAAATTGTTTTCATCAGTATCATATTTAAGATTGTTGAGCTCATAATCAAAATCTGAGTTTAGATATTTAACTAGAGTGGCAGTGTAACCTAACACTCCATTTTTTACAATGTCATTAATCGCATCTTTACTATATTATATCAATTATTGTACCTAAAATAAGGAAGATTTTATCGGGCCAAATCGCATGCTTTCATATCTTACCAATCAGTGAACTCACAGATATCAAAATTTAATATATTGTCAAATCTACTTTATTTGTTGTTAGCATTTGCATTCTCCAAAATGACTTAAGCTACTTCATTTATTAATGGAGATAGATTTTCCTTATATTCAATTAATAATTAAATTGCGTATGTTTGATTGATGAAGCTCAAATTATTATTTGGAACCAATTATTCTGTTTTAACAATCCCTCCAATAAATCCTACTGAATCCATATTCAATCGAAACTACCCATATTTTAGAGTTGCTGTTAAGGATGGTTAGAAATTTTCATTTTTCTACATGTGTATTAAATAACCTGCTAGGAGAAATGCTGTCCATAAAATAGTAATCAAGAATGTTAGAATGACATTGACTCTATTTAGATAATAAGTTCTTTAAATTCTTGAATATAATGCACTTGTTGATTTATAATTATTTGAAGTCTGGTCCTATTATTTCATTAATATTTTCTTAAGCTTCTTCTCTGAATTCTCAAATACAATGTCTCCAAAATTGTACAGTTTCCACACATTTGAAGCTTAATCTTCTAAATGTTCTTTGATTTGTACTAATTTATTTATTTAATTTAGAGCTTGAGTTTCATTTAATCTAGATACTAAAAATATTATCGATTTAGTAATATGATCTAAGAATAACCAATATCTTAATTAAAATCCAACAAAAAACAAAATTGAAAATAACTCCATAAGCATAATAACTAAAAACTAACTCTTGACTAGGCCTTATTGATATATTGTGTCTTCTGATATCTTTATAATTAATTTGTTATGTAAATCAATTAATTCTAAAAAATTTTATCTTACAATCCCTTTAGTGAATAATTCATGATACGAGGGATTGGCAACGTTCTTATTGTTGATATACATGTCATACATAGTTTCATAAAGCAAAGAATAGAAATTTTATAATTAATTGATTTCCTTCTCTATTTTTCCTAGTTTGACTTATTTCAACTCAAATGTAGTAACTCCAAGATTTGCAGCAGTTTATGGTACTTCTATTCCAAATGATTGAAGATACATTCTTCCATACTCGAGCATACCATCTAGGGATTCTATATTCCTTTAATATTAAAATTCAGACAATTTAAGAATCCCTAATGTATGCAATTCTGTTCCCCAATATTAGAAGAACACAGATGAATAATAGTAAATAATATTTTGAGGTTTCACCAAATTAACTACTTATTGAGTTTATTATTGTAAATTATCTTTGATTAGAAATACATTCAAAATTTCACAAGTCAACATTCCAATTAAGATTAGCCCTAAAATTACAGATATTTTTTTCAGTGGAGATATTAGATCTTTATTAAAATACAATTATTGAACTATTAATATTGATTCTTTAGAAGTAGAATTAGTAGAAGTTCGTGAAGGATTAGAAGCAAAATCCCCAATATTTTCTTTATTCTATTATGTTAATTTTATCTTATCAAGAATATTTGATCTCTTTTTAACACTTTGGCTGACTGATTCCTACTTCTAATTAGCTAAGTCTTGATCATTCTCATCAAAATCTTATTGCAATTATTGAATATTCTACAATAAATAATTAATATACTTGCATGTCTTATTCAATTTATGAAATGTCTTCAAGTCTGCATTCTTATTATTATGGTCTAGCAAATAAAGGTTAAGATTATTTAAGTATTCTACCTGTGTCATAAAGATTAGATCTCTCTGAGTTCTTGAGTTGAATCTATAATTTTAGATTTGTTTAATCTAAACTTAAGTTGTTTCCACTTTGATCAACCAAAGAACTATCTTTATTATTATGCATAATATTATTCATTAATCTTATTTCTTAGATTATTTCCTCTTATTAGTTCAAATTCTCGGAAGTTAATTCAATTTTCATTGAATTTTAAATAGTTTCAATTTCATTGGACTCTTAAAGAGAAGATCTGACTGTTTAAGGAGTTTAATTATGACTTGAAAACTGACCCATGGTTTATTGAGAATAATACAGTTTATTTTCTTTAATGGTGAGCATAAAGTACCCAATGCTGCCTTGTTTGTATTTTAATATTTTGAATTGTAAACTATAAAATATGCCTAATTGCACAGATTATTTTTAAGTTTCTTCAAAAACTATTAATTCTTTTAATGAAGTTGCTATCTCTGGATGTAAAAGTATTATAGGAATGTTGTCGATATTAATTTAATCAAAGACCTATTTTCCAATTTCACTCTTATCATATTGATCTTGTTAAGTGTTGTTAGTGTAATTGGAATATTTCGAGTAAGTTTGAGACTTGTAAGATTAAAAGTTTTAATTAGGTTTTTGGGTACCTTAGCTTTTTTTCTTATATTGTGATAATATTAACTACATTTGTTATAAACACTCAGTATGATTTATAGGAAACGTCCAAGTAGATTTCTAATTGTTCATTAAGTAATTAGAGGATGAACATATTTGATTTCTTAATTCGTCAACTTGACTTTGGATGTTTGGGATATAAAATTGAATCAAAGGTTATTTAGCTAAGAAATCTTTAATGTTTGTTGGAGAAGATGTGATTTCTGTATTTCTGCCAGCTGAAGTAGTGATTGTTTTAGAGTATTAAGTATTTGATCTTATGGCTTCGTTGAAAAATTGTTAAGTTATTCCTAAGATTTTTCCATCAATGCCAAAGAGAATTGTCTCGCTCTAACATTACTCTTTAGTTAGGATCATATTTAAAATGAAATCATCTTTGCCATCATAAAAATTGAACAAATTAATACTACATGGTTCAATAAAACCAGCTGGATTTTAAAAGAATGATGATTCTCCATGGATCATTAATTTGGAATATCCATTTTGCATGTAATTATCCATCAATTATTCATGAACTGTTGATAAGTAGGTTGGCATAAGTTAAGAACAATGCTTTATCAACTTACAACCTTCTTCGGCTTCATTCAGAAACTTAGCCATTTACTTATAATTCACATCTATCAATTCACCTCTTTTAGATACAAAACTGGATTTCAAAATGATCAATCGATCTAATAGATTCTATAATACATTTACCTTAAACAAGTTGAATATTATCTAAAGATTCATCTTACTTAAATCTCTCGCTCTTTAATAACTCGTCAATAGTTTTCTCAATCTAAAAGGCTTGAAATTAATTAGTATAAATTCCACAGTAATAAATTTAGATTATTCTTAAACTAATTATGTCAGTTCCTTATTAATTTTTTAATTTATTATAAACCAAATCAAATCTGCTTTCTATTTCTGATCTACATCTCAGCATCTTTTTGGCAGTCTTTAGTGATTCCGATAAACATTAATCAATGTGTTGATATCCATTAATCAATTTATTCCAGAAATTGATTTTCGATTAAATTGTGTCTATCAAACATGGAAATAATGCTTATGCTGAGTGAGAAGTATTATAAACAGTTTAAACATCTAAAGAATTTTAATGTTCATTCGTATTCTTGATAGATGTTTTATTTTAGGCTTCTTTTTAAAATTATTTACTTCTTTTGTTAAGTTCCTCAGCCAAATTATGTTGCCAACATCTATAATATAAGTCATTAGGATTTAATAGGAGTAGTCGTATTAATGCTTTTAAGGGAGCATGATTGCTTACATAATCACAAAATAAAGAAACTATGTGGTTATTCATTTAATTTTCTTTATTTGCCATTCTTCTAAATATACACTCAACAAATTAGGATGGATACTGACACTTTTTACAATTGTGGATTTTCTCTATTATTTTCAGAATAATTTTGGATTGCGTCTTAGTTTCTAACTTATTTGCCTCTTCTATTTTCTTAAGTTTAATTTATAATTTACTTAAAGTGTGATTAAATTGCCTTAATTTTTCAATGTTACATAGTAATTTTCTATTATATCTACCAACTAAAAAAAGGTTGCCCAAATCAAAGTGAGAACTATCAGATATTCAAACACTGATAATTTAATTAAAAGTGAAACTGAGGATGCAATTGAGATAAGATCGATTAATACGTAATATTTTGCGTTGATTTTGTTAAATATTTGCACAATTGTTAGTAAGTATTTTATCAAAATTAGAGCAAACCTTAGTTCTTACAATATCTCAATACTCTTAAGTACTATGCATGCGAAAAGGCAAATTTATGTTATAAAATTGTTTAAAAATGAGTAATTCAACATCAAGATATGATTATCCCCCATCAGCGAATCAGCTCTCCCAAAATAAACGTGAAGAGCATTGATTGATAATGATATTGCCAAATTAAGGATGCAAAGGATAATTAAGACTATTTAAGTGCTACTATCACAAAATTGACTTGATTTGCATACTGATTCTGAAGAAATAAAATATAATGACGAATAGGTGATGGGAATATAAAAGATTAGTGTGTAATGCAATAAGAATTAGTGTAAAATTGTGTGTATGATCACTGAAATAGGCTTTGATATCCGGAAATAAATGAAAACTAGGATTAGGATAATATGCAAAGCAAAAAATCCAATAATTACCAGAATCAATTGATCATCAGTTACAGCATTAATTACAAAACTGTATGATGCTAATTGACTTAGTATTCTAATATTCAAATATTATAATACTTCATTTCAGAGTGAGATTCCTAATCAATGTTATTTATGATGTCCAATTCTTAAGCTTTGTTCAATATCGTAAAAATAATCATTAGCCCTTTCAAGGACTCTTAAGAAACCAAAGGATGCATCAAAAAGTAAATTTCTTTAAAAAATTTTTCAGTGTTTAAATTTCTCATTAATTATTTTAAATATTTTGATGAAAAACTAATTTATTATAAATATGAGATGAGTAAATAAAAAATTAAAGGAATAGTTAATATATTTGTCAAATAAAAATTAATGAGTCACCTTAATTCTCTAGGCTGAAAAAACTAAAGAAGGAATCACCCATCTCAATTATTTCAGTAGGTTCAAATCGACAAACTATGTGTCTATTTTCATTTGTGATTCTTAAACATTATTATAATGGCATAAATTAAAATGTTAAAGTGTCCCCTTCACTGAATGTAAAATTCCCTTTTCTTAATAGTTTGTACTTGTTCTCATTCCATTCCTTCCTTTTTATTTCACCTAACTTATTTATTATAAAATCAATTGAATAATGACATAAAGTGGAACAAATTCCAATCAATAAATTGCCTTTCAAAGTCTAAATTCGCATTCTCCAAATGATACCTTAAACAGCTTGAGTTTTTATTTTGTGATTAATATAAAAATGAAGAAAATCATTTTTTTATTTTTGAAGATTAAATGATGGACGAATTAATTTTGCCTCGATGGCTTAATTACCTGTAAATTAATAGTTTTGTGTGAACATAGTTTTAAATGAAAATTGATGCATAGTATCAAAGGAATCTCCTTTTAACATTTTACATATTTTTTATTCCAATAATTAATTCTTTTAGTTTAGCTCTTCTATCTTTTTGGATAATTGTGCTATTTGATTGTCTTTGCTAGTAAATTATGATTGAACGCAATCCTAGAATAAGGATAATAAAATACATCAATAGAATGAAGTTGAAATAGTTTTCTTGACATTTTATTTAAACATTTAGAACATTCGATGCTCACTTATTCACATTAATTTTCATGTTATTCTAATTCATTTTACAATTGTTAAAGTCCACAACCAGAACAATTTATTCTTCGATAAGGACATTACAATATATGCTTCTAAAACTATTCATATCCTGGCTTCGTTGTGCATTCTTCATATATACAACTCAACTATATGGAGTCTAATAGATTGTGTATTATTGGTATCGATGTTTTTTTAAATGGTCTCTTGCATTTTGGGCAATTTGGCAAAGTAGTCTCAACGTGAATCTGTTAAGGCATTTCAGAAAAAGAACTAGATTGAGAACTATATTGTGATCCAGATCCTGAATCTGGAGCAACAATTAAAGATTAGGAATAAAGCGATTCTTGTAAGACAACATCTCCTGCTTGTTCTTGAATCCATTTATTGATACAAACTTCACAGTATGATTAGAAGCATTTATCTTATCCACAAGCAACTGGTTTCCATAGAATATTTAAACAAATAGGACAAATTAAATGGTCAACTTCTATCTTTGATTGGTAGAGTAAATGTTTAGGAATGCCACTATCTTTTAAGAGTTCCAAGGGATTTAATAAATTACTAGACTCTGTTTACATGATAAATTAATATATATATTATAATTATATAATCATAATTAACTCCGAAATAATTCTGAGTATCTGACAGCCTTTTTAGACTCTAGTTGATTCATCTTTCTTTTGATATTTGCTAATTCTACCAAAGAGATTACACTTTTAGTAGCCTATCCTTTAGTACTTAAGTATTGAGTTGACCCAGCAAGACCTTTGAAAGTTTCCCTGAATTAGCAATTCGAAGGAGATTTTTCATGGTTAGATGGCAATTATTCAGAAGTATGTCTTCTTGACTTTAGTTATTTTTAAGCAGTTTCCTATTCTTTTTAATTATCATCCATGATCACTTTGATTGCCTTTTCAAAATATGTAAAATAATACATTTAAATTTGTTTGAATCATATTCCTAATAATTTGGTCTTCATTAATTTTAGGTTTTTCTTCTTCTTTCTATCCAGATATTTTTTAATACAATTTCATTAGAGCAGATTCTTCTTCTAAATTTTACAATTTCTTTTTTGTTTATTTTAAACCTAAAGTATTGCAATGCTTAATGAGTATCTTTCTAAATGGAGTTTTACTCTTAGGTTTGGGTTTGAGAGATTATTCAATTATTTACTATTACTATCTCTTCTTCTTTAATCTTTCTTGAGCCTCCAAGTATCCAGAAATTAATTAAAATTCAGTCTTGATTTCATTGTTCAACTGCTTCAAAGAATCTGTTTCTTTAGGTTCAGCAATTGCATTCTTACTAAATTATCTTTTAAACAACAATATGGCTCTACCTAATTCGCAATCCTATTGTTATCTTTCATTTTCATTGAGTTCATCCTTACAAGTCCTTTGAATATCAGCAAGTGAATAGAAGGCTTATTCTTTTTTCAATTAGTTGACAATAACTCCTGCTAACTCTGAATCCAATTTAGGATAATCTGATTATTCTGTTCGACAATATTATGTAAAATCTGTTGGTCTGGTCCTTCTCGAAAAAGATGAGATAGAGTTTTATTTAATCATCTTAGATTCACTATCTGATGTTATTAATTTATGTTAATCAAAACCATCTTGGGTAGTGAATGATTAATAATTTTTAGAGAATTATTATATTGTAAGTTCTCTTTCTGTTCTACTACCTTTGGGTACATTATATAATAGATATGGTGAGGGAGGTTTAACAGGAATGGGATTTAATTTGAAAAATTATTATTTGTTTAGTTGTTCAATTCGTAATTTGAGATAGAATTTTTCATTTAGGGCTTGTTGATAATCATCTTTAACTTATGATGTGATTTCTTTGATTTCAGGATTAGTGTCATCACATAAACAAGTAAATATGATGTGTCTAATTTCACATTCTGCCAATATATGATCAATGTATTTTTAGATATCTTAGGCTCTACTGAATATGAGGATTCTCAGTTGATGTTCATCTTCTAATCTCAAGACTTCATTACAAAACCATTAAGCTAAATGAATGCATTCCTTCATTTTCGAATATTCCGAGACATATTCATAGCAAAGTGATTGAAGGTATAATATAATTGTTAATTTCATGATGTATGGTTCAACTGGTCTTAGATCTGAATCATCAATAACATTTGGAGTATTTCTTTTTTTTAAGATTAAGAAAATGAGTTAGTGTAAATATGAATAGGCAATTTCATATTATTTTATAGATTTTTTGAATTCGCATATTTAAAAATAGAATTACCCGAAATTTTAGTAATGATCTACAATTATTTTGAGCAATTCAATATTAGTTGTGTTTTTTATTTCTTTGATTTGTAAGAACTACTCGATTTTATGTATCATCTTCAAACTGTTAGGTATCTCATTTGTGATTTTAAACATTCTAGCATATAAAATTAATTATTTCAATAACAAAGCCCAACACTCACTTAAATAGAACTTAACTAATCATATTCATAGCTTATACTTTTAGTTTTCTCCTTTAGTTTGCCTAGATGGGCAACCTTAATCAAACTTCCAGGTACACAAATCGTCTATCTAATTCTTTGTCTCAATCTGTTCAATCCTATTTTTTATTCAATCTAGGCTGAATTTAATTCTTCGTAATGTTCAGTTCCTCTCTCATTTTTTAGCATTCTTTGGATGTTGATGTATATTATAGCTGTGTACAAATTGCATCGATCAAGTAAAAAATCCACCTTTGATATATTATCTCCATGAACATATTAGTTTAACAAATTTTATGTTGCTCTTATAAGTCTTCTACTGATTTGGATATTAAGTGTACTCATTTCATTATGAGAGTAACTCATGAAATGTTTGTCCAGCATTAGAATTACTTTTCTATTCCCATTCTTTTATATGTAATTTATAATACCTTTTTTAATAAACCAGAAGCGTCATTCAATATATTTTCAATTGGGTATTTCTTCATAACTGGTATTTCAGATTCCATTATTAATTTATTATAATATATTTATTATTCCCTTTAAAATTAAGATATTTCCTGAGATAATTTGGATAGAGTATTACTCTGATTAATTTACATTGACTGATTTACTTTTAATATGAATATCATTCTAAACTTATTTTGGCTATTTTCAATGTATTTTCATAGGATTTGGCACCTCCAATGAAACCACTTGCATGAACAAATACAATATCATCAATACCAGATATTGCTTTCAATTACTCAATATCTTTCACTCCTCTCCATTCACTTTTCAAAGATTTTCTATTTTCAAAACTATCCTCGTTAGCCGAAACAGCTTGTACTCTCCATCCTTCATTTCTATCAGGATATAAAACGAACTTAATCAATCCTACAGTTCCTCTTTCCTGTTCTATGTCGAAGACATGACTTTTCCAAGGCAAAGCCAATGGCAATTTGATTATTTAACCTGATTAATCCTATTCAAATCTTGAGTCAAAGGCTTAAACAACATAACATCTGCCAGGATACCATCCTCTATGAGAGATCAAATTAATTCTTACAAATAGATTGATTTCACTTATGAAATAAGTTCAGTAGTAACAAACTCAACAGCTTAATGAAATTTAGCATTTTCATCTTGATTTTTTTCACACCAAGTAGGATTAAATCTATTGATGACAGCTGACAAATGAGTATTGATTTAGTACTTTAACTGCTCTTAATTTGGATATTGGTTGATACCATTATCGATGGCATCAATACTTTATATGAAATTCTTATATAACTTTATGTAGATTAGGTTGAGAGTCTTTTCATCAACTTTTTGCTTAAATTGTTTATGATAAAAAATTTACAATCTCAATAGTCGTTTCCGTAGTGGCATTGATATGAGCAATTACATTTTATATGATCTCTAATCCAAAATGCTTGTAGATCAAACCAGCACTACTTAAACGAATGTTAAAATCATTCGAAAATGACTATTAAAACTCCTTTTAATGATGGTCATAACGATGAGTTTGTGGGTCATAAACTCCTCCCACATCTACCAAAATGTCCTACTAAGCCCAAACTGCTGGATCTCTTGATCTAGTTATTATTCCATTCTTAAATTCATTGGTATATTTGGTCAACATAGCACATGCTAGAACTTCATCAACATGAAAAGCACCATTGTGAGTACCAATTTTTTTAAACACTTGTTGCATTTTTAATAATTATATTTATAATTTATATATAGAGGATATACATTTTAGATTGTCTCAGCATTCTCAATAATACCAAAACTACTTTTATAATTGATATTTATTTAAGATTCATAATTACATATGAGTTCAAGTGACATCCATGTGTTTATGTAGGTTAATTATGATGCCACATTAGGTATATCTAGTACTATTATCGTTTAATATATTCATTTTTTAATTAAGGGTGTGTTTCACTTTTGCAGGTATATACTATACTTCTATAAATTAAATTAGATACAATAAATATTCATGAAGCATGATACAAATCTTAATATATCTAGATAAAATCCTATAGAACTTTGGAGTTTTAATATTTTTCAAGAAAACAAAGTTTATTCTAAAATTCTTCTCATATTTAAAATTATTTTATCTAAAAATCCGAGAAGATTATGTATATATTGTTAATTAAAATTTATTTCCTAAAATTTTCAAAATTATCAAAATAGATAATTTTTATTAATAACTAATCGGGTTCAAAGGAACATATTTTATATATATTGAATTAAAAACTTAGTCTTGAAAGAAATTATATGAGAGAAAGAAAAAGATGGCCATTTCATTTAGATTATCAATAAAAATTAGATTAATTGATGAGTTAGAAACACAATATTAAATTGGGAGACTAGTTTTATAACCACCTTTATTAAATTGTTTTGTTAACAGTTGGTTCATTTTAGTTATTAAATATTTACTTGAGAATATGAAGGTTAAGTAAAAAGAAAATACTCAATTATTTATCAATTAAAAATGAAGAGTTAGAGACAATAAAAATATTAAAGAATATGATTTATTTAATTTGACTTATGTAGCTTGTAAAATCATTCATTAGATTGAAAATTTTATATTATTTTATAGTTATTATATAAGAAATTTGATGTCAACTCAAATTCCATAGCTCATGATTACTGAATAACCTATGGATGAATACTAAGATTTTATCAGTTATTCACTCTCTGATGTTTGTTTTTCTGCCAGTAAGTTCAAGAATAAAGGTAATAACGTGAGTGAGAATTCGATTAATTAAGACTACTAAGAACATGTTAATTCAACTCCTCTATCTCCAAACAACTATACTTTAACTAAACCTACCAATGATTCCTCGGATCAAAAATAAACTACACAGGGGTAACAACGTAATAGTGTAAGTTCAACCTAAGAAAAAGTATACAAAGACTTTTTTCAGTACTTTTTAATTCAAAAATTTGTACACAGGATATCATTCAAAAAGAAACTGAATTCTATGTTTGATAAGTATCATTTCGATGTGATTAATGATCTAGGAGCAACTTTTAATTTAAATTTATTTAGAGAAAATTCAATAAAAATGCGACCAATAATTGTCAAATAGGTTTTGGAGATAGAAAATAAATGCTAGTTAAAGTTTAATAAACTTCAATCCTTGGTGATTTAAAAATGGAACTATTGTCTCAACAAAATTCCATTAATTTATCCAGAATCCAAATTGAAAATGCTTTGGGATGCAATAGTTATGTTAGCAAGATTTTATTTTATCTATGTCATTCCGATGGATCTGGCATGGGAAATGCAATCATTTATGTTTGATATCTTAATTATTCCCACTTCATTAATGCTGGCTTTATTGATAATAGATTTCATATTAAGTTTCAATAATGCCTATTATGAGTTCGGATCTATAGTAACTGATCGAAAGAAGATTGCTTAGTATGTCTTAACAAAAAGCTACGGATTAGATATATTGTCAGTATTGATTCTGATAACATTTTTGATTATTTCAGTGGTTCAATCGTAGTATGTGAGGATAACTGAAAATTGGTATCATTTACTGTTGCTATTGTTTTTAATTTAATATAAGAATATATCTAAATTATCAGAATAAGTTGAGGAAGCTTTGAATTTATCAAAATAAGTGAGTTCATTGTTGGAATTAGGGAAATTAATATTTTTACTATTCTTTGTTCTACATATATTCTCTTGCCTTTGGTTTTGGGTTGGAAGCTATTCATATAGAAATGATTATAAGACTTGGCTGAATTTGAAAAACTTAGAGGAAGCTGATTGGAATATCTAATATTTATATTCATTCTACTTTTCGACTGTCACTATGTTTACTGTTGGATATGGGGACATTACTCCGTAAAGCACATTCGAGACTGTACTTTGCATAATGTTCATGATGATTTGTAGTATTCAATTGTCATACAGTGTCAGTACTGTAGGTGCTATTATTGATAAGATTTCATTCTATACAAAAGAGAAAAGGAAGAAGGTTTAAACAATAAACACTTATATGTAGCATAAGAAGATAAGTTATGAGTTACAATTTAAAATTAGAGAATATCTCAATTATTATTGGTAATGTAATCAACAAGAAGAAACTGAGGAAGAAAAGAATATCATTAATTAACTATCAGAAAATTTGAGAGAGAGCTTGTAATTTGAAGCTAATTCAATGATTTTGAATACTTGTCCATTATTTAAGAATCACTTTAGTGACTAATTAAAGAAGAAATTGGTGAAAAAGATAAAATCAATAGTAGTTTAGCCAGAAAACATAATTGATTTTGATCATTTGTTTCCAAGTTAAAAAATGAATTAATTTATATGTTTTGTAGAAGAAGGATAAATACAGATATTTATAGAAAATGAATTGTCGTAGAATCATGTTTCATATAATTCAATATCAATTGTTAATACTGTTTCCAAAGGAAGTAGTCTTGGTTTGATGTCCTTCATAACAGGAATCAAAGCAAGAGAGAGATTTAAAAGCATAGGCTTTTCAAAATTATTATTATTGTCTAGAGAAGACTTTCTCAAAATTATCCCAGAATTTCCAGAAGACTATGAAGTCTTCAGAGAAATGCATGATGATTTGATTTATAATTCAGATTCTGAATTCCTTAAATTAGCTTGTTTTTCTTGTAAAAGTGTTTCTCATAAAGTTATTGATTGTCCTTTAGTTCATTTTATACCTGATAAGGAATATTTAGTAAAAAAACATCAGTTTTCAAAAGAGTAAAAACGAAATGAAACTTTTAAGTTTAAATTTAGGAGAAATTAAAAAAGACAACATGGTTATTTTTCAGCTTATAATGATTTAGATCTAATTTAAGAAACTAGCGATTTGTTTCAAGCTGATAATTATAAATAATGTCTATTTTATGAGGAACTTGATGATGAAGTTGAAAAGCTAAAAGTTCAATCAATAAATAGTCCAAAACCCTCTAATTATGTACCATAGGATTTGATTAAAGAAGAACCGGAAGAAGATGTTTAGGTTGCCATGAACTTTTTGAATCAAAGAAAAAGCCAAATTAACAAAATTACTAAAAAATCAATATCCTTGTTGGTTGATGAAGATCTCGTCCCTTTATAGCAATTTAAAGGAATCAATAAATTTAAAAGAGCTGTAGAAGTTGTAAAAAGTCTGAACAAAATTACTAATCGAAAAAGTTTTAAGGCTTAGACCAAAAATATATTGGCATCTTTGAATAGTGAAAATTACAAGGATTCAGAATAAAAACAACTATTAATTGGGATTTAAAAGAGATTAAAATTTATTGAAGATCATAACATAGAATGGATGGAGAAGGATATTTAGGAAATGGAATTCTTAAAGATGAAGTTGTAAATGCTGATTAAACTAAATACTCAGAAACCTGAAAAATTTGATTAGATTGAAACTGTAAAGTAGTATAAGTTTTACAATATACACAACAACGTGGATCAGATATTGACAATTTATAATGAATTTTATAAGGTCAAATTGTAGGAGTAGAAAAACATTCCTTAAGTATTTAAATAATTTGTCAGATATTTGATGTATCCCTATTCATTTATTCATAAATATAAATTTAAATCCAATAATTTCAACGTGAGAGAGATTAAATAAGAGGAAACTAATTAAATAAAAAAGAATAATAAATTTTCAAAGTTATTGACTTTGCATAAATAGAGTAAGAATTTGAGAAAGAAATTAAATGTGAAAAAAGCTTAAATATAACCACTTTGATTAAATAAATAATAATAAATATCATTAATATATTTCTTGCAATTATTCTCTATAAAATAAAGAGTCGGGATGATTTTTTGGAAGTGTTTTATCTAAGATTTGAATACATTTTGTCAGGCATTATTAAGCTGATTAAATGTTTCCAATTTATTTTAATAAGATACCAAGATTTCCATATGTTGTGGCAACAAGTGGATGATCATCTCCTGATTGAGATTACTTTAAGATAACTAATGCATCTGCGAAGAATTTCTAGCTTTTATCATATTCTTCTAGATGCTTACAAGAATTTCCTATGTTATTCAATGTTAAGGCAATTTCAACATGATTTTCTCCTAACTTACTTTTTTTAATAACCAAAGCTTTTTCATATTAGGATTTTGCTTAATGAAAATCTTCCATCTCAAAAAATACATTCCCTAACACTTCTATTGTTGAAGCCACTTCCAAATTTCCAGAGCCTTAAAGTTTTTCTCTAATGGCTAATGCTTCCTCTATGCTTTTCTTAGCCTTCCCTAGAGATCCTTTCAATCTCTAGACTTCTCCTAACATAGTTAATCCTTAAGCTTTCAATAACAAAGCAGAATTTTACAATTATTAGTTTTAATTGTTGTAACTTAACATACTTTGTTATAGATTCTAATTTCCAGAGGTATGTCCTAAAATAAAATTAATAATAAAACCTTCAGTAATTCTGAGTCCTTTTTTAACTCTTTTGAGTGCATGCTTATAATCACCTAATAAGGAATGAACCTTTCCTAAGTTGATGCTCATTTTAGCAAATTCTAGACTATCAGCTCCTTTTTCTTGTTCAGTAATCCTACAAGCTTCTTCTAGAAATGAACGAGCCCTGGCTAGATTTCCTTGTAATCTATATCCATTGGCTAGATTTTCCAATAGAAGAGCACCTTCATAACTGTCATCTCCATTATGTCTAAATAAATAGAACTATAAATTACGCTTTTCTAATACAATCCAGAGCTCTTTCGTAATTATCTAATGCTTCATTCAATTTGCTTTGTTCTCTTAATTAATGACCTATTTCATTGTATAGAATGCTAGCCTTCATAAAATAATCTTAAGCACTAGTCAAATTATTGATATCAATAAATCCATTAGCAATATCAAACAGTACTTCTGCAGCATGGAGATCATCCTTAGCATTTTCATAAGTAACTAAGATTTCCTCCATTTTTTCTAGCCACTTTTCCCACTCGAATAGATCATAATAGGCAACAGCAATCAATTAATAAACTTTAGTAGATTCGATTCCAGCATACTTCTTTTTATATTTCATGCTTTCAACAAGATTGTCTTCGTTAAGGGGCATTTCAGATAAATATGATTTAGTAAATAGAGACAACTCAGCAGGAGTTAAACGACTTGATTCATCGCCTACTAACATGAGTTTTAAGACATCATGATAGTCATTACTACTACCTCTACTGCCAGCTCTTTGATTATTCAGTTTTTTCACTTCATTCCTTAATTCAGAGCTTTCAAAATTGACTTCCAATTAATCCATCATCAAAATGTTTAAGCCTAATTAATAGACATCAGCTAAGAATGGATTGTATCTTCCAACAGTCTGTGCTCCACTTGCATCTACATACTTCTAAACTTCTGGAGGCAAATAATCGGGTACACCTCTGATTGTATTCAATAATTCTTCATTCTCTTATTAGATATTGATTCCCAAATTGTTGAGTGATAATTGGTTATGTAGAGTTTATGCTTTTTTAACAAGTTTTGCCTCTTCAAAGCCTCCAATTTTATAGGTTTTGGCTTAAGAGGAATACCAAATGTTATGAGGACGTAGGTCTCGATGAGTGATATTCAATTATTCTAGTTATCCTAAAGCTTATGCCAATTCTCCAAATACATGTCTTATTTCATCAGATGTCCATTACCAATTATGGAACTTACGAAAAGATATTATTTCATGTAATGTTGAATCGCAATATTCCATCAATAAAATGATCGATCCCTTAGAGTATTCTTTATCTTCATTTTCTAAAATGTAACAATCATGTAAGGATATCAAATTCTTAGATTTATTTCCAATCATTTGCATGATATAGATTTAATATAGAGCCTATTTGAATTCGTAATCTTCATAATCATTAAAATTGATCACTCTTAATGTGTATTTATTACCTGTTTTCTTGTCGATTACTCTCAATAAGGATGTTTCAAAACAATTAGGATCGATGATCACAGACTACATTATTAACAATCACTTTACTTCATCAATGTACCAATCCAACTCATCTTTGTAAGAATAGTCATGACAAACCACTCGTATTGATACAACAACAGAATCATTAGTGGCTAAATGGCTATATGGTTTAAGATTCAAAATGAAGTCCTGTTGTCTCTCGTTTGAAAAGATGTCTATTGATCAATCTTGCTTATACCTTTCTTCTCATTTTCGCCACTTGAAATTAGTACTTAATGAAATCGTTATGATTCAGGTTTCAGTTTTTATTATAATCTTATTGGAATAGCTTAGGCAAATGCCTGTTCATTGGCATCTCTATTGATTGGTTGATTTCCACAACATTGATTCCCCATTTTGATTTTTATTACGTTAAATTATTATATTCAATTCTTACATATAATTATATATATTTAAATTTCAAATTATGGAACCAGACAGGTCAAAGGAGATTCTCAGTAACTTATTGGCTAAATAAATCGATATGAATGAGCAACTATAAAATGAAAATGATGAATTAAATACTAATTTGAAGTACTTTTTATCTCAATTTATTTAGGCGATTGCTAAATCTCTTAAATTAAAAAGATAGTCAATTAGAATAAATCAAGGACAGAATTGTTCAAGTCGATTAATCAGAGAATTCATATTAAACTACAATCTCTCATCAAACACAACAAATAAAATAAATGCAATCTGAAAATTAAGACTTACAAGTTCAAATCCAATAGCAATCAGAAATTAGATCAAAGATGGAATAAGAATTGACTAAAATTATTGAGTCTTTTGAGAGGATGTAAAAAATTAACCAGCAATAATAAGAAGAAATCAATTTGTTATAAGAAAGAAATCAACAACTAGAAGAAACCTAAATTACAAATTAAATGTAAATTGAACAAAGCTAAAAGCAAATTAAACTGCTAGTGAGCTCTAATGAAGATTATGAATAGTAAACAGATATACTTTTGAAACAAACCAATGAACTCAAATAAATATAAATCAAATTGCTTTACAACTTAGATGCAATCTAAAAAGAAAAGGATGAAATGACAAATCAATTTGATGAAAAATTAGTTCAATTCAAGTCTTGTTTTCAAAGTTCTGCTGAAAACACCAAAGATTTAACAAATTAAGTAAATGATTTGAATAATCAAATCCAAATCCTTTAAAAATAAGTAATTCCCTTATTTCTATCATTAGAACTAATAATTAATTGAATAAATGGATAATTATTAGACTCTCTCTATGAAATTAGAATCAGAAAGAGATAAATATTATAAAGACCTAGAAATTACTATTGAAAATAATACAAGATTATAAAATAGCAATTCAAGTCTAGAACATCAATTAAGGTAGCTATCATAAGATCAAGAAACATCTATTAAAAAAGTATTGTATGCGATTAAATTTAGATGAAGTATATGATTGAATAAATTGATCAACTGGAATTAGCTAATGACAGCTAATTGAAATAAAATAATGAACTTAAGTAGTAAATCAAAAAACTACAATTTCAATAAGATTAAGTTCTTAAAGAAAAGGAAGTCATTTATGAACAATTTGAATAAATCTAGAAGAATGCTCAATATGATCATGAAGGACACAGAGAAAAATATATAAAATTGGATAGATCTTATAAAGAATTGCATTCTTAATATGATGAATTAGTAAATAAAGTATTTATCTTCATTATTTTATAGTATAAAATTTAAAATTAAAGTTTTGAAGAATAATAACATCAAATTCAATTGAATATCAAGGAAATCAATGAACTTAAACATAATTTAAGGATAATTCAAGAATCTGAGAGAAAATATTCTTATAATGCAGAAGTATTGAGTAAGGAGAAGTTTATGATTACTTAAAAATTGGAGGAATCCTTCTAAATAATCAAGGATTTAAGAGATTAATGTTAAATTCTTACTGAAAAACTATAGAAAACTGAAATGTTTAATAAACAATTGCTCTTGGAAAATGAACAACAATAAAAACAAGTAAATAGTATTAATATTTTTCAGATAAAAGCACAAGAAAGCAAAATTGAGGAACATGAAGTTCATATAGAACTACTATTGGTTTAAATAAATCACAAATAATCCTAATAAGCAGAAATGGATAGGCAGTAAGCATTGAAACAATCAACCACAAAGAAAAGTTAATCAGTCAACAAGGAAAACAATAGTGAATTAATGAGATTAAAGAAATAAAATACAGAATTAACAAAAGAGGCCATTTCACTAAATGAATAGATCTTGGAACTTAAAGTAATTGATTATTTATATTTAAAAGAATGTCATAAATAAATTGAATGATCAATTGGCATAATAAAGTAAAGTCAAAGTAGGTTTAGAATCAAGAATTTAAAGTTTAATTAAAGTGGTCGAAGAATTTTAATAAAAATAAATCTAGAAGTAACAGGATAGTTTGACAAAGGAACAATTTCAAAATTAAATGGAGCAAATCAAAAAGAACTTTTATATTTAGATTTAATAATTAACAAGAGAGAATGAAGAACTCAAAAAATTGTTATAAACTCAAGCAAATCAGACATTTAATTCTACTGAGGAAGTGTCTTCGCTGCAAGATACGGTGGCAGATTTGAATAGAGAGAAAGTGAATTTAATCAGAGAGTTGAATTAAGAACATGAAGCAAAAGTGAAATCTGAAGCTGAAAGAGATAAAATGAAATAATAAATTGAATAATATCAACTTGAAATTGAAAATTGTCAAAATCAATTAGATCTCTATGTTAAAGTATTAAAACAAATGGATGAAAAACTAAAACAGTAATGATAGAACATTTTTTGAATTTGAATATTTCTCCTTCATCAATATAATTAAATCCAGAATACAATACTAAATATATAATCATCTTGATAATTACAACAAAATAAAAACTATTCTTAAATATTTATTGATTACTTGTAACATGATTCTAGTAATAAATTCTTAAATTTAATGCTGTTTTATGAAAATTACTATCATTAGAACGTAATATTTATAGAAAGCAATGCCAGTGTAAATAGGAAAGAAGTGCAAGAAAATAATATTGATGTAACAATAAATTCAATCTTAATTTACTGATAAAATATTTCTTAATTAATTTATTTGTTATCAATTTGGAGACATAATCTCATTATGAAAAGGTTGACAAATTAGTGTAGAAGCTTTCATTATTTGCTGAATTTTGATGAAAACTACTTAAGTTGGCAAATTTAAGGATTAACCTATTTCTTATATTTGACATAGTTTTTCAATTTAAGTGGAGAATTCAAACCTCAATCTGATATTATGTATAAAATACTTTAATATTAGCACAATATATTCTCTGATAAGAGGAACATTCATTTTTAACATAATGGATGAGAAATACTTCACAATAATTCAGATTCTCTTTTTAATTTTCAATGTAATTCTCATAATCAGTTTATGTGCAAATATTATACTCAACTACATATAGAATTCAAAAAAATGGAAACTGCTAATAATCATCATCAATTTGGTTATAAATGTGTATCCTAATGTATTTTTCATCCCAATCATCTGGTTAAATATAAAATTATGTTTTACATAATCTGCATTGCTTTTTGCAATAGCATTGATAAACCTATTAATTTCTATGTTTTTGACTATTCTGGTTGTATTTTTTCAAAGAGGAGATGCACTCCATTAATATGAAGATGTTAACAATAATATCATTTTGATAAGAATTCTAGTGAAGCTTGCAGAATTTATTACTATTTATCTTTCATTCTTGGATGATACCTTAACTTTTATTTTCTAACTATTTGTATTTCTGTCTAATATATCACTAAATGCGTTTAAATTCACTGACCAATCTGATGGAAGAGTAAGATAGAACTTATTATTTTTGATTTTGAGCATTACCCTTTTAGCAAAACTCACTCTGATGGACTACTTGATAATATCAACGGTGATTTTGTATTTTTACTCTTAATTATTGAACATAAAAACACAAAAAGTTTTAATACAAGGGGATTCAATATTATTGTGTTAGTTAGCTGGGAAGATCTATAAAAATTGTTTAGTAGATAAACAAGCCAGAATACAGTTGCAGATATTTAAGAACAATCATAAATGTGTGAAATGCAAGGCTTTTTATGACATAATCGAATGTATTCTCAAGAGAAAAGCAAGAAATGAAAGACATAAATTGATATATGCTAACTTTGTATAAAAGAAATGGCCATTACGTGCATTAGTAGAGTTGCATAAAGAGTAGAATGAAGACTTTTATTATTAATCTGCAGTGTTGACATTTTAAAAATTAAATATTTCTAAAATTGAGATTGCTAGTTACATTTCCACTTCTTATTAATCATAGAAAGTTTGTCAATTAGTAATTGATCAACTTTAAAAAGTAATGGAAAATCTTATAAAATTTTGGAATTAAACAGTTATGAATTAATTTGATTTGATGTAGTTTTATCAAGCATCTCGAAACTAAGGATTATAAATCAAGTAAATGAAGTTGTTATTCGAAAAAATATATAATTTAAATAGTCATACATTATGGTGTAGTTCACAATTAGATGTGATGAGTTTAAGATTGCAACAAGTATATTATTGCGTAGTAAATGTTGATCTATTTAAAGTATATTGATAAATGTATTTAGGCTTAATAAATGGAGGAGAAGATTAATGAAGTGTTTAGATTTGAAAAGTATCAACAATTCTTGACAATCGATAGCAATTAATTAGTAATGAGTATAAATGTTATTTACATTAGACAGGTCACTACTAATAAGAACTTCTCTAATTTATAATGTAAACAAATTGATCAAACCAAATTATGAATAAATGAGTAAATTCCTTGAAACTTCCATTGAAGATATATCATTGATTAAATCAAGTTTAGATTTGATGCCTTCTTATTTGGCCACAATCCATGATTAATTGACTGAAACCTTTATTTATAAAGGACAATCTAATCTATCTCAATAAGGTTAATCAACGTTCTGTCTGAATCCAAAAGGATACATAGTTCCCTGTTACATCCATATTCTACCCATTTAAGCAGAAAATGACTATTTCATCAATGCAATACTAACAAAGGAGTAAAATTACAATGAGTCAATCATATTTGGGATGAATGGAAAATTGTTTGGGATGACATAGAATTATTTTGAGTTTACACTTTAGAGTTTGATTTTTGACAATTTTTCTAAAAGAATAACAATTAATGAGATTATTGAAAAGGGAGCACTAATCTAATATTATATAGATAATATAATTGATTAGATATATAATCTAAAATAGAATATTGAAAGGCATTAAAATTATACGCTTAATGAGTTGACATCATATTGGTAGTATCCTGAAAATCACTTCAATTGTGTAGTCGGTGCTAATTAAATTATAATGAGATAGTAGTACTCATCTAATCATGCGTTATCTTTTTCTAACTTTATCTCTTAAAAAACTTATTTGCAAACATCAAAACCTAGTACAGTCTAAATCTCAGAATTTGATGAATCACTTCAACATAGCAAAGATCTCAACTTTGAGGGTTGCGAATGGTAGATATTGAATAATAATTATAACAATTCTATAAGATAAATGTTGGATCAATTAGGGGAAAGTCAAAAAACAAACAGAGGCAGAATTTAAATAATGTATTCATTGTCCTTTCGAAAAATTTAAATTGGTAAAAGAACATTAGGATATTTCTTATTAGAAATTAAAGATTGTAAATAGGATTACACTTAAAAACACACTCTTGACCAATTTACTTCCTATAAAACCAGAAAATCAAAATCAAGATCAAGATCAAGCAAAGTAGATAAATCTTCATGTGAATTTCCAGTTGATGAGATCGAAATCATCAACTCTGAGAGACCACAATCAAATAAGGAAATTGAGAATTAGATCAAACATATCAAATTAAATAATCATCTTTTATATTTAAATAAAATAGAACATGAAAGATAAACATTATTAAATAATTACTTATCATCCATAAGTGTATCAAAATAAAAAATGTAATCTTATGATTTCGAAAATACTTCTAGATTGTTGAAATTATAAACTGATAGATAACCAAAAAAATAATTATTAACAACTAGAATAGAATTATAAAGTATAAATATTTAATAAGATGATGATGATGTAATGTAAGCAGTTGAATAGGAATTTTAAGAAATTATCTTTGAAAGAAAAGGAATTAATTAGTAAGAATAAGAGGAAGATCATAATAATCAAAAGAATAGAGTAAAATAGAATAAAGACTCAAATTAAAAGTAAAAAACCAAAACCTAATTCTAATTGGCAACTAATAAGACATTTAAGAAACAAATCAATATTCTCAAGGATGCATTTTTGTATCTCGATCATATCTCTAAATCAAACTTTACCCTATCTTGCCTAAAGAAATTCACATATTTTTCTTTTTGTGTTATCCTTTTGTTAATAATCAATATAGGATTAGAAAGTAATGAAGTTTAACAACATGTCTCAAGTAACGATAGATTTATATAAAATACTTTAACAAAAGTTGAATTTCATAAATTACTAGCTATCAAACTCAATTTACATGATGTTGTCAAACTATCATAACAGTCAATAATTAATTAAAATTAGTACATTATCCAAATGGCTTAAACCCAAGCCGAATCAATTTATATTTAAAATATATAGAATTAAGAATATTTAATTTTGAATCATTATTCTAAGGATGAGAGCATCGATTTAGAATAATTTCATATTATCTTGGAATAATTTAATAACTAAATGAGACAAGCTTACTACAACTCTACACATTTTACATTTAACTTTACAAATAATACACATTATATATTCTCTTACTTCTATCGAACTATTACATAAGAAGTGGATAACTATATGGATTAACAATCAGATTTAATTTAAACACTTGTGTTTACTCTCTTAAGCTTTTGTTTTATTGTGTATTAAATAAAATTTTTATATGCAAAGTAGTAAGCCGTAATTTAAATCCTTAGATTGATACAATAAACAAACATAATCAAAATATAAAATCACATAGCTAGGCTCTCTATAATAAAGGAAACGTTTGAAACTAAATTTGAATAAAATTCACTCTATGATACGAATTCTAAGAATTGGAAGTTAACTTCTTATGTAGCCATTGTCTAAGAAGAACTTCATATTGAGAGACAATAAAATAAAAAGATCCATGAATTAGAGGGAAATCTAAATCACCGTTACATATTCCCAAACTTTATAATTGTTACAGTGCTATGTTTATTCATTCTAACTGGATCATTGTTATAACAAAACTATTATAAAGATAAATTTTTAGAAATTGAGAAATCCTTTTTAAAACTTAATCTAGTTCTTGATTCTGGATTACTTTATGGAACTCTTATTAAAACGAATACGATTTTAGATATATCTGATTAATTGGCTAACATGGTGATTACTTAATTTAACGATAGCATGAACTTATTGATCAAGATATCAAATGATATCATTCTAAATCTTGAATACTTGTAAGAGGATTCAATACTAGACTTATTAATTTCAGATTATTGCTTAAATTATAAGGATAAAATTAAATATTGTTATGATAATCAATATCCTTATAAAGAGATGCATTCATTAATAGATAGAGGAATGATGAGTTTGATTAATAATATTGAAAAAGTAAAGCTGACAGAATTTCTGTTTGAATTAGCCAATGATTAATTTGAGAATAATGAGGATGAACTAATTAGTTTTGTTTAAAGTCAAACATTCATAAATACATTTTTAGCTTATTTTTCAGAAACAACAAATGTGTTTAGTGATTAACTCGGTGAATTATATAATTTCTAAAACGAATATTATAGTAAATATGTTTTAGTAATCTTGTTTTATGAAATAGCTGTTGGTATAAGGTAATTATTTATAATATTGAATAGTGTTGGGTTAATGTATTTATTATATGGATATTTGACACAATTATATCACAAAATAGACTTTTAGTATATCATTTTATTTTTGAGGACAATGCCGTATGAATAGATTCAATAAAAGAACTTTTTGCATCAAATGAAAAGCATTTTGTAAGAATAATGACCTTAGCTGGGATTTATGTCATTCGATGTTGATAAGAGATGATATAATTATAAATTAGATATTCATTTAATTTAAAACAAAATTTCACTTTATTCCGCTAATGTAGGCTATCTCATTCTTTTTGGTTATCTTTTTATTAATTTAAAACCACAAGCGAATCGTTGTAATCCAATGGGAGATTATTGTCCTAATTTTCTCAATTTAAATCCTTTCTTTATTGCCATAAAGTAAAATGAATAAAGAGAACTTTCAGGATATAATCTCTTTTTACCAAAGAATTTTTATGCCCTTGTATATCTTAATGAATAATTGATATTCGATACCTTTTTATTACTGCATCATAATTATTGAAAGGCTAATAATACTAAAAGATGCTCATTTTATCAAAATCTTAGAAAATAGTAGTAATAGTTGGAGCTAACTATAACTAACATGCATTATTTTATGTCAGATTATCTGTTATAACAGTTGGGTCATCATTATGTGTTCTAGTTCTTTATGTTATTTTTCGAGGTTGTTCCCTTGTTGCAGTATGACGATCAAGATCGGATTGATTTTTTGAATGCACTTACTATTTAGAATTTCGAATTTCTGGATGAATGTAAGAAGGATCATCTACAGATCCACTTCTTGAGAGTAGTTTCTTTGATGATTAGTATTTATTAATTAATTCATTAGATGTTGATAAAGGATGCGACGATAGAGGAATGACTTGATCTTGCCCTTCTGATGAATTTTAGGAATCGCTCAATTTCTCTACATTCCATACAGCTATAACACTTGTATAATATAATACTTTCTTTATGTTTTGAGTTATAACCAAATCCTGCTGTCTAAACAGTCTATCTCGGAGGACATTATTTACGATGATATCCTTTATTGTCTAATTCTTAATCTTCCACTTCAATTTATTATTGTTATTGTTATTACTATTGTTATTATAATTTTGAACTTACCTTACTCAGACTTGCAGAGTAACTTCTTTGTTGATTTATAGAAGATGGTAAGTCTAATAATTACAATTATATATTTACCGTCATCATCCTCATCATCATTTTCGTATGCATCATTTATAGGCATTGTATGTGAATCACCATCCTCAATTTCAGTACCACCCTTTTCCTATTGGTACATATCCTAAATCAGATCATGAGCTCTTCCTGAAAAATACTTCTACATTGTAAATGCACAAACCTCTTTAGTTTTTTTTGCTCTGCTAAATGCAAGACTTCTTTATTATTCTACTGGAAATAATTCTTTCTTGAGTATCTTTTCTTGGTCAGCACAAAAATGCAAAATGTGACAATTATTTATAAGATGTCTATTACTATTGCAACTATAACAATTTAATTATAGAGAAGAGAATTCATTGTTAATTAATCTATCTCTTGCATCACAAAACTTTTTTCGTAATCATTTGGGAAAACTATTGTAAAATAGCCAGAAAATTTTCTCTTTTTATTTTAAACGCCCTTGTAAATCCTTTAGAGATCGCAGTAGCTGTTCTAGGATTTCCAGTAAAAAATGCAACCTCTCCAAAAGACTAATATTACTTGAGTATTTTGATCGAGTTTCTCTTTATCATGTCTCCTAACTAATTTTTCCCTGAGAATATTAACTCTACTTCCCCTTTAGTAATTATATATAACGAGCAATCGTCTATTTAATTACATGTAATTATTCTTTCATCAGGACTAAATGACAATTCCTCCATAGATTAAAGGAGATTCTTGAGAAATTGTTCAGAAAACAATTTCATAATGATTTTACAATTCTTAAGAATGTTACCTCGCAATTGATATTATAATTCATCTTAGAGATGTCTACTCAACTTTTTCACAATTGAACCAACCTCATCGTCATTCATTTCTTATTCTTCCTACCAAATGTACTCTAAATAACTTCTTATTCTTGTCTGTAAATCAAATTGAATTTTATTCTTAGACATAAAGGTATTAATCAAAGTAACTGTCCTGCTGTATTCCATTGTTCCTTTGTACATATTAGACACGAATATTCCTATGCTATTAACAGAATAAGCAAAAACTATGCTGGCTACAAACATGGTTATGTTATTCATTAATAATTCCAGGTTATTTTGAGCTGTGATATCACCATAACCTACAGTTGTCATTGTCATGGTCGCCCAATATATTGAGTAATTGTATCTAGTACTATTTGTTTTCTCTCTTAAGTTGTAAGCATCCAACCAAGTATAATTACTTGTGTAATGTGCTATCCCATGCCATGTGCATCCACAGATGTGAGCTATAAATATTATTATCATAAGCAATTTCATGAGACCAACCATGTCATTAAGTGATCCATTGAGGTTAAAAAATCTAGATAAAACTATGATTACTCTTAGATTTATGCTAAAATCTTATTGATTTTTGTTATTCTGAGTATGTAGAATATTGCACCCAGCACTATTTGTAGGATGAGCATATTGCTGTCTTTCGAACTTAGGTACGGAATAAAGAGCTAAGCTGAAACAGTGGATAATGAGACCATAAATAAAATGTAATATTTACTAAATCTACAAATGCATATTAGTTAAAATAATTGATTATTACTCTTTTTCTATCTTTGATGATTTATCCCTTGTAAATAAATGCCAGATTGAGTCCAACCACTACATCAAGTGACAAAATAGAGAGGAGCACAATTTCTATAATCTTACTGCCTCTATCCCCGTCAAATAATTCACTTATGTAATATATTTCAAAAGAGATCTTGTAAGGTAACCAAAAGAAGATCATAATATAGGTGAGAATTTGGAACACATCCCAAATCACTATGAATTTGCTATAAGGGGTAAATACATCAATTAGGTTCCAAAAAGCGAGAGATTGAATTAAGGACCTCTAATTAGGATAAGCAATATTTGAAAATCCATCCTACTCAAATTATAAATCATCTAATTATTCAATTTAATAAGTAGATAATTAATGCAGTTTCCTTAGATATGATCTATTCCAAAGGTTATTTATAAAATTGTTTTGTAAACTTTTAGCTATGATTAATCTCAAAAATTAAGGTTTGCTCTCCTTCTCAGATTCAATTTCATCTATTTCATAGGCAGATTGAAATTCAGACTACCTTGGTCCTATAGTTTTATATTTATCTCCATTTTTAGGAGTCAGAGGAGGAGTGTTTTATAGCATCATATTATCAGGGATCATAAAGGTATTAATGCTTCTTCCCTAATTATCACTTTCTTAAAACGCTATCTTTTTATTTAACAGATGATTAATTGGGCCTTTGAACTCTTTGTCCTGAAAATTATTTCGAATTAAACTTTCAGAAAAATCAAACATATATAATAATATTTGGCATATGATTCTATTTCTAATAAATGATATTAATTTTTAATTATAGGCTAAAGATTCTCAGAAATTCGATTTTATTTGATATTATTTGTATTAATTTGGGAATCTATTCCCCCTTAATATAAGTATATTTAAAGATATTCTCAAATCGATATAAAGAAGATATACTTCACTAAACAAATTGAATTGGCTATAACCTTAATATAAAGGAATATTGGCTCAAATATTCTAAAAATATTTAAAACCAAAAACAATTTCTTTATTTATAAATAACATTAGGCATGAAGATTACTTAGTATTAAAATAATGTATTAGCAAAATGTATTGTATTTCTAGTAGAGTAGTGTCTATAAAAAGAAAGTGATCCTTGAAAAATGGGCCTGAATCTTTATTAACTAAATTGTTCAAATTTTATTAATTATATGTGGTTGAGTTCCGAAAGTAATCCATATCATGTTTTTTGGATCAATTTAGGAAGTCAATTTTAAACCAACCTCAAATAAATGAGAGGATAATACTTTCATATTTGGATGTAAGATATTTGATTTTCAGAATTTTTTAAAAAGAACTTTTAAATAAAATGCCCCCTAAGTTGTAACTTAATAAAGGCATTCTTTATTCAAATAACTTTCTTTTGGGATCTACTAGGTTAATTTTTGTTCAAAAATTTTAGGGAATTATTTTTGATTTAGATTTATCTTCCCAACCTCAGAATTAGTGTTCAAAGAACAGAAACACCTTATTTTGGTAATTCTGTTCAAGATTAAGAATTTTTAATAGTTCTCAATGATTGAATATGAAATTTAACAATAATGATAAATAATTGACAGATTTAAGATAGATTTATAAGTGAAGGAATTGAATGAGTACTCATTATGAAGTATAAATTGATATTATTAATTATGATTATGAGATATAATTCATTATTCTTCTTATTATTGATTATATTTCTGAATATACTTTTAGAATTTTTAAAAATTAGCATCACTATTAACATTATAGGATTGTGTGTAATCTTCGTCATTTTCAAACACTACTTGTTTAGTTGGGAAGTACTTCTTAAATACTTGGCGGTTGCCTTTAGCATATTCAGCAGCTCTCCTGATTACTTCTTCGTTAGACAAGTTCTCTCTTTAGCCCTTATTTAATCATGAGTAACTTACAGGGAATCCTCCACTTCTCATTTTGTAGAGTTGCAAAAATGATTGGAGTTAAGCTTGTTAATCAAATTCGTCAAATTGTACTCCTCTCAAATACAAATCAACGTTATCCCATACTGAATGTATTTCATCAGTAAGTTAGGTGAATTGTGAAGAGACACTTTCATTTTTGGGTCTAATTGATTAGGATTCCTTTTTTGGTCTAATTTCTTCAACTGGTTCTTCTAAGACTTCGTCTAGATTCTAATGATTTTGAAGGAGTTCCTCATTTGATTTGTTTAATTTCAAATTTTGTTGATTTGGTAATTATTATTCCTCAGATATTTTGGAGTTCCTATTGTGTTGTTTTGCATCAGCTCTATCTTCTTCTTTCTTTTCTTCCTTTGCTCTCTCCTTTTCCATACTAGTCCTTCGAGATTATCGCAATGAGAGAGTATCAATAACAGTTCTCCTAATTGAAAACAAACTTTTATGTGTTTATTCTCCCTCATCTTCAGACCTTGGAGAATTTAACGATGGTAGAGTAGGCATAGTTCTGTCAGTGGGTAATTGTTTAAAATGGGGACGTTCCTTAACAACTGCCTTAATAGTATCTCTAGTATTAGTTTTAGTATGAAAGCGTGAATTGGGAATATGTTCTGATTACCTATTGGGAATATTCATGGTTCCGATACTCTAATGATTTGAGATGTCTTACCTAATTTAGGGTAATTTGAGAGTGGATCTAACGATTAGATTTCTATCTCTTGGTTTTCCAATAAAGCTTTTTTGATATTACTTCATTTTATGATAATATTTATATATTAAAAAAGTAAGTTTTATAAAATTTAATTTATATAATATATATAAATTAATAATAAATGGTCATAGACAACATTATAGATGTGCCAATCGTTTATGAATGTTCCCTTGATAAGTGTCTCCTATTAGATAAGCTAATTTATGGGCATATTACACACAGGATGGTACTCTAAATAATATTAATTGAATAAATACCTGACAGCTCCAGTCCAATTCTAATAATTAAAGCATTGATAATAAGTTAATTACCAAAACAATTCTTCACTCCAATTTGTATTGTTCTCTAAAACTCTATAATGAGTGGGAGTGCAAGTACCCTAAGTAACATATTGAGCAGTGATGAAATAATCAAAATTAGAGGATGTTATCTTGTCTGCGATGACACTTCCTGAAGGAGGATTAGAAAGTTACTATTTCTACTGATTTTACCCACCACCACCATTGACCATGAAGAAACGATCATTGATTTTCTTATTGATCATAATAACAGCAAATTATGGATTGTAATTCTTATTGATACTCTTAATGGCATTCTTCATTTATTGTATTTCAGTCTGTTTAAGTGCCTCAATTTAAGCATTTCCAACACCATCTCTAAATACAATTATGGTATCAGGTAGATATTTTCTGCCATTCCTTTCAAAATAAGCAGAGATAGCTTCTACAATCACTCTTCCAACTTCTTAAGACATTTCCTAACCTTCTCTCATAATGATTGGTTTAGCAAATGTATTTAAACACTCAGATTCCAAATAGGCAACAAATCCCATACAAGATTTCCGATTGGTTAATAATTTATGATAGATATCGATGCCAACAACCATAGTTTTATCTGAAATGCCATTTGGTTTTGGGATGGCCCATAAAGGATTACCTAATTTCATACTCATTTATTAAGCTATTTTAGAAGCAACGCTGGAAGGATTTTTGGTTTTTAAGAATTTGCTTAGAATGTTTTAATGACTGATCCCTTGATCTTGAAAACAGTACTTCTTGATATGTCCATATATTCTATCTTTATCTCTTTCGTTAACAAAAGTGACTATCAATTATGGAGGTTTGTCTCCAATTTCAGCTGTCAATCTCTACAGCCAATTTTATATGTTGTTGTCTTTAAGCATAACAAAGTAGGGTTTCTCAATTCTGATTCCGATTCTCTCTCCTTGTTTTTACAATTCCGAAACTATAAAATCAACATCGTCATCATCATTCTTTCCTCTTGAATGGTAAACCATAAACCAATCTTGAATGTGAGATCCTTAAAATACAGGATCTTTGATCATGAAGAATCCACTTTGATCAGTTTAGTATTCTTTATTACCCATATATATTAGAGGTGCTTGAAGTTGAAATCCACAGACATTCTGATCATCACTCAATTGAATATTCTATTTACTAAGTTACTTTTTTAATTTCTGATAGAACCCATATATCTCATCATCTCTTTGTTGAGGTGTCAATTTAGTATATTTAGCAACACTTTGCATGCATCTCTAGTCACATCTTTAACGATCAGTCAAACCTGTCATAGTCAATAACTCAGGAACTAAATAGGATATTTTATCTTGATTTCTTTTATCTTTGAATACTAAAAGAGGTTGTTAGAGATCTTTGATTTAAATATTATATCTTTGTTTGTAGTATTCTTAATAAGTGATAGACTTTCCATCTTACAATTAGAATGAATGCACAGGAGAAAGACTGAAATCAATGTCATCTATTTTATAAATTCTGCAATTCCCATAGGCTGCCAATACACTTAATCCAATCATTTCATTTTTGATATCTTAAATATTTCTAGAGTTGAGACTTAACATGAATTCTAAGGCATTCTGATCTCTAAGAACTCTGGATGCAAAATCAATTTAAAGAAATGGCATGCCTTGGTAGAACTAGAAGGATGTCTTAACTCCTCTCCATACTTTTAATCCATGTTCATTAATCTAATTTATAAATCATAGATATACTCTATTGCATTCAATATTTTTTGGATCATAAAATTTAGATTACCTACCAATTTCTATCATACCCATCTCCTTTAAAGATCTCTTAACTGCTACATTTATTGATTGTGTGACTGGATTCGTTGTTGTTTCTGAAAGGTCTGACAATGTATACTCCTTCTTGTGTTATGCTATAACTACATATTCTAACTCTTAGAATGATGCTTTGGCTATCAAACGATCCTTAACATTGAAAGATGACCAAATATTCTTGCCTCTTAACTAAAATCATCTTAAAATTTATTACTGTGAACTCTTATAATCCCTATATTTAAAGATCTTTAGTTGCCAATCTAACTATTTCATCTCTCAATTTTCTAGCATCATCTGCTATTGGTGGATCAAACTCGACTGCGTAAATATTAATCGCTTGATTTTACTAAATAAACTTCATTGGAAAATGATTTGAAATCAGATTTATACGTCTGCTTATTTGTTCCAACCTTTATGATCTTGCAGGTCTCTTTGGTAAATCACTAATTTTTTACATAATTAATTTATTTGTATCCTTGCACCCCAAATAGCGAAATCTTATTCAGGATTTTTTAAAAAGGGTCAGTCTAAATTACTCTCCAATTCTCATCATAAGCAAATACTACATTATCTAATTCTAAAAGTAATTCATAATAATATAAGCAAACAAGAAATTTGGCTATATATGTTTGAAATCTGAATTATTAACAACTTGGAACATTTAATTACATGTCATGCAAAGTAAATTATGGGTATCTAACTTCAAACAAATCAGATTGAAAATTATTACATTTAAAAGTGGACATCTACTTTAATAGGAAAGCTAATAGGAAAGCAATCGTATGAAGCTTCTTTTTTCTTACTCAACAAGTTTATTATAACATTCAATAGAACCTTATATTTCATCTATGCTTTCTAAATATTTCTAGGTGCTTCCAAAATATGATTCTAATCTAGGTATACAATTTCCTTAATAAAATGCCTTCTCATGATTTGGCAAAACATGTAAATTATAGATATTTATTCTCTTTCTTTTCTTTTGTTATTGTTTTCATTTTAATTATGAATAAAATTGAATGTTTGTTGGATTCTATTTCTCAAGATCTAATTAGAACATAATCTACTTCATATACTAATTAAATTATGTTGCCTTCAATTACCCTTAATTTGTGATTATCACTATTCCACTATTTCAAATTTCTATTTTTTTATTTGTCAACAGTTCTTGTATTTTAACACATTCTAACTCAAACTTTTAGTTGATTGGTTTCCTGTCTAATACTGCTGATTACAAATTGTGTTAATGTTGCACTTGGAATCTTATTTTTGATAATTTTTATGTCATATTAGTAAATTGAAAATATAAATATATATTAATTTTTGTTTTTGTTTTTGTATTTTATACATTCAAGATCAAACCAAATATTTGTTAAATCGTTGTGTTTACCATTTATGAATTCTTGAATATTAAAATATGATTGAAGCTTTGACAATAACAGATAATCTTGCAAATTTAAATTAATTTCACCTTTAATATATCACAATTTGACAATTTATAAGTCAGACTGATGGCTTTGATTGAATTACTTAATTCTTATCAAAAGTGTTTAAGAATTTCTTTGAACAAAATACTTAATTGATATAATTAATGAATAATTATCATTACCTTCTGAAATTCATTATCATTGGTGATACATGTATATCCTAATTATTACCATATTAAAGGTGTTGGCAAAAGTTGTCTCCTTCTCCAATTTACTGATTCTAGATTCAGAAATGAACATGATGCAACAATAGGGGTTGAGTTTGGATCAAGAAACACCAAGATTAATGACAAGACTATTAAGTTGTAAGTCTGGGATACAGCAGGATAGGAAGCATTTAAATCAATTACACGCTCATATTACAGAGGGTTTATAATTTTCAATAAATTAGATCGATTGGTGGCATTCTTGTATTTGATGTGACTTCCAGATAGTCTTTTGAAGGTGTTGCAAAATGGTACTAAGAGATCCAGGGTTATGCTTGCGATAAAATTGAAATGGCGCTAGTAGCAAATAAAATAGATCTAGATGCAAAGTATAATTCCATACTTATTTTAAAGACGTGAAGTTCAAACTGAGGAAGCACAAGCTTTTGCTAAAAAACACGGATTTGCATATTTTGAGACTTCTGCAAAAACAGGGGAAAACGTTGATACTGTATTTGAATCTATGGCTTAAACAATTTTAAAACGGATTGATTCTGGGGAGATCGACCCCTCCTAAGAAGTTTTATTTGTCATATTTTATAAATCTTTTAGATATATGGAATCAAGGTAGGTCCTGGAACTGTAGAGGTATAGAAAAAGTAAGCAGTAACTTAAGATCCTCAAAATCCTAAGCCTTTAACAGGATATACTACACCTGCAGGAAATAAAAAAGCAGAGAAAAAGGAAGAGAGCTGCTGTTGATTGTTATGCATATATATAAAAATTAATATAATGCAAACTGATTATTTTTCTTAAAGATCAGCCAATCAGAATAGTTAGAGTGCTAAGAATTTTATTTAACAAAATAGAGGGCCAAAGACCGCTCCACCAGCCATGTATTCAGTTCCTTGTATGAATTGCGAGAATTTAATACCTATAAATGAGATCGATCAACACACAATGAAATGTTTAAGCGTTTCAAAGAGTGTAACGGCAGTACTAAAATCGAATAGGATTCTAGATGAAATAAATTTCAAGATTTCAAAGCTGAGAGATTCAATTTAACAATTAAATTCAAAAGAATCGAAATAAGAAATTAAAAAGTATTTAATCAGAGCAGACGAAATGTGTGAGCAAATATAGACAATCCAAAACACAAATTAAATTGAATTAAGAAAGCTGTAGGATTTAAATTAAGAGTTAAGAACAATGACAGAATCTTACCGTGGTTCCTTAGCTATCGCATTATATCTAGAAAGATTGCATTCTTTGGGATTGTAAAAGCAAACTTAATTAGAAAAGGAGATACGCACTCCCCGAGTTGATATTCCAAAGCCCAATTACAATAATATCAATAACAACAATTAAATTAGTAGTAATTAAGTAAGCAACAATTACAGTAGTTATGGCAGTGCATAATAGTTATCTACATATCGCTTTTAATAACCATCTGAATAGAGTAGAAATTCGCAATTGCCTCCTTCATCATAATTTTAGAATTCCCCATATGGAAGACCCACAATTATAACTAAATTCTCTGGTAGTTAAGATAGAAATTAATTGCATGATATGAAAAGTGAAATTTTGACGAAGATATCAACGTCCTAATTTGATGAAAGTGAAGCCAATCAAAATGATAGTGATCTTAATAACTCTAATCAATATAGTTAGCAATAAAGGATATTCTATTCTAAATGTTTAGCGTAGAAAACCAAATTATCCAATAGTCACCCATCTCAAAAAATACCTTTGTGTATACTCCATAAGGAGATGCTTCAAAGAAAGATTCCAAATTCAATGTGGGACAAATTCATCATGGACGCCTTGAATAACCCCCATCAATACTTAGATATGAACAAGGTATAGAACACGCAAGGTTTGAAGAATCAATTAAGATCCATGACTCAAGAACACTAATTCAAGTAAAGAATACACAACATTTGAACTCAAGCTTAAGTATATATATAATAAATATATTTTCTTAAATCATTCTAAATCAAGGGAGAGTATAATGTTTTGATCTTTCTTTGATTAAAGTCCTAAATCATGAATTTTACCATATAAATAAATTGATGCCTGTTAAAATGTTTCACATTAATAATAATTCAATGAGCGTAATCAGGGAAAATAACAAAAATAGAGGTAAAGTCTATCGTTGCTTTGCCATTTTTAACTGTGATAGATAAGAATTCACTCACATTTAAAAGCGACGATGCAACAAGTCTTATGAATCCTCTTATCAAGACATCAGAAATTAAGCTGAACTTTGTTTCTCTACTCATTCCTTAGAACTAAGTTATAAGAATGCCTATTCAGAATGGTTCGGAATCTTAGATTAACCATAAAGTAATCAAGTCTAACCATTTTATAGAGTGTTATTTCATATTCATGCTCTTTCCTCAAACCAATATCTAATTAGTAAATGATGCCTTAAATCAATTAATTAAATTAGTCTCATCCATACCCAATTACTACCACGTAAAGATTTAAACATAAATAGTTAACTTCTGAATAATTGGATCAACTAAAAAGAGCAGAAATGAGGAAACTGATAGACAAATTAGAAAATGAATACATTGAAAAAGATGGCATAATGGGTAATCCTTCAGATGATGAATAAGCTGGTAGCAAGATTTTGAGTATTAATCCTATTAAGTATAACTACATCATAAAATAAGGTCAAATCCTCCAAGCATATTCAGATCAAATATTTAATTATAACAATCAAAAAATGACACTGTAAATATAAAATCCTAATTAATAGAAAGAACTTATTCAGATCTAAACTGTAGATAAGGAATATCTTGAGTTTGGAGTCTATAGAGGATTTGCTATCTTTAGTGTCAAATAATAAAAAATCATATTCTAACTTAAAAGAGGATCCAAATCAGCATTTTCGCAATCAATCAATAATATAGAGAAGTTATTAATGATAAATTCCAAATAACCTGAGTAAAATTAGAAAATATTTTAAAAAATCAATTCCAAAGCAGAATGGCATGGTAAGTATCATAAAATTGATTGTACTTATTTTTACTTTATTTTATAGAATGCTATTATTTGATTATGACATATCAAAATGCTGACCCAGAGGAATGCCACAACACTTTAAAATTAGCAATAAGTAGATTTTCGAAAAATCCAAATTTTGTTTAATATTCATAATAAGAACTGAATGATAAATACCTTTGGGATATCAGCAATCTGTTAAAATCTTCAGAAAAGCAATATGAATTTGATCAAGGATATTTAGGTTAACCCAGTGATGATGAGATAGTACCTAAATTAGACATTCTAAAATAAAGGACTTTTGGCTTAACAAAAAATTATTCTTCTTTTTCAGCATCCAAAATGGAATTAATTTAAATGTAGATTCTGCCAAGAGCTCGTTTAATGCAACTAGGAGAAACTGATTTAGATTCTCCTATCTAAACAAAAGAAACCATATTAACAAAACTTGATCATTTTGAACCTTTGGTTAATGATACAGAAGATATATTGTAATATGGTGTAATCACTTCTCTTGTTATTCTGTTAATTATTTTTGCATATTTGATATTAAAATGAAACATAATGATTATTGATATTTATAATATTCGTAATGGAGACCATAGCAGCACTAACTAAAAATACATTTAAATTAACAGCCAATCTCAAACCACTCGATAAAGATATAGTTCAACTTCAATAAGATTATGAAATCATGAAAAAGAATTGAGAATAAGCCAACGCAGATTTGCAAGCTAAATTTGATGAAGTTTATGAGTACTAATTAGTCTTATAAATTAATAGTAAAATCACTTAAATTAAACAGGTGTTTGTTAAATTGGCTGTTGAATTGAATGGAAAATATAAACATTCTAAAAAGTCATCAATGCAAATATTTCAAGTTACAATCTCACATGAAAACCGACATCTATGTTCCGTCTGAAGTAGCACGTGGATGACATTATTTACATTATCTTTAAATTCTTGATTTAATTCTTTGTAGAGCTGAATAGCCTAAACAAAATCAGCCTTATTGTTATTTTAGTAAATGCTGTTTTAGGAAAATCTTAAAATCTTCCATCTCCATCCTAATCTTTGTATTCATCAATTCCGATTAGTTTTCTTTATTACTTCTTGGTGGTATCAATTTAAACAGTTCATTACTCTGATTATAAGCTGGATATTAATTCAAAACAAGATCTTCATTTTATTTACTATAAGTGGATTTATATATTTATATATATATTTCGTTATTATCATTCATTTATGATCGAAAATCAAGCAGTTCTCTCTTACTTTGTCATTATTTAACCTTTTCTCCTGAATAACAATTGATATTAAAAAATATTCAAAATTTGATTGAATATAAAATATCGTAATCAACATATTTGCTTTAACTATATTTATTATAAATACATATATGAATATAACTATCTACTCTTGGAAAAAGTGAAAAAAAAAAATTGATATTTTTAAATGATACCAATACTCAGTCTCATTTTAAGAAGTAGAAATTTTTAAGATTCTACATTTTTGACTGTACTATTTACATGACTGAATTTGTGATTTCAACAAAGGTATATGAAATTATTACAGAGAATAAAAGTTAGTTTTAGGGTCCAAAAATAAATGTAATCTCTGTTTAATAGGTATTCTAAACTAAATCCTGAACCTAAAATATTGAAAATTGTGGCGATCTTTCCTTTTCTATCAGAAGCTAACTCTCTTTAACATTTTATAGTGTTCTGAATAAAGAAAATAAAATATAGTAAAAAATACAATTAAAATATCTTCTTATTAAAGATATTGCAGATCATGAAAGGAAAATATAATTAAGATTATTTTTAATATGCAATAATAGACTTTTTAATCAATGCGTTAGAAAGGTATTAGGCCAATCAAATTCAACTATTTAATTGATCTAATAAGTTTCTATCAAATTAATTAAAAAGTCTTTAATTTCTTTTAATTAATTGTATATTAAAAATAATCTTTCTTATATTTTTCTTTAAAGATCGGCTATACGTGCATGTTAATATGTACAAAAAAGCTATGAAGCTCTTTAATAGAATCTTCCATTTCACATTAATAAATATAATAATTATCAGCTATATATATAGATAAATGATGTACGGAGGCGCGCCTTACCGCCAGTCATCCTGAAAAGTAGATTCACCGT